ATCTATATTATTAACCTATATTATTAATCTATATTATTAATCTCGCCATTGATCGCCGCCATAAAACTCCCCGCCTAACCCACCGGAGATTAGTCCGCTTCTTTCGCGAAGCTATTGCCCATAGCCTCCTGCCCTTTCCCCTCAGTCTCGAGCCCGATAGCCTCCGGCCGTGTTCTTGTTGGGATTTACGTTGCGGCCCCGTGGCAGACCACCAAAAAAGAAGGCAGAAAAATGGCCGACGGGGGTGGGGGCGCAAGCTGCGGAGAAAAGTCCAAAGAGAGACAGCCAACGAAAGACCGCCCACCGAAAGGGCAAAGACCTTGGACCAAAGACACATGGACCAAAGCCGATCTTTGGACCAAAGACGATCTTTGGACCAAGGGCGATCGTTGGACCAAGGGCGACCTTCGGACTAAAGGCGACCTTTGGACCAAAGACGACCTTTGGACCAAAGGCGATCTTTGACCCAAAGACGACCTTTGGCCCGAAGGCGATCTTTGACCCAGGGGCGACCTTTGGACCACAGGCGACCTCTGGACCACAGGAGACCTTGGGACCTAAGACGACACTGGGACCAAAGACGACACTGGGACCAAAGACGAACTTGAAACCAAAGACGACCTTGAAACCAAAGACGACCCTGAAACCAAAGACGACCCTGAAACCAAAGACGACCTTGAAACCAAAGACGACCTTGAAACCAAAGACGACCTTGAAACCAAAGACGACCTTGAAACCAAAGACGACCCTGAAACCAAAGACGACCTTGAAACCAAAGACGACCGCGGGACCACAGGCGACCTCTGGACCAAAGTGCGGCGACCTCTGGACCAAAGTAGGGCGACCTTTGGACCAAAGTAAGGCGACCTTTGGACCAAAGTAAGGTGACCTTTGGACCAAAGTAAGGTGACCTTTGGACCAAAGTAAGTCGACCTTTGGACCAAAGTAAGCCGACCTTTGGACCAAAGTAAGCCGACCTTTGGACCAAAGTGCGACGACCTCTGGACCAAAGTAGGCCGACTTTTGGACCAAAGTAAGGCGACCCTTCGACCTCTGGACCAAAGTGGGGCGACCTTTGGACCAAAGTGAAGCGACCTGTGGACCAAAGGCGACCGCTGGACCAAAAACGACCTCTGGACCACCGACGACCTTTGGACCAAAGCCGACCTTTGGACCGAAGACGACCTTTGGGCCACAGGCGACCTGTGGACCACCGGCGACCTCTGGACCAAAGACGACCTTTGGACCCAAGACCTCCGACAAGACAAGAGTGAGACCCAGGACAGCAGACATCTGACGAACGACCTCCGCCAGAAAAGCTGACGCGAGGCCTGCCTGTGGCGCGAGACCCTTGAAGATAGCGAAGACCTTTCGCGAAGGACGTCAGTTCGGCGAACGCGGTCAGTCTGGCGAAGCACGTCAGTCCGACGAACGAACAGAATCAATCTTACGAAAGAAAGACATCCGCAGCCCGAAGAAAGGCCCCGCTCAGACAGCCTGTTCCGACGCAAGGCAGACGCCTGGCGAAGCATTGCGCCGGTCTGGCGAGGGGCCTCACCTGGCTGGCGAGTGCATCAGCCTGACGAACGGCGCCGAGCTGAAGCAGGCCATCAACCTGACCAAAGGCGTGAGCCTCGGCCCAGCGAGGAATGTCAGCCAGGCGAAGCGCTTCAGCCTGACGAGAGACGTCGCCCGACCCTGACGAAAAGCCTCAGCCTGACCCAAGACGCCCGCCGAAGGGCGCCGGCCTGCCCGACGAACGCCGCCAGCCTGGCGCAGAGCGTTGGTCTGACGAACGGCATCAGCCTGATAGAGGTCTCCAGCTTGGTGAAAGACGTCAGCCAGCCGAGAGGCTTCAGCCACAGCCCGAAGCGCGACGCCGCACGACCCCGCGAAGTGCGCCCGCCTGTTTCTGACGAAAGACATCTCTCTGACGAAACAAAGAAGCCCCGCCAGGTGTAAGCGCGTAGAGAGACCCAAGCAGCGCGGCCCTGCGTTGCTTTGTCTTGTTTGGCCCATCAAGGTCGCCCCTCGTTCTTGCCTGGCGCCACCGCGAGGCGCTTGCGTGCGTTGGGGCTTGCGGATTCTTGTGCGTGTCTGGTGGCTCTCTTCTGGTTTTTTTGTTGGACTGCCGTGGGGGTCTTGCAAATTCTTAAGAATTTGCATGACCCCCCCGGCAATCTCAAAAAAAAACCGAAGGCAGCGCAATCCCCTGCACATGAGTCGACGCATCTGAGTCGGCCACCGCCGGCACCCGGCTCTTGTCGTAGTCAATTCGTAGGGTGCAACAGCTCACCCGCGGGCTGTCTCTACTCTAGCGGCTGTAGCCCGTGGGAGGCCGCAGGAAAGTGCTAAAGTAACTTGAAGCCGGGCGAAGCTTGTGGAGGCTAGTATGAACAAGAAAAAGAGTGTAACAAGTCATTAAAACACTTTGATCGAGGAGCACTCTTACAAGATACGAATGAAGATGCCAGCAGAGTATGAGGAACTTCTCGTCTTACTATAACAATGTAGGATTTATTGAGATTGACTAAATTCTATTAATCCACGTTCAGCTCAGCTGCTGCTGCACACCGCAGGAGGCCATTTTTTAAATCTACCTAGGATCAAACTTGTTCCGTCATAATGAAGCTGGATTGACTCTACTTCGCGATTAAGGCGTCGGAACTGCCGTTCTTTGCTGTAGTCCATACTCGCGGAGACGTTGGAGACTAGCAACACCGTAACGATAATGGCAACACCTTCGACCCAACAAAAGTCGTCCTCCGCATGTCCGCCTGTTCCGTCGAACCCGAGACACAGTACTATAGAAACCAGTGCAGACCCACACAGCATCCATATTGTCACATCCTGCAATGCTGCCAACTGTTAGAAGAAGCCGCAGTACTCATATTTTGAGAAGGATAGACCACATCGACGGAGTAGATAACTACTTCTTTACCCTATGCATCCTTCTACGAGGACCATGATCATGTCTATAACTACAACTGCGAGCATCCCCCCGAAGGTAATTAATATTTGTTGGTTCGCAAGCGCATAGCAGAAAAGTGTGAAGTAGCTCTTGCTCGGACGTTCGGGTATACGATTTTCCCCAAAGACATGGCGCCGTCGCTCAATCGAGGACGAGTCAGGACCACGCTTCAAGTCAACACCGACGGCGGCCGCGATACCTGTGAGGCCCCCACACTTGCCCAACCCGACTCCGGTGTCCCTGTCTTCAAACACCTGGCGTATGTCAGCACCTGAAAGCGTCCATTCTCCCTCCTTGCGGTCCTGAGGCTGCTCCGTTGCACCGAGACACAAATTGTTCTGCTCCAGACGCCCCATACCCATAGTTGTAATTTCAAAGGTGGAACGCCAGATCAGTGCAACAGATGGTATCCACTCAGAAGCTCATCTTGCAAAAACAGTGCGCAGAACTTGACATCGTATGCATGCAACTGAGGTCGAGAAGGATATTTTCGCAGCAGAAGCAACGTCTCGCTCCAGAAACGAAATCCAGATGCGAAGGTCGGTGATGAAAATAAGTCGGTCGCCCAAGAAAAGGGAACAAGTAAGAAGTCGCCTCAGCTTCCCGTGTCACGCATTGTGCGCTAACCTGGTGGCCCAGGGATCACCTGACCGACGCGTCCTCACGCTATGGCAAGCATGCACACGCACTCAACAGGCAACCAGAACGCTCGCAACGATCAAGAATCAGCAGCCTCTGGCGCCTGTCGTTTTATTTTACAGGTCTCGCCGAGAACAGAAGCTCGTAGGCCTTGTCGTATTTCCGCTACTCCGTCCTAATGCCTGTAACACGTACTTCTCATATTGATCCCGGTACCAAGTGAGTCCGAAATGTAGTCGAGTCCATTCGGCACAGAGTCAGACAAGCTCCTCCGAAGGAATGTACCACAGGAACAGCAAAAGACTAGCTCACTCTGATGACCATCTCGTAATTTGTGATCACTAAGCGCCGATGTTCATGATAGAAGTGTCATACAGTGTTAATGTGAAAAAAATATCATCTAATAAATATAAAAAGGACCTTAATCTCTAACTCGTCACCTACCACTTGATACAAGTTCTTGGTGCTTGTCTAGAAAAAATTGATGCGAGCCAAAACAAATTCAAAGGATGAAAAGTTTCAGACACCGTCAATGGGCAAACATGGGATCCTTTTTATTACGGAGGGAGGTATAATGTGGTCTGGGTAGACTTACAAGCCGCTCGGATGCGGTCTCTCCAGTTCCTCCACATGTCTCTACCGACGTGGCCTCATTAGGTCTCGGTGTCTCTCGTCCCACCTCTCAGTCGCTCCGGCTCTCCGACAGTCCTATTTGCTCATGTTCACCGAGGAGATTCCATCCAAAAGGTGATCCGGACGTTGTCTCCAGCATAAAGAACTACCGACAAGGTTGATTGATGAGTCAGATGGTCCTAACTACCTGCAGCGGACTTTCTTGAATTACTTCAACCTTCATCTTCCTGTTCATCGTAGAATCTTGAGAGATAATTTCAAGCACGCACGTAGTCACTTGCGGCGCCAACGACACGGGTGAAACAAGCAACGTCTCCTCCATGAGTCGCGTCCTTTCGGGCGGTGGTCGGGCTCGGGACCGACAACATGCACCAACAGTAAGGGGCAGAAAATATTGTGCGGCTTCAAAGATACCTCTTTTTTGAGTCCTCTTCAGATTCCACATGAGCTCAGGATTATATTAATACGCGCCGGCAGTGGTCGATTTCTTCGAGGGGAGCGTTTCGAGGTTTTGTGGGTGGGGCCTCTACCTAGCCCCTGGCCCTTTTTCGCGAGAGACTGCCGGGCAAGAAGGCCTCCAAGCGCCCACCTCCGACCCCTTCCGGCTTCTTGCCTGGACCCTACAGAGCCCCCAGCCAGGAGGCCGTTGAAGCACCGAAGGCCGGGGGTGGAAGGGCTCCGAAGGTGGCCAAGGTGGCAAGGCGGGACCCCCTTGCCGTGGTGGATGTGCCCTGCACTCTACAGACCTGGCAAAGGTGGCAAGGCTGGACCCCCTTGCCGTGGTGCATGTACCCTACAGACCTGGAAAAGGTAGCAAGGGTGGACCCCCGTGGAACCCTGCGAGCGTCCATCCTATCCACCTGAGGAGCGTGACGCACGAGGGAGCACCAGCGTGACGCGTGACGCGCGCGGGGGTTGGTATTAGCGTGACGCGTGAGCGTGACGGCGTGACGCGATTAGGAGCGTGTGTGACGCGTGTGAGAGTCTTAGCGACGCGCGCGAGGGTGTCACGCGCTTAGGAGCGTGACGCGCGTAGGATTATCCGCGAGGAGCATGACTGAGGCTGTGACGGCCGGGGGGCGCGTGACGTGGGGCGTGGGGCGTGTCAAATGGTGCGGGGCTTAGGACGTGGCGCGCCGCCGCGACATATAGCAAGCAGTGCCACTGTCAGGCACACGTCAAGGCGTGGCGTGTGGCGTCGTCACATGCGACAGCGTGACTTAGGACGGCGCGACGCGTGACAGTGGGAAGGTGTGGCGGTGTGTTGTCTGTGTGGTGGGTGAGGTGTCTGCGAGGGTGCTGCGAGCATGCGCCTCGCTTCATATCGTTCCCATGGATGGGCCGCCGGGCGTCGCCTTTGCGGGTGGCTTGTTTTGTTGTCGTGGTTCGGTCTATATCTCATCCCCACGGCGCCGCCATTGTCTGGCGCCTTCGTGGTCGTGTCTTCGTCGTCAGGTCTACCCCGGATGTTCCTCAGATCGTCAGGTCTCCCACGGATGGCCCTCCGATCGTCAGGCCTCCCCCGGATGTTCCTCGGGTCGTCAGGTCTCCCCCGGATGTTCCTCAGATCGTCAGGTCTCCCACGGATGGCCCTCAGATCATCAGGCCCCCCCGGATGTTCCTCAGGCTCAGATCGTCGAGGCTCACGCGGATGATCCTCAGAGCGTCAGGTCTCCGAGGAATGTGCTTCAGATCGTCAGGTCTCCTACGGATGTTCCTCAGGTCATCAGTGTCCCGCGGATGTTCTTCAGATCATCAAGGCGCCCAAGTCGTCAGGCCTCACACAGATGGCCCTCAGATCGTCAGGCCCCCCAAGAATGTGCCGCCGGTCGTCAGGTCTCCCGCGGATGAGTGTTCCTCAGATCGTCAGGTCTCCAACGGATGTCCCTCAGATCGTCAGGCCTCCCGCGGATGTTCCTCAGGTCGTCAGGTCTTCCGCGGGTGTTCCTCAGATCGTCATGTCTCCCAAGGATGTGCCGACCGTCAGGCGCGTGGCGTCACGCATAGGAGCAAGCACGCACTTCCCCCGTATAGTAGGGGGGAAGGGGGGAAGGCTTAGGTCCGCGGTCTATAGGACGCTCGCCAGGTCTTACTGTGGACCCCCCCCGCCGCGGTAGATGTGCCCTATTTGCGGGCCCCTCACTGGATGAGTTTGGCCCCTGCTGCACCACAGGAGAAATAAAGGGGCCACGCCTCGCGACCGTGGCCGCCTTCGGCGGTCTTCTTCCCCCGACGGCCGCCCCTGGCGGCTCTCCGCGTGTACCCCACAGGCGTCCCGACTCTTGGACGCCACCGCCGCTCCATCCACAGGAGGGACCTCCCTCCCTGATACATATTTAATTTCCTTGGATTGAGGTACGTCAATTGATTACTAGTTCAGGAGAAAAGCATAGGGAAAGATGACAAGAATAAATGACACAAACCACCGTGGATAAATTATGAGCAAAGCATGCAACAACAACTACACCTACTTCCTCTAGTAGCACGAAAACATCAAGAATTTCACGTCTCCTAGTATTTTCTAGTACTCGATGATCTATCATAAATTTCACACAAGCGAGCGTCTCTTCTACGTCGCCGCTATAAGCTGACCAACCCCAGAAGTACGCACATTCAACATTCATACACCTATGTATTTTGTCATTCGAGACAAATCTTTCGACGGTGACGACATTGTAAGAGACATAAAAATTCCATGTGCATGATCATGCACAAGAAAGACATCAGGCAGCACAACAACAATTATACAGTGTGCCTACTCACTGGCGACATCAAGTGGAAGCAGGAAAACTAAAATTATGAAGATGTTGTATCTAGGAATTCAATTTCTACTTGCATTTCTTCATTATGCTTATGCTATCATGACTTTCTAGCTTAACATGTACAACTTCTGCGCAACTTCTTCGAGAAAACCACAGCAAGATCGATGCTTTCGCAGTCGGCGCGTCTTGATCATCATTAAAACGCCAAGCAGCTCCCTGAACGCGTAAAATCGCGATTAAAAGCCCTGTTCACGGTTTGCATCTTGATGTGTCGCTTGAGCTCTTGCACATGATTTTGTTTGGGCAGTTTTCTGCCTGTGCTGTTCGATCGCGACATCATGGTGTCTTTAAGTCGCACATCATACTGGTCCGGCTGGGTCTGTTTTTGCAAGACGAAGATAAATTTTGTCAACAAAGAAAATGACTCGACAATTCCGACGGTCATTTTCTTGGTTGATCACAGAGCTTACGACGTACAACAACAACTTCCCAAATTCATGATACCTCTGGCAGATAAAGATCATTTCAATTACAGAGAAGCCACTTAGAGAAAAGCGTATACCCACATTAATGAAAGGTACCCCAACGTGTGGCGGCGGTTTCTCTTGACCTAGCCTGGGCTGTCGCTTTACTATCGTGTGACTCCAAATGGGGTATGGATTGCTGTTCGTCTTCTGATCTGGCCCAAAGAGAAGTCCTCGGCCTGGGTCTGCCCATGCCTTTGCAGCGTTCTTTCGTGCGATGTCGTACCTTGTTGTGTAGTTTCCGAGCTCTCTTTAGTTTTTGTATTCCTTCTCTAACACACTAGCACAAGTTGACCTCACTGATTTTTGATTTTATGAGATTGATCATACGTATGTACTGGTCAGGCTCCGCCGTTTCGCGCTGGCTTTCCCCTAAGCCCTTCCACCATACTCGGCTTGGGAAAAAGCTTCCACCCCCACATTTTTGAATCAGCAGTTGTGCTTGTGCTGAATCGCTTTTAGCGGATGCCATCTTTTAAATATGATGGCGCAGCAATAGGATCAATAGAAACTACATGGAATCAGATGAAGAATACCACTTTTTAGTAAAAAGATGAATATTATTATTATCCAGAGTAGCCCGGTGCTGAATTGGCAAAACTTCTGGCAGGAACTAGTAAGAAGATGATGATCGTTGATGAATATATGCATTTGGACTTGTGGTCAAAAAACATGTAAGTAAATCATTCATACTTGTTCAATGATGTACGATGTTTAGTACGATGTGAAAGTGAAGACTTGTCACTCTTACTAATCACAAACGGATTCTCGTCATCGTCTGGCGAGGGTCGCAAACCTTGGAAGACAGGAGGGAATATAAACAAGGAGCAGGCGAGAGAATTTGCAAAGCATACCGAGTCAAGTCCTAGGTCTTACGAATCACCGATTTCAAAGTGCGAAGCACAGTGGTCAGAGATGGACATACACAAGGACCGATCCTTCACGATGCAGCAAAGTTACAGATGAACCCCATAAGCGTGGCACCACGCTGTGCAAAGGCGAAGACACACTACTCTTGGTATCACCGATTGGGACCGAGGTAAATGAAGGTTCGTTGCTAGAATAGAAGCGTATTCTCCCTCTTCCAAGTCAACAGCACCTTCTTCTATGATAAGCACGACAAGAACTAGACAGCGCCATTTTTTGCTGCGTCTAATCGGCCTTTCACGACAACCACGTCTTCATCGAAATGAAAATCGAACATGTAACGAATCCACTAGGTACTGTATTCGATCTCAAGGGTCCGATATTCAACCTCCAGCGATTGGCTGTCGGAAATGAAGGAAGCCAGGAGATGGCACCAATTAGTCTGCTGCAGTGGAATTACCGCTTGAAGAATATTTTCGTCATGACAACTACAGCATCACATCCTCCTGACACGATCGGTCCATCCTCAAAATCACGTCGTCTTTAGATTTAAGAAAGATGAGCAAAAGCATCAATTGAATAGGAACTCGTTCTACAATTACTGTTCTTAAATACCTTTCACAGAATGCATCTCTATTCTTAGTGCATTTTCGCAGCAAGATGATCAAAAGTTTTCCCTCGCCTTGAAAAGGTGAAAGCCGTCACCTGCGGTGCTGAGTACCACACCAGGCAGCTGCGGGTGCCACGCGGCTTCGCGGACGTCCTCTTGGCCTGCGTGTAGAAAAAGGAGCTGCGGAGGAAAGGCTGCGTCTTCCTCATCACCATCGTTATTATCGCCGGTTTTTGCAACAGCTTCTCCTTGCGACATTTCATCATCTTCTTCAACGGCCATATCCCATAGGGAAAGGGTGCCGTCCAGAGAGGCAGCACACAAAGCGGCCTCGTCCGTCGGATGCCAGCTGATGGCTGTGATTCCACCGCGATGGTACTCAAATTCAGCCATCAAGGCTTCGCCCGGGGAGACTTCTTCTACGCACGTCGCTGATGCACCTCGCTCCAGAACCCTTCTCGTCGATGCTCGAAGGTCGAACACTTTGATGCATCCGTCGTCGGCACCGGTTGCTATGAGCTCACCCTGCAACGGATTCCAATCCAACACGTTCACATCAACTCCGCTTCCCTCCTCAACACACGAAATTCGCAGGATCGGACCCTGGACTCGAATGTCGCATACCTGTAGCAGAGGTGGTACTCAAGTGAAATATTAACAGGAGCTTATCTAGTAGAAGTAAGAGACGTAGAAGCGATGAACTCGAAAAAATGTCGCCTGGTGCTAGACGCGATGATAAAATTTCATAGAAGCAACATCAACATCATACATAAGTATCATCAGATTTAACAAAACTATGTCATCGAAAAAACTGTCCTACCTGCAAGGTTCCATCACCGCCACAACTAGCTAGTAGCTGTTCGCAACTAAGCCCTGCTTTCTTCCACTGAACATCCTCGATGCTGGTCCCAGGCCTGTGCGTCTCCTTAAAGGCTGACAGGGTCCACCCGCCCTCAAGGGGGAGCCAATGCATCAACTTCCCGTCGTTGTCACCGGATGCGAACATTCCAGTCCTATGACCCGACCACGCCATGGCGTAGCCTTCCGTCCGGTGAGTAGTCAAAGGGCAGCTCTCAAACACCGGCTTTTTCACAACGGGAGGAACTTGCGCCGAGGCCTATGATTGATTGTGATTGATTGATGAACTTGAATGATTGAAGATATGTTTATTCGTAAGGTAGAGACGCGAACTGAAAGGAAACGAAAGCGAAAATTCTTGAGGAACTCTGAAACTTTATCATGTTTACATGAAGCAAGCGAGATGAAGATGCAAGTGAAAGTGTTCCTTTGAATTTGATGTACCAATCGGGAGGGCAACTGCTGAAATTCCTCGGCCAGGTTATACATGCAGACTTTTCCCTCTTCAGACCAAGTCGCCACTAGTGACTGTGCTTGAGGCATTGCCCGAATCCTGTTCACCGTACCGGAATGGGCCACGCTTACGCAGTGAAAATACGGCTTCTTCGACTTTGTAGCGTCATCCGCCTCCTCATCGGATGAGTCCTCCTCTTCTGACGAAGATGAATCTTCGTCGTCCTCCTCTCGATGTTTCTGCTTGCGCAGGTTTGACCTATTCATTGTAGAAGTTGTAAATATTTAAACAACTTCATCATCAATGTTTCTTTAGAAATATTTTCATAAAAGAAATCATGGCATCAACATGACAGGAAGCAGGAAGGCAACAAGACGCTTTTCTCGCACGTCGATCAAACTTTTATAATATACTACAACTCCTGATCAAAGCTCCAACTCGACTATAAATTCGTAAATTCGTACCACTGCATCAGGTAGATGGCATTCTTTTGTGCTTCATCGGCCTGAGTTCCGGCTACTAAAGTGACACAGTGCGGACCTGGTCCCCTACGCCCGGATCCTAATTGGTCCTTCACTACGTCGAAACTTAGGCACGGCCACTCTGTCCGCAAGCGATGCAACATGTCGTATGCTTCCATGTCGCAAGTAAGCTCCTCTCCCTCCTCTAAAGTGTCTACACCGGGACGAAAGACGCGAGCCCTTCCTTCTGCCTCCTCTTCTTCTTCTTCTTCGGCGTCATCTTCATCATCGTCCATTGCGTCATCAGATGACTCCTGCTCGTCTCCCGGTGATGCCGCTGTGGACGAGGCCAGGGACGTGTCCCGCGCAAGACGTTTCCTTCCACTGCTTGGCTCTGCTGCACCAGCGTCTTTTCGCCTCAATGACGCATTTGCCGTGGCACCAGCGGCTGGTGCTCCTTGCTCTTCGACTTCCATTTTTCTGCTCGCGATGTAGATGGACGATTAAAGTTAAGGTGGAGGCTCTTCAGAATGCTATCGCAATAATGTGCTATTTACCAAACAACTTCTCCTTACGCGTATTCCTAATCTACTCACTCCGATAGGGTAGAACGCTCTATCTTCACGACAAGCACATGAAATAACCAATTATACCTAGTTTGCATAGGGATTAACAAATACGCAACAGACACAACTCGAAACCAACTTGAGGCGAATCTTAGAAATGAACATCATCAATACTGCTGAGTTGCTTCAACAACTGAGGTTATTGCATAAACAGACAAGTAGAATTTCATTCAACTTTCTGATGTGTGATGCTACTCTCATTCGGGCTTCGTCATCACCTATTCGTAGACGAGAGAATCAAACACTCAGTTTGTCCGTGGCATCTTAACTACTAAAACTAAGTATGTTCAAACAAATTCAGGTAGAACCCTAGTAAGTAATGACCGTCCCCAGCTAATACTTGTAAAAAGGATTTAGTTCTTTCAGAACAACAACATCTCGATCTTTTACAACTTACTCTTCAGTGGATCATTCGGCCAGGCGAAGGATCTAGATCTTGAAGATCTTCTCTGGTGATCAGTGGATCAGTTTCCTTGTTCATAGCAATAGATATCTCGAGTTGACAATTTTCGAAGAGAATATATTTTCTGAGATCGATAAGAAGGATCCATGATGAATCGATGATCAAAATATTGACCGCAATAACTCGCTGATCTCACACTCACTTCGTATTTCATTTGAGCTTAATCCACGTCTTGCGCCTCAACTGTTCAATGATCATGATGATCCACATCCTGATATGACAAAAATGCATAATACTCATCTGGTAGCTTGCAGTTTCCACTTCTCGGCATCCGAAGGTGGCTCAATTGACACACGTGAGTGTCAAAAACTCGTGGTACAGTGAGTTTGCTGATTCCTCCGCAAAAAAATTTTCGAGTGTGTCTCCAAGTCACGTTTCAAAGATTCAAGCTAGAACAAGCTCACTGCCAGCTCTTCATCAGTGAGGTTATACATATTATTGACAGGTAAACACTGTCGTGCCACATGAAATTATGGAGTCATATGATCACGGAACAAACGTTATGATGTGTAAATCCCTAGTGGAACTATGATGAACAAACTTAGTCCTTGCGAACCATAAATCCTCATTGATGTGATCGCCATGGAGAGGACAGAATGTGGATGGGAGGTGGATGAGAGACTATGTATATGGATGGGCTACATGCTGCTGAAACTTCCCCGCAGGACCCGCTTAGAACGTACTAGGGAAGCAGCGTCCTCGATGATACCGCTAGGCCCCATGTCGCCTGCAGCCGATTTTTTTTTACAACAGGATTGCTGGAGGTTACATTGTCAATGAGAGCGTAGGACAAGAAAGCAGACGCGAAAAAGCAGTCCGCCACCTGCCTCCAAATTCATCGATTGGGGCCCTTCAGTCTCCGATCGACCACATAGTGCGGTCCTTCTTTTTTTTCTTCTTCTGAGCTTTAGATTCTTTTCGCGGTGGCTCGTTCAAACTCTCCTGGTATGCCCACCTGTGGTTTATTTCTTGATAAAGAAGGTGAAAATTTGAAATCAAATAATCTCTTTACTTGGAAAGTTTTGCCTTGGTTTTGATTCTGAAAATTTTGAATTTTGATTTAGAATCTAAATTGTAAAGTCAGCACGCGAAGACAAAGAGAACGAAGGCAAAACGAGAACGCGAAGAACAGAGCACGCAGGCCGTAAAAACGTCAACCAAACCCGGCCGCACCTCACCGCCAGGCGCTACCTACGCGCAGTCGCCGCCGCCTGCACACCTCGCCCGGCATGCCACAAAAGCTGCAGCTGGCGGAGACTGCGGCGACCAGACATACCATAGTCGATCGCAATGACGACCATAGCACAACACACACAGAGCACAAAGAAATCCGGCGGGATCATACGCGTCGCCCGGAGCGCATCAAAACAAACAAACAAAGTCTGACTTTGAGTTTTGTTGAGCTTTAATTTTGAGTTTTGATTTTGAATTTTGAAAACCAACACCCGCGGCGACAACACAACAAAAACGCGCATAGCAAAGCGTTTTGCTATACTCGTGAATTGTGAAAGTTCAGACATGCTAGATTTGGGAAAGTTAGGGCATGAGCTTCGAAGGCTAGGGCATGAACTTCGAAAGTTTTAGGGCATGAATTTGGAAAGTTAGGACATGAATTTTGAAAGTTAAGACATGAAAGAAAGAACCTCGAAAGTTAAGATGTGAACTTTGAAAGTTAGGCCATGAATTTTGAAAGTTAAGCCATAACTCAGTTTCGGGAGTTTAGCTAGGAAGCGAGTTGTGGAAGTTAGTTACGACATGAATTTTGAAAGTTCAGACGCGTGAGCAATGAGCAAGAACTTTGAAAGTTAAGCCATGAGCTTTGAGAGTTACGGCTTGAATTTTGAAAGTTACAGCTTGAATCCTGACAGTTAATAAGCCATGAAGTTTCAAAGTTATAAGGCGTGAATTTTGAAGGTTAAGACGTGAACCGTGAAAGTTAAAGCCCAAACTTTGAAAGTGAGGGCGTGAGTTTCTGAAAGTCTGTTAGGACATGAATTTTGGAAGTTTGTTAGGGTTGCAAAACCCAACCACCACAAGGCCACCGCAGCAAGATCCCACCAGAAGCTACGCCTTGCCAGATTCTTCCGGTTTGTTTTTTTTGCAGGTTTCACCGTCCGGGGGAAAAGGGTCAAGGGATGAACACATCAGAAAAAGACACGCGAGAGCAGGGCAGAGCAACATGCGACAACCATGCACCAACCAACACACGAAAACGGAAGCCGAACCAGCTGCACACGAACTTAAACGGCAAGAGACCCGGCGGAACCTGCTCGCGGACTCTTTGTCTTCACCTGCTTTAGGCTGAGCTCGCTCCCTCCTCGATACTCAACGAGGGGAAACAGATGGAGTGACACAGCTGGACCCAATCCGCCACCAGAAGACAAGAAGAAAGCCCGGCAAATGCAGAGGATGTCACTGAGCTAACCAACGTCGGCAGTAGACTACATCTACAGCCTTCACCCAAGGGGCACGGGCAGGGGCCATCTGCTCAGAATTGGCATGGTGCACGCACCTCGCTCACGAGCTTCACCCGGAAAAGCACGAGCCAAACACGAAGCAAGCAGACAGCAAGCGCGACACCCACGGGCCGCCCACAGTAGGCCCATGACCTAACTCGAAGACAAGACGCAACCACGCGCCAACCGCGCGAAGAGCGCGCGGCCCTCAGCTGACAATATGGGGCACAGGCAGAGAATTGCGCACGGGATTACAGAAGTGGGCGGGCTTTTGAATCTTCCGACGCGGTGCAGCTACTCTGAGAGCGCTCGGGAAGCCGCAACAACCAAGGCAGCCGCCGCGGGGTCTCCTGGATCGATAGCGAAGCCGCAGACGTGCTGGCAGTGGTCAGATGTAACACAAGGCAGAGCGAGCAAGCTGGCCGCCGGTGGTGTGTGAGAGTGAGAGTGAGAGAGTGTAGGCACTCCCAGCCAACTCCGTCGCCAGTACTTTTTAATCCGCAAGCAGTAACCACTTGAAAAATTTAAGCGAGGCCGGTGCGCATTGATTCACTGTGGCTGGGTAGAGGTGAGGTGGTAAACGGGGTAATAAATGAAGTGGGAAGCGGGGTGAGAAATGATAACGAAGCAGGGAATGACTAAGCTGGGAAATGAGGTGGGAAGTTAGGCGCTGGGAAATTAGGTGGGAAATGGGGTGGGAAATGGGGCGGGAAATGCTGAGCGAAATTGGGTGGCCAATGAGGTGAGAAAAGAGGCAGCAAATGTCATGTGTGAGCCCGCTGCAAAAGGAGATGAGAAACTAACCCGCGCCCCCTTTGTTTCCCTCCGGTCATTTTTTTCCATGCAGATGTATTTTCGCCCCGCGGTCATTTTTTTCCGTCCGATTTGAATTCGAATAATTTTGCGCGCCGTTTCATTTTCCGAAGAAGTCAACTACAACTAGTTCCCAACCGGTTCCAGAACGAGGCGGGAAAACAGGCGGGCAACCAGGGAGGTGGGAAATTAATTAGGTGGGAAATGAGGCGGAAGCACCTCTTTCGATTTCGACTATTTTCCACGAAGAAAGCGGAAGGGGATGGCTTTCAGCTTCAGGTGGGAAATCAGGTGAGAAATCACTCCCCGCCCCATTTCCCATCCCATTCCCCACGCCATTGGCCGCCCCATTCCCCACCCTTCACTCCCATGAGACATTTCTGCGCTCTACTTGTAGAATGCGACAGCGGCAAGCGCTCCACGCTCACACATCGCCCCGACTTCAGAGCCCGCGGCGAACCAGGCGCCTACTCCTTGCACCGGCGTCACCCTTGCCCCGGTGCCGCTGCCGGGGCCTGGACTTCGGGGCCCCGGTAGGTGGCGGGGGTCGCTGGGTGCGGGACCTCGACACCCAAGGGAGCCCCAGACACAGCCCGGCGGCCGCAGCGTCGCCCCTGGTCCATCTCCATCCTGGACCCATCGAGGGCCGTGCAGATGACAGGCGCAGCAGCTTGAAGCTCGACGCCAACGAGCCAACAAGCACACAAGCGAGCAAGACTGGCCGACTCTTGCTGCATAAGGCGCCAACGCTCCAGCGACAGCCTCAGTCAGTGCCTCACCCTTACTCGACACCCCAGCGCGAGCGCCTGCTCTGTCGACAGCAGTGACATAATGCGCGCCATCTGCCGCCCTATCGATGAGTCAGTCACCCGCTGGTGGGCGTCCATGTTGCGCAATGTATCCGCCAGCTTCGAACCACAAGCGTTGTCGCTTGCTCTGGCCATCAAGATAAGGGCAGGCGGCTCACTCGTTCTGGGTCTAAGCGTGTGCGCCCACTTTATGCCGTCTTGGTCTTTGTTTCTCACAAAGGCCAACTAAGTAAACGGCGACAGCAATCCGATCCCGCTGGGAGTCAGAAAGGCCCGCGGGCGCGTTTCTTTATTTCAAGAGGCAGCCACTGAACAAAAAGCAGGCTGGGCGTCTCATATCTATCAAAGCGCGCGCCTTCAAATAAGCAAAATTCTCAGACCAAGCAAAAGCAAAGCCCTACACCTTCAGGCAGCATCCTGCTCCGGTGAGCTTGTCTGTCTGTGGACTTTTGGGGCTGCAGTTAGGAAATGAATTCTGAAAGTTAGGAGTAGGGAGTGAGTCAATTGTGAAAGTTACGGCATGAGCTGCGAAATTTAAGGCGTCCACTTACTTGTTTGGCGCCCCGCTCTCCTTTCCCCCAAGCCCTGAAGGTGAAGCCACGCAGTTGGCGCGTGAGTTTTGATTTTGGAAGTTTGTTGAGGCGTCCGCTTTGGCGCTGCGCTGGCTCTCCTCTCACCCAAGCCCAGGCCCCACGCTGCCCAGCCAATGGCGCGCGGCGGCGGCCTCATGCAGTCGCGTCGCCTGCTTGCGTGCAGTCGCGTCACTTGCTTGCAGCGCCGCGCCCCACGAGCAACGCCCTACACCTCTGAGCCCCCGCGGACCGGCGTGGCCTCTGAATGCATCAGACCCCAGCGAACAAATTCCCACGGCGTGGCAAGTGCCTTCCTATGCCTTCCGCCTGAAGATAGGCCCGCAGGCGCTTCCACCCCTACCAGGCGCCCGCATGTCCTCCGGAGGCAAACGGCAAGCACTAATAGGGCTCGCCGCACCGCAGCAACGCGCCCCGCCAAGGCTAACACTTCTCAGGCTTCTGCTCAATTGCGGCGCCTGTTCAAGCATGTCCGCGCATGTGTTTTGTCTAGCAAGTGTCTCCGGTTCCCAGCGCATCCTTCCCCTGGGGAACCACATCAGGGGGCTAGTTTGGACGTGAACACTTCAGATTATTTAGAATAATCTGTCGCACATAATCGAGAGGAACGGGTCCGCCACAATGCTAACACTGCTCAATAAAAGGAACACAAGGATCAATGCTAACTTCGCCCATTGCTCACAGAAACTTGCAATCATGATTACGCTAAGTAAGCTCGTTTTACGACTGGCAGATGATAATGTGTGCATAATAAGAATTACCAGAAGAGATATAGCACCGCTGCGACCGCCAGAGCAACGAAAACATAAAGGAGAAACTCCGTCATTTTCTTCTGAGATCAAATTAAATCAGAATAGTTTATTTATTCAATAATCCTGTTATTCGCCCAACTAGATAATCATACAACTATGCATAGTCCTGCAGCTACCGATTATTAGATATCTCAAAGAATTTCTTTGTCTAAAGAAAGTGTGTTTTCAGAGAATCATCCAAGAAACACGCCTACGAGCAGTTCTCTCGTTTTCGCGGGAACACTGACAATTATCCTCTAAATTGCATCCTGCTGCATAAGTAGATTGACAATGAAGGTTCAATGATGATCTCAGGCTGCAGTCAAGAAATTTGTTATTGACATTGATGCCCATAATATTGGCGGACCGATGTTTGAGGATCTTTCTTGGAACACTATTGCGCCATCGGCGACAACGCTTGAATATTGTTCAAGAGTCCTGTGCCTTGGTCACCCACTCTTCTTCCGGAAGGACGCGTGCCGCGTGAAGACGAAGGAGAAGATTCTGATTCTAGTATGTTTGTATCCATGTGCGTCACTGTCAAAACAATACCAAGGTAGCGGTTTATATGTCATGTCTATCAGTTCCTGTAATTATTGATGACTTACTTTGTTTCTAAAGAAAACGCGGTGAATGATTCAGAATGAGAACTTCTACATTCATTTTCACTTACCATATGCTTCTCCCATGATCATGACATTAAAATTTATGACGGCGCGCGTCCGATCAACAAGGGGGACAAGAGAACTAAGAGCACCTTCGGGCCCAGTCTACACCGCTTTAAAAAATTTGAAATCCATGCCTAGTAGTAAAAAATACTCGTCAGCTTGAGGACTCTTCCTATGTCGTCAAAGCATCCAGATCCAGGGGTACTTAGTTACTAGAATAAAGTGGATGTAGAACGATCTACCATATACATAGAACACCAAAATTAGCGCAAGATCGGGATCACTGTCGCTCCTGCGACAACGCCCTCATGTGTAACTCCTCCTCCAGTGGTAACATAGTCAATGATGAAAAGCAGCAAGCGATACACTTCTGAGCTTAGCAGCTTATCAAATCCATCAGCATTACATACAAGAATAAACAACCTCGAATCCAACATCGCTCTGGAAAATAATGGTCCGAATCAAAATCTGCAACGTCTTACCTAACCGAGCATCTACTCAAGCAATCTCCGTCGAAGAAAAACCGAGTTGCAGAACTAATCCTGAGCAAGATTTCGCGATCGACGCGCTCGTGCAGCAAGCTGCTACTGCAATAGTTCGCTTATTACTTTTTGTTTTTTCGTATGAGTATTTTCGGTTTGAATGCTTGCACTGTGGGCAGGAATTCCTTCACGTCATCGGGCACTTCCTCCGCAATGCGACCCCAGTAAACTGGACGCTTTCTCCCAGGTCCGGACGAACTGCCATCCTCGTTCACAGAATTGCATCCGGCCTCCTCTGCACTCAACGCCAATTGCCCGAAAAGGATCTGTCCCCCTGCGTCGGTGGCATCTTTGCTCGCTTTTGTGTTCGTCTTCATGGCGGATTTGCTTGTTGCGTTGGACGACTGCTCTTCATACACGTCCCCCATGGTCATGCCCGGCGCACCGTGACCTGGTCCGGATAAGGTGTCCTGGCCTGAAGAGCTGTGCAGGACCTCCCCCTGTCGCTGTGGCGCCTGCGCAGCAGCATACTGCGATGAATGTGCTAGGATGCCCTGGCCTCGCACCCTCTCGTTTAGAGCGTCCAGCTGCTCTTCGCAATTCTTTCTTTCCGGCTGTTGATGTTGCTCGTTGAATCCTTAGAGAATGGGACTGTTAAATTACTACTCTTGCACATTCTCTCTTCAGAACCTACCTCTTCTTACTACGACTTTGTCTTTCCCAGCCCTGATCGAACTACAGTTTGCCGCGTTTGCGACGCTTATCCTTCTCGATATCATCATGAAGATAGTACAGCATGTTGATCTTGATTTAGGCCATAATATTTGTTTGAAGTTGATGGAAATTCGTGCTGGCCCCGCGGGTCGGAAAGCGGTTGATGCTGCGCGTCCATTCCGGATATCGTTCCTTCTTGAGCAGGAGGCCGCTGAGCATCCCCGGGGAACTGTGACTGTCGCCAGACAGTTCCCATCGAAGGTTGTGAAAAGCCTCCCGACAGTCCCCATGGCGCGAACATTCCTGCCTCCGCGGGACCCCCGAAGATTAAAGATACTAGGCGATCACTATCTGTGGTTGAGTTACTTACCATTTTCCCCTGTTCAGGTTGTTCCCCTTAACCTCTGTGGGGAATTCAGTCACGATAGGTCGCGCCACATAATGTGGATGATGATGATGATGATGATGATGATGGCCGACCACTCTTAATGGATAATTTGTCCAATTATTTGATGCGCTGTGTGGTTGAAATCCCCGGTTATTTCCGTGCCCGAATCCTTCGACCTGCCCTTGCGAGACAGATGACTGTTGTAACAAGGATTGCTGTTGTTGCTGTTGATATTTGTTCATATTACTATCATTGTAGTTATTAGCGCCCACGTAATTTTCATGTTGCATCTGCAAACTAGGAGGAATGCCCCCGAACACACTATGATGCTCAATATTACTCATCGCGGGAACCGCTCTAGAAGTGGCGCCATGAAAAATTCCACCTCCATTCGGCGCGCTATGGCTTTGAGGGAGGTTGAAAGAACTACAAGACCCAGTAGCGCTGTCTTGCATCATGTATGGAAGTGCACCCCCACCAGCTGCTGCGGTGCTGCTAGTGCTGGAACTGCTGCTAGTCCCCGGCTGGAATTGGTGGCTCTGCAGCACATCACCCGAACTAGAAGCACCCACCTGCAATAGAGAGTGCGACCGTAGTCGCGAGGAAGATGCGGGCCCAGTATCCTCCGCGAGTGCCACGGAGGCTCCTGGAGTGAGAGGGACCGTACCGCCAACAAGCTGCGGAACGCGAAAAGCATGAAGTGCATTCGGAGATGGCACAACGCTTCCGGTGCTCGCGCACCTAGTGCGGTCTGCGCCATTTCCCGCTCTCCGTCTCCCTGTTTCTTCTAGTACTGTACCACTGCCACTGTCTTCGTCGCCAAATCTAGTGCCAGGATATGCTCGTAGAGGAGGGTGATAAGAAGCGGTGGCATCGCTTTCTCGATTAGTCCCACTTGCACTACTGCTGCTACTATCCTTCTGGGGACCAACACTCGAAACACTCGCGCTTACGTTTCCAGGCCCAACAAGAATGTCGCTGAGTCGGTCCGCTTTAGCTAGAACACCTCCTGGCTTGTCAGCATATTCGTGAGGACCATCGAGAGGATCTTGATTGATCGACGCCCTTTCGCTGAAGTGCGGGTCTACGCCTTCCTGTGCCGGTGGGCGCTTCGCTGCAGATGAAGACGAGGAGGCGCAACTCCCAGAAGACGAGAAAAAGGGTGCTGCGTGCTCATTTAGAGCCCGTTTTCCTGATAAAGATTCATTTCCAAAATGGATGTTGATTGGAAATATGGAGATCAGGACGTCATTACAACATCTACATCATCCTATCTGGGGCGCTCCAGAAAGGCCTTGCAGCTGCTATGCTGTGGAAATCAACTACGTACAAACAGAAACCGAGACCGCCTTAACTTCGTCAAATCGTCCTTATTTGCAGAAACCGTGTCCACAGGAGAGGCAGCGACTCCCGATCGCAAAAGCACTGACTCCAACACGCTAGGTAAGGTCACTTGAAGCAAGCGTCGCTGCGCCTCTTGGAAATCCCTCAGTTCTGCGCGCAGTGCCGCAACTTCTTCGCGTGTCTGCATTACGGTCATGTTTACGATGGCATCCATCGCCCCGCCTCTGCTACTAGACGAAGACGCAGAAGTTGCGGCACCTCCGCCAACCACACCAGAAGCATCGTTTTTCGGCTGTCGGTGCGCACGCTCTTTCGGGCGCACTCCCGAAGCTTCCGCGGCCTCAGGGGGACCCTCATTGGCCCTACTGACACTGTTGACGACGACCATGTTGTCACTCGCAAATAATCGCGTATCGCCTCCCAAGACAGCCCCTACTGATAACGTGTCTGTATTACATCTCAACGGACCTTGTTGTATTCTATCCCCGCCATGGTGATTTCCGACTACACTCGATTGTGCTACTGCCTCAGCCGGAGCGCCGCACGTCACACCAGCGCCTCCACTAGTTGACATGAAGTGAACTCGATCCAGGATGTGGCTGGTTGCTTCGCGTATGCGCTGCTCCAACTTGCGCTCGGTACTTTCCAACTTACACTCCAGCAGTACACAGGAATCAACCCACTCCACATTGTATAAACTGCGGGGCAAGTAGCACAGATCCAAGCAGTCGAGCAAGGGAAGAATCTGCTGCCTCGTACAGTCTGACATTAGAGCTCCTTCTCGTTAAGGTAGGACTACAACTAGATCTAGAGTGTGACCTTGAAGCTTTCTTCATCTACCTAGGAATAAGAGACTAAATCACAGCAATTGCAATTTTATGATATATACTAAGTTTCGCAAGGAGTACATGCTGATAGCCTTAAACATTCGTCCAACAATGTGAATATCCGCGCAGTATTCTCCCGAGAGAATGGCAATACGCCGTCCGCTGGAAGTTCATCCCTGTTCAGATTGATAGTGAACAAAGTGACTCTTCTCAAAGAAATGGACATGGTTGCGCGGTCTATCACGAGGCTCAATATTAATCGAGGTTAGTTGTTGTCGTCATCACCCGGCATAGCGCTTTGAGCGGTCCTCCTATGTATACTGCTGGCTATCTATAACCTGAAATAAAAGAAAAAGCGAGGCCATCTAGAAACTGAAAGAGTAGAACTCAGGAAGGAGGGGGAGGAGCTGGGGCGGCGTCTTCCCGTTTCTTTTGTAAGTATCTATGTTCGAAGCTGCAGGTTGTTGGTTACGAGTGGAGTATCATGCAGCGCAGCGGCGAGCGGGCCACAATTTACCCCATCAGGGAGCATAACCATGCGCAACCACCTGGCCCCCACTCCTCCTTCCGGATTGTTGTCCTGGTTTCGGGAACCGTCAAGCAGCGCGCCCCCAGCGAGAAAACCTACCAGCTGAAGCCGATGCATGCAGTTGCTTCCACAGTCGGGCACCAGTCGCCTGGCAGGCGTTTGAGACTGCAGCGCCCTACGCTAAAGGACTGCAACGCCGCCTGGTGCGGCAAAGGAGAACGCCCGCGGACACATTTCACGCATGTCACCCGGCATTTACCTTTCCCATTGATTCCCATGGGCTCAGAAGCTAGCTATCACTAACCTCGCAGCGAAGCCCGGCGAGTAATGGAATCCCATGGCGCACCTTGTTGCGTAAATTTCGGCGCGATCTATGAAGATGCCCACACAGAAGAAAACGCCCGCCCTTTGCTTTACGTTGGTGGCGGAGCGTACTCGGGCGCGAACAATATCGGCGCCGGCTTTTCACGCTCGTTTTTTGCACCGGCTTCGTTTCGTCGCGCTAGCAGGCCGCGGCCTTCCAAGCGCTCAGCCGGCGAGCTTCTACGACTATGCGGCGGCACCGGGACGGCATGCGCGCTTTCCTCGCAAGTGGCCCAATCGTGTCCCGAGCCTTCCACGAAATTTTACGCTCTGCACCCGAGGCTTCGGAAAAATTTGGGGCTTGCGATGTATCAACTTCAAACTCGATTAAATTCCTGCCCAGCCCACTGTTACAACTGCAGCTAAAAACAAAAAAATACGTTCCCAGCACGTCATCGTCCGGCACTGTAGCAGTCCTGCTCTCCTCGGCCTCTGCTCCCACCATTGAACCAGCAGGAGTCGCCTCTGCGCCTCCATACTTCCTTCCCGCTGGGGCTCCGCTGACCACCGCAAGGGTTTTCATACCACGAGAGGCTGTCCTTCGACGTAAAACGTTGCTGCGCGCGAGTATTGCCTTGATAAGTAGTACGTAGAGCAAATTCAAAAATTATACTAGTGTAGCAGTCACGAAAAGTATGTGTATGGTACTATTGTATTATAAGCAGATGGTAGTAGTCGGTTAAATGCTGTTCATATTCGCGCGGAAGTTTATGTCACATCAACCACGGTCGAATTCACACCACTAGGCAGTTTGAAAAGTATGATCTGATGTTTGTTGAAGGTTTTCTGAAAGACCTTGTATGAATCGAAGAGACAGTGCAGTAAATTTTCGATTCTGCGACTATCCTCCCGTAGCGGCTCTTCGTACGTCTCACAGTGGTAGAAGAACAAGGGCACGCTGCAGGCTTCAAACGCTTCCCGCGTCAAGCGTGACTGCAATAAAGCGTAGATCGGTAATCGCGGCTGCCGCAGAATATCCAAAGGCAAGCGCTCAAGCGCCAGGTTCGTCGCTATCCTGGTCACACGATCTCCACCAACATCCACACTGGTGGCTTCAGAGGACGGGCCTTCGGGATACCTACGATGATACAGTGGTGGTAATTCAACATCTTCATATCCACCCTTTTAAACAATGGAACAACATGAGATCGGATGAATGTACATGACAACACGACGAACGATAGTGAATAAATATGAGGCAAATAGAGGCAGGTCCTGGTGTACTTACGAACAATTACGGCTTTACGATCATTACCTTCCTTCCGCTGTGCCGCTTCTTTCGGCTAGTAAGAGATCGAAAGCCATTCGCAGATTCGGGTCAGATGCCTCGTGCCACTCAGCTTCGGGGCTCGCAAAGCTTTTCTCGCAAAGGCTCCCCACAACTTAGAGGAGTACTTTGTAGGATTAGATGCGGAGTTACAGGTGGATCACATTGAAGTACAATGTTGGCGAATAGTTGGAGTTGCTGTTGCAGTAGTTCTATGAATCTATAATATCAAACAAAATCTCATACTTGTTCAGCATGCGACGCAGCAGCGTTTCCTGCAAAACGTCACGGCCTAGGTCGGTGGCTTTCGACAACAACACCTCAAGGGGCACCAAGCTTTCGCTCAGCAATAGCGAAGGACTTACCTGGGAGGAGGTGTCATGAAAAGTATCGAGTACTCCTGGACATCTACATCGCTTCTGATTTTTGACGTTGCAAGTACAACTCGACAAGATCAAGAACTCAGTAATGCGTACTAAGTAACATTGATGCTGGCTCGGAACCTTGCCCTAGTAAGTAATAGTCTAGAGACGAGATAAAGACCAGCCTAAGGAGATACCAGACTGAGGTCGCAATGCGGCAGTAGATCCTTGGCCCAGGAACAATCCGCATGCGTTTCCAAAAACTGCGATGCGAATCCATAAAGCTCCACAGAAAGGTCTTCTTTAACTCCTTTACCAACCATAATCTTCTGTTTCTCCGTCTCTGCAAGCCATGGGAGTAACGGCCATGCCTTTTGTAGCAAGTCAATGGCAGCATCGGACTGGTCAAGAACTGTCTCCACGAAATGGCGCAATAGCTACAATTAGAGGTTCCTAGTACGACATAGGACTGCTGGATGTTCACTGGAGAAAAATTATCTCCTACGAAGGTACGTTGATTGCATTATCAATTTTTTCTCCAAGGTGGTGCCCAAAAAGTCTAGGGCGGGAAGCGAATATTTAGTGTAACCTCGTTGTAGTAGGTACTAGGAGTGAGGCTATCATGGTGCATTATTGTCCTAGTCCAAACGTCCGCGTGCGTTCCCCACAAGTTCCAACTTCAATAAGAGGCTGCTTCCACGGTTCAAGAAGAGTCCTGGGCTACGGCTCAGCAAATGCCAATTCAATGCGCGAAAAAATGAAGCCTAATTCCATACTCCATCCCTCACACGCTCCTGTTGTAATCATTTCTCGACTTTTACCGTCCTATTCATTGTTCATAATTTGTGGTTGAGCAGACCTAACTAGGGAAAACATAAAACGATAAGAAAAGTTATAGTAAATAAAGGTGCACGTTAGAAATAGAGAGCTACACGTTATAAACACAAAGACACTATCTTTGGCCTTGTAAGTTAGGACCCGTTTATTCTAGGCGCTGCGCTGGTCCTTTCTGCCCTAGAGGTCTTCCCATTGTTCATAATTGTGATGTTGTTAAAAGAACAAGTAACGGTTAGTGAAATACTATGCAATTAATCTCACACAAAAATCGGCGCAGACAGCCTACTAGTACAGGCGTCATACTACTTCTTATCATGACGATACATATTCCTTTAACTATCACTCACCTTGCATCATTCGTGCCGAGGGCGTACACAGGGATGTACGAATGGAGTTGGCTGCCTTAAAAAGAGGTCATCCCACTCCACAGACACAAAAGAGTAGTCGCCCACAGGGTACACGCTATGCAGATACGTCACTGCCCGCTCCAGCAATGGCAACGAGAAATATGAAAAAGGAGCATGTGTGTTGTTCAGGAGAAGAAGTAGGGCCATATAGTGTACACAAAATCAAAATGTAGACATAGATCCAAATCTCATAATGCACACTGCGACCACTTTACTGCGTGCCACGCTCTTGAAAGTGTCGACATCGAATCCTCGGTGTCTCCGAGCACCTTGTGTCGATCTAGGCCCTCGAGCAGCACGTGCATACTCTGCGTTCGGTTTTTTTGACCTAGAATCTCGCAGGCAAGCGGGAAACTTCGCAGCTGCGCAATGTCCGCAACTGCAGCGCGTTCCAAAGGCAGCGCCTGGAAAATGGACTCCAAGTTTTATTAGAGAGCCACGTCCTGATAAAGTCCATATCTTCTAGAAGAAGTAACATAGAATAGGAATGATATCGCATTGAGGATCATTGTACTTAATCACGAGATCATAAGTAACTGACCGTTTCTCCTGCTGGGTTGCTGACCTGTCCGCTTCCCGGTCCTCGCTTTTCAACACATAGTTTAATGCGCGATCCAACTCCTCCTTTGTTGCCTCAGCCCACAGTGTCTGCTTTTGATAGTAGTGCAGTACGTTGGGTATTCTGCTCGAGGACGCCTGCTCCGACTCCAACAGACTACATCCCTGAATATTGGGCGCTCCCTCTACTCCATCTCTACTTGGTAGTGCCTCTAGCTCATGGCAAGAGTTTTCTTCGGCTGGTGACGGCACCTTGGTCGATGCGCCAGAGCTGCTTTCACCGTCGCCGTGCTTTTTCTTGGTCAAAGAAGCTTCTTCCAACTCCAATGCTGCTCTTCCTTCTTCTTGCAACTTGAGCACTAGTTGCCGCGTCTTCCGCGCACTCTTGGTCTCCGCAAAGGTCGCGAGGAGAACGGACGCAGGACAGTGCGCTTCGAGCAGCGTCTCGTTGACCAAGTCAAGCGGCACTTGCTGAAGCAAAGCAACCTGCTCCGCAAAAGAGTGCTCCTGATCGTCCAGGTCCGAAAAGAGTCCGAACAGCAGCTCAGCCTGCGAGACCGACGTCTTGCCGTCCTTGAACCGGATCTCCGGGAGTACTGAAAGCATCGCCGGTACTGAATTTTAGAACACGAGGAGAATCGACCAACCTAGAAGATAGAAGTCTAACCCATCGTCCACGAGGCGAGTGGAGGCTTACTAATGACTGCGCATGCGGCGCCTCAGTGCAACATACAGCCGCAACAAAAAATTATGAATCAAGCAAACTAAAAAATGGCGTTTTAAGTAGATGAAATATTGCATGGATGCGCTTAAGATAGTAGCCCATTGGACGCCCTTTCGATGAAGCATTTCTTTGCCTCAGAGAGATTTCCGTCTTGCAAATGTAAGCGGATCGTTTGAAGCGCCATTTTTTCCTGTCGCTCCTGTCGCGCACCTGCTTGTAGACTGCTAGCACTAGATGCGGCGGGTGCAGCCGAGGGTTGACCTGCGATTATCACAAATCAAAGAAAAGAAGAATTTAGCGTGTCAAAAAAGTCCTTTTTCTATAGTCAAAGACGAAGAAAAAGTTTCACTCTTACGTTTGTCGTGATGGAAATGCTCCACCTCCATGTAACTTAGGTTTACTAGGCCAACATCAATAACCTAACTATTCCCTCAGTCGATTGGCTACTAACGTCGGAATTAAAGACATTTTGAGGTAGTCATAGACCTAGTTTTTACCCGAAGGAGCATTCGCATTGAGCAGTCTCAAATCCAACAGCGCTAAAAAGTCTTCGACATCTGTGAGTGGTTCCAGCAATGCGTAGGCTCTCTGGACACTAGCGCTCGCATCCTCGCCTGTCCAAGACACCTTCGACCAAAGACTACGCAAGTACGTAGCACTTCTAGACGAGGACTGCTTATCGTTGTTGCCTGTGATTTTGTCTCCTGTGCGAGAAAAAAGCCCTCCTTCGATACCTTCTTCAGAGTGTTTTCTCAAAGCCTCTTCCGTGCGGCTGAGTATCGCGCGTCGGCACAACTCGGGAAATTTCTCTGCCAAGCGGAGTGTAAGAAGCTGACAGGGAATTGCGGTCTCAAGTAGAGTTCGAACCGCAGTCTCATCCAGCTCATCACTACTTGAGGAGCAGAACGTGGCAACTTGTGCTAGCCTCTCAAGATCGAGGCACTGCAGAATAGAAGATTCTACACTGTTTCCTTTTGGCTCGTATTCCTCACGAGCATCTTTCTCCGTCGACGGTGGAGTAGCTGTTATGTCACTTTCTTCGTCAACTATCGGCCCAAAGAGACGATGTAATTCCTCGAGCACGCAGAAATTGGTGGTCAGCGAAACTTGCGCCCATGGGACTGCACGAAAGTAGGGAAGCAAAGCTTCCTGCGAGCGCAATGCCAATAGGCGCAGGAGCCCTCGCGCCGCAACCTCCACAAGCTGTTGTATTTGCTCCTGACTATCGTGCCCGATTTCGTCCTTATCTGTATCATCGTCTGTTACATTTTCCAGAGAACAATCTTTTGGCAACAACAAGCGGATCAAACTTAGAGGCGGGCTTTGCCTCTGCTCAGTGTCCTGCTTTCCCTCTTGGAGCTCTAAAAACGTCTCTTCGTCTTGTATTGCCATGGCGCGAAACAGCGTTGCCGATGCCGTCTGCCGCAAAAGGTTGACTAGTGACTCTCGCGGAAGCTGCGCTCGCAAAGCTTCGTTCTTCGATAAAAAGTTCGCCAACGTGCGTGATCCGTGTCCTCGGTCAATGCGCTCCCTGACGGCCGTCGTAGTTCTCTCCGTCATTGACACGTTGTTTACTTTCTGATCTCCGTTGTGTAGCATCGCGGAGTCCGTCCACATTCTCACGGGGAAGAGGTTTCGCGAGAAAAGCTCATCGGCGTCGAGACGCAAGAAAAAGTCAAATAAGACGCTGCCCGCCTTGTGGCGCGCGGAGACCACAGCCCAAAGGTGCTTCTTCGACAAGAGTTGCAGCAGCGTTTGTTTCTCCAACGGCTGCGTTCTGTCGATCTCCTTTATGTGCTGCACCGCCTCAAGGTTGATCTGCCCCAGACTTTTTCGCAGCAGGGCTACCTCAGGAAGCGGGAACAAAATGTTCACCAACTGTCTTCGCAGCACTTCTTCCTCGCTTGTCAACGATGAAATACAAATTGTTGGGGCACCACCAAGAGAGACTACTTCCTCGGTACTAGGCACTGCAGCTCTAAAACCTTGACGTTGGTCAGAAAGGTAATCGACATCGACCCCATCGCACGCCTGGGTATGGTGCAGCAGCACTTTCTCGGCAAACTCCAAATATCCCAGACTGGTTTCTCGTATACTTTCTCCCTGCTCCGCGAGGGCCCTCTGCAACCGTGCAGCCACAGAACTCGTGTTGGTCGACCGCTGCTCTTCACAAATGAAAAAAAAAATATTCCAAAAGCGAGATAAGCGTAAAGACGTTAAACTTCCATAGTCTTGCTTCGTTCTCAAGAACAAAAATGCTGTCTAGACAATATCGTCCTCGTCCCGCTAGTCATTCAGAGTATTCCACGTTTTCTCATTCCAGAGGCACTACGACTGAGAAACAAAATACGAGTTAAATATAGCAGCGGATAAACCCAAATAATGTACTAGCGGGGTACTCCATCTCTAACTCTAATATGAGTCAAAGCGTTGATCTCTCATGAGGATGAGGACATCTCCTTTTCGAACTCATTCGCCATACCCCTCCTGACAATTACCTCCGCCATCGAGACCATCGCCGAGAGCGAGCAATCCTGAATCAGCTTCTCCGACAATACCAGGGCAGCCGGAATCATTTCCAGTAACGGTAGCAGTAGCGAATGCACCAGAAACCACGCCGCGCCGCGGTGCATACCCGTACCTCATTATGTACACATAATGTATAGGAAATCTCCATGGTAGATCAACAAGAATAGTAGAAAGAAGTGACTACACAAAAAAAATCCTGACAGTTGCATGAAGGGAAAGCACGACTTTACGCTGGGACACATATATATAATCATATGTATCCTATAATATAGAAAATTTACGCACTACAATGCAATGCTTATAGACGCCAAGAATGGCCACACGCGGAGGTGATCTATTGTCGTGTACAACAAGAACAAGAAGTTCGATGTTGCTTATCAAAGTAATTACTAGTAACTGGAAGTCGTCCTAAGACCGTCCACCATGTAAGACGATTATTTACCCTTGCTGTCATTCGAGCATTCCTCAATGGCCTTGCTGATCGGCAGGAGGGCTTGAAACAGGGTGAATGCCGTCGTCGCCTCCAATTTAACGACGTTGCGAAACGCTGGCGCAATACTTTCCTGCACAAAGCCCGTCGTGACCTCCCATGCTACTAGATCCATCACCAGGGTTCGATAAAGTAATGCTTCATCCTGTTCATCAACATGCTCCACTGAAGACGTCGACGACGTTTTCGTGTAATGGCTTCGAAAGTGAGACTGCAATGTGATCGACAGACTTTCGTCCGACGCGGTGAAAAGTTCAAACCACTCCGGCAAGAGCGCGCTCGTATCGTGGTGCCCACTCGACGTTCCCTCGATTTCGACACTGGCGTGCGCGTCTGGCGTGGTAACCGCTCTCGCGACACGACCGGACCGGAGACGAAGCCTCGCGATGGCATCTGCATTCGAGGCGCAGCAGGAGGAAACACCTCCTGCTGCAAATACTGTGACCGAAGCCGCCATGGTCTTCGCTATGTAAAATTACTGTTAAAACATAATGGAAATACTATAATGCAATCTTGCACGCCGTTAATTGTTTTTGCTTGGTGCTTACTCCGGCGGTCACATGAAAGTGAAACACTACATTTTTGTGCAGTGATATTGCAATTTTATCAACCTAATATCCCCTCGTTGAAAATGCCAACCTTCGACCACTTTCTACAGTTTGAAAATTACCATCAAGCAACGGAGGGTGAGCCACACTACGCACGAAAATGTAACCGCTTTTTCCTCATACAAAGCAAGCACGAACTAAATTTAAGATACAAAATCTAATGTTCGCGCGCTTTCTGTAAGTAGGATGACGGTGAAGCCACTTGGTCTAGCCGTTTACAAAATACCGCGGGTAGCACGCTTCGCCGCCTGGTTCCATGATTTCACGGACGTCCGTGATGTTGGAAGAAACTCCGAAGAGATCATTTGCCAGAGCGCGCTATGATCTTGCCTTTTATTAAGCAGGCTGCAAGTTTGCTGATGCAAATCAATCTTGCAATCGAGAAGCTAGACACTCGGTTATTGATGTTCACATAGGAACATCAATTATCTTGTGCGTCGCAGCAACAGAAAAATGTATCGATATTAGTGCAGCACCGAAACGCAGGTAGTTTGCATATCCATATGCTAATGGATCCACCAGAAGAACCTCTTCATCGCTATATATCAGTCATTATATATAAATATGTTTAGTCGTGTCATTTTTGCGTGTTGTGTAAGCGTAAGAAATGGCCAACCCCTGTTGCGTGCTTTCATGATATGAATCCTTCGATTTGCTCGACTACCTACCTTACGATGCTGACAACATTGTAGGTACTAGACTAGCAGTACTTCTAGATCGAAGAGATTAAGACACCCGCCACCGCAAGTCTGCTCTATGGTGGGATTACATCGATATACGGCAAGAAAGACGCTGCTTTCTCGTCCTATCTATAATCTATGTATTATCCGCCATAAGAAAACATCGGTCACTATCTGTTGTGTGAACCAACCCACGGCCATGCGAATCAATTATGGTGGTACTCCACTCATTGTGTAATACAGAGCTCACGCGCACGCGCCTATGTGTGCGCATCCTCTCAAGGCGAATCGTGATTCACTTTTGTACTGTAGTAAGTATAAATATCTGAGTCTGAGAGATACAGCGACCCATCATAAAACTAGATCTTCATATTTTTTGCTCGCAATGCGCTGTTGCTGTCAACAGTCTGAGGTATTTGCTTAGTAAAATCGAGGCAAGCTTCATCACCACAATACACCAAGTAGAACTACGAACAAGAACCAAGCAATTCTCCGTTTTCGGTTTCCTAAACCTGTCGCCTAAAAATCGTAAAAAATCGGTCACCTACTCTTCAGGTTTCTTGAGTGCAAACTATTATCGATACAGAAATGCAGATTCTCCTCCCTTGAATAATATGTGCTGATGATCCGAATATAATTCTCCTCTAATATCATACGCCCTCCATGGGCCTCTGTATTTCTCCCTAGATTGTTTTGATGCAGGTACAACTGCTAATGTGAGCAGCTTTTTCTCTTTTCATTTCTCTATCTTCACTTGGGTAGCAGTTTCACGACTCCACCGCTTTCACCCATGACGATCTGCAAATCCTGTGGGCGGTGCGTGCGCATGATTATTTTAGAGCTTACCACCTGCATTCATCTTGAATCAAGTCATCGTTGTCTTTCGACGTGTTTCTCTTCAGACGAGAAACCAACGCGAAAACAAAAATAGCAAGAATGAAGATGCTTGTTCAGATGAACCAGGGTCAGCCTTAATTGTTGTCCTCGCGTCCTTAGAAGTTGACGATGCCTCATCGTCCTTCTCAGCTGCCTCTCCTGAGGTTTTGGAGCGCTTCGGAGCCAAGCTGCCCTCATTTTCGTCGATACCAATAGGCTTGCTGCTCCACAGAATGCTAGTTCTGCTCGACGGCTTCTGGTCCAACATTTTAATTCGTCCGCTGCCATCTGCTTTAGGAGCCTGAACTGGAACGCTCACCACCTTTCCATAGTCGCCCGCCTGATATTGATAAGGCCTACCCCAAAACAGGCTTCCTCGAATGCGATTCGAGAACGAAGGTTGTCGCTGAACCTGTAAATCGAATCGTCATTTTGCAAGTAGTCTCTTTTCGCTATCTATCACTTAGCTAAGCCCATCCACATCGAATCAAACCTGGAAATTCCTACATCTCCAGCCCGAATACATGCAGAAAAGAATTTCACGTCGCACCTTTGTTCTTCTGTACAGAAAAACACACTCGTTGTAAAGAAGTTCTTAATCTTACTTATATATATTGTTATTTGTGTCCATGAGTGTAACTGCTTGCGGTACTTACGAGTTTTAATGTCAGAATCGATCAACAAAGTCTAGAGGCATAGAACGAATCGGACAAAAGAGGAGCACTTACCATAACATAGTCTCCTGGGGCGAGGCGCTGGCTTTCGGAACGCCACTCTGCCATCTTCTTTGCCAAATCCGAAATGTTTTTGCCGTCAACTGTGGACGGGAGTGCGCCATCTGGCCAGATTCGATGAGCGAGACGCCCTGGCGCATCATAGAAGACAGCGAAGATGAGCAAATGTCCCCAACTGTATTTGGTTTGGTTTTTACAACGAGAATATCAATCCACAGATGCTTCATCAACATAATCATCATGGCTTCTGCAATCTATTAGTACAGCAGTAGTAGTGATTGATTCTATCTAGAGTTTTTGTCATCTTCTACTTCAACATGCAAAATTACTAGTAATATCTATTAGCAAATTACTTCAGATCCAATATAAATGTAAGCACCTTGAGAGAAATTGGTTGATCCCGAGGGCTATGTTCTTTTGAGTGGCTCGCGGAAAAAACTGCAGAAGTTTGATCACAAATGACGGAATGAAAAACTTGGGAAGACCCGCCCGATGGACCCACGCGCTCGCATAGGGCACAGTTACAACATTCGGAATCACACCAAATATCGCTTTTTAGATGTTAGGATGTGAAGTTAGGATGTAAAAGGATGCATGCATAAAAGAGTGATACCTCACTTCCTGGTTCTGCTTATGAGTTACTGCACAGTGTGTAATTAAGAGTAGTTGTAAGTAAGTGATTTCATCATAGATATCTACTGGTGACTGCAGCAATGGTGCGAGGGCGGCTGCGATGCCTGCCCGCAGAGCCATAGCCCCCACTGCCATTCCGATGTAGAGAGTCCATCGAAGAATTTCTCTCTTTGTCTTCTTTCCAGAGCTGACTTTCGTCAGCCATTGACGCCACACTGGACTGTTCATCCCGCATTTCACTTTTTGCCACGCCGAGCCGTCCTCTTTGTGCACACTGCGGGATAAGTCAACCATTTTCTCAACAAACTCGCCACGGTAAGCTTCCAACCTGAAGAATCACGACATGAAAAGACGGAATTGACAAATCTGCTTGAATGACAGAACTTCTTCTAGATGCAAACCTTAGACAGTTATCTTGAAATTTGACATCTTCGCATCTTAATATCGTTGTAGAAAACACTGCTTCAAATCATTTTTTTATATCTAGCAAAGAAGCCTTACTTAGCGTTAGCCTATAAGCCTAAGCATGCAAAAATTCAAATTACCATTGCTCCTCTGCCACTTGTTCTGGGTCTGCCAGCTCTGTCGTGATTGGCTTTCGCGACACCTTCACTGTGGTCGAAAACGGTGATATGGGGATGCGATACACCCAATCCGTTAACGCAGTAACTTCTGGACCTACATCGTGGTCGTGCGACGATGTGATATAGAAGTAGAAAAAGGACGAAGACGTACGACTTCTGAAGAGACGAAATATTAAATGCCGAACGTTCAAAATATAATGTGACCAACACGTACTTACTCAATAACTAGAAACTCCATCAACTGCAGCGAGACCTTACTGTCCGGTTATTTTTCTAGTACTTATTTTAGTGTACTTGTGCTGGCACTGCGCATGTAGAGTCGCGTATACGGCTTCAGTCGTAAAGCGTTATCCCACTTCGCAGTAATGTCGAGGAGAATCTTGCTTTGTTTGGCTGCAGTCTCGAGGCAGAACTCGATGATCTCCTGGCCCTCCTTATGCTTTGCAAGCAGGAAGACATTCTTCACCACTTTATTTTCCTGCGTGGAATGAAACACAAGATCTAGGTCAAGGTGAAATTATAAGTATGGGATACATTCAAGATTCATCATCGCTGCATTTTTACACGAGGATATAGCATGACTCTCGTGTGCTCTTCCATATTTTGCGCCCAAACAGACAAGGATTCTTACCTCGACTGGTCCAAACAAGTGTGCTTGAAACTGGTTCTTCGCTACTGGCTCTTGCTTCCTTCGCTTACACCCTCTACCCAGAATCGACATGAATGCTTCCTTTGCCCCTCGCTTTCGCCCCTTGGCTTCCTGTGTTTTGCTGTTTGTGGCGGTCTCCTTCAGCATTAGAGCGGGTATCGAACTTAAGGTGTTCTACAACTACTAGTGACTTCACCAACTCACTACACCAAAATAAAAGCTTCATGGCAGTCTATGACGCAATACTCGTTAGCCTATAAATTTCTAAGGGTAGAAAAAGAGCACCCTAACTTTAGCCTTTCAGAATCCTCAGCGCAACTGAAAGCGTTCGGTGAGAGTTTAGCCCCTCTTGCCTCGGTCTCCCCGTCATCTCGGAGCTGAGCCACACCCGCAGAAATATCAGCCGCACTCACAGGTGAGGCGACCTGCTCCTCAGTCACCGGCTCGGCCTGAACATGCGGATAATGATTAATCATGATTGAGCATAAGCAGCTTGTATTACTATTGTAACGAGGGGCATTAAGATAGCTGAGTGCGCTTCTATCAACATCATTAATTCCAATTCATTTTCTGATGCAGAGATTTCCGAAGAAAGCATCAAAATTCTATTAACATGACCACTTGTTGATACATCTACTTTCTTACATCGACAGCTCCTGGCAATGTCGGTGCCTCACACTGGCCTGTTCGCCTAGGCGGGAGTGCTACACGCACTTTCTCCACGTGATTACCAAACGCGAGCCCTGCTGGTTTGCCCTGAAGCACGTTGGTGATCGTTTCCACCACACCCAACTCGCAAAATGCCTGAATGCCACCATGTGACGTCTTCACCATATGCACGTTTGTCTGCCACTCACGGTAGAGCTTTTTGCAATTCTCCGGCACCAATCGCCGCCCGCCACTGCTGCTCTCCTTCTGAGATAAAATTGTTGTTGCTAGTGCTTTTTTCTCATCCTTCAACGGGAACCACCGAAATGATCACCAAAAATAATATACTTAAATAAATTGATACCAGTGACGATTAGCCTCGACATCTTCAGTGCCACATGATTGTTCGTTGTAAGTACTCACTTCTCGTGCGAAAAGAAGAGTATGTATTTTTAGTGCTTCTAAACCCATCTAATAAACCTGATCTTCGTGCAAGTTGAGGAAGTTGAGGTCGAAGGGTAAGGACAGAAGAGTTTATTTTACAAACAGATTTGTAATTGAGGTACCAGATTTACGAAAAACAGCGCGTTTTCCTCGGCTACCGCTGCGTCCCTACACTCCAGCGGCGCTGCTGCTGGGTATTTTTGCAGTGCCCAGCGTTGAAATTTCGCCCATTCGAATGCACTTTCAACATACAGGAAGTCGGGTGCTCCTTTTTTAGGTGGATGCTCCACTGGTTCTAATCCGAATCCAAGTCCGGCCCCATCCGAAAGAGCCGCTCTCGTCCCTGTCGACAGGCATGCTGTTGCCGCAAGCAGAGAGAGAAGCGAGGACCTTTGCTGGACCATTTTCTGATGCTCTCGTTCAATGTATCAAAATAATCTTCTTATCAATCAAGTAGTAAATTAAATATGAAAGTTATGATACGCGTACTTTTTTGTCACAACTAGCTATTATGCAAGATGAGACCTAGTGCTGCATGCAAGATGAGTATACCGCGCGAGATGTACGTCAATCAAGACACAGACAACCTAAGGAGCGATGGGCGGCGATTACCATGATGAGGATGTTGATCATGACGATAGTGACGAGAGGAAGAATCTGCATCTTACCATTTATTACCAAGAATAGACAATTGCAGAAATAAACCCAAAATTTATGCACCGTTGCCGCAGAGCTTCAGAATCAACAAGAATACTAGCTATGTATATTACAGGAGCTCGAGGACAATTACTGAGAGAGCATCAAACATACTTTTGAAGAGGAACGGAGAAGGAAAATGCAATACTAGTGGTATCAGCACTTCCCAGAAGATCCTTGAAACGCACTTCGTCTGCGATCTGCCCAACTGCTGTTTCAGCGAACACGAGCCGAGTTTTGCAACTGAATGTCCACAGTAAAAAAGCGCCAAGCCACGATGCTAAAAAATCGCCAAGATCATCTGCCGATCTTGGAGCCTCTGCTAGCCGCGGACCAACATACAAGGATAAATCCTGTAGACCACTCAACCACAACACTTCATTTCAACAAGAAACGCACACAAGTCATAGTCGCGCTACAAACCTATTGTGTTTTGTGATGAAGATCACAAAAGACTCGTCGTCTATGATGTTTGTACGAGATTACATGTCGTGTAGTCCTAGAAACAATCTTCAAACTACTTCGCCAGTATAGTACACTGTACTGGCGAGATGTCGGACATTCGCTGTCGACTGGCCGCAACGCCGTGTTAGTCCCAAAGTGCTTCTTCTTTTCGGCCTTGTTCACATTGCATGGCGTGCAAGAGGAGATACAAGGACGGCGACGGCCATCATTATTTTTTTTGTATGCTGCAACAGCATTATGTATAAGAAATGAGAAAGTACGAAGAACGTGATGCAAGTAGTTCCCTTTAGATTTATGGTCGCTATCATCAGATTTCAAATTAGCTTCTGCATGATTACGGTAAATCTAACATGATACATATATATTTATATCTTCATAAAACGGGCGTGTATCAAGACTGGATATATCTGAGGACACATTGTTTTACATCCTTAAGAGTGGGGATGTCATCTTATCAATACTTCCTAAATGCGAAGAGAGACGGGCACTAGAAAGTAACTGAAGGCTCTACTTCCGCAATTGGATACCGGACAACCCATCGACAGGCGTACGTAAGAAAATTAAAACATGGTCTTGTAGTAAATACCGAAAATAAAAGCGGTTGCGAAACAATAAACATTTAGGGAGAGGACGAGGATTATGATCTCCGTAACATTTAGAGATAACATCATGACGGTCTTAGACTCTTATCCTAAAAAGTCACAAGCTGCTTCTTCCTCTACAATTTAAGCTTTTTCACGGAGGAGGGTTCCGTCCTTGATGAGGTTAACGAAGGTGTCTTTCTGAATTTGGATGTTGACAGGCTTCACCGAACGGTCGGCCGCATCTCTTGCTAGTGGGTAGACTGTCACCTTGTAAACCCGGTTGGGTGCGTCAGCAAGGACGGAGACGACTCGAGTATCCGCGTTCATCGTGGTCTCTCGTGGAGTGTCCACAACTTGCAACAATTGTCCCATTTGCTGGAGAGAGAGTGAGTACGAGGGGTGTGAAAGCAGAGTTTGTAGAGAAGCTTAATACAAGCATAAAAATCGTAAGACAAGCTCTTGTAGAATGAGGATAGCAAAAGACCAGCTTTAATAAAACCTCATACTTCAGAGGAAATAGTTCTTGTAGTAGTTGTAATATGTATATGCAAGTAAAAATAATACCACACGGATTTGTTGTCCTGCGTCGAACGCAATCGAGCGGTATCCCTTGTGCGAGATCGTGAATACTTCTATTGCTAAAAAACTTTCACCCTTCGCAATTTCTGCTGTCTTCATTTCCTTCAAAGCTTTCACTGCAGCATCAAATTTCTTAACAAATATCTCCCGATTTTCTGGCTTCTTCGTATCACCAAAGGTAATCGCTGGTGCGGCCTTCGTAGCAGGCTGCGGGAACAGCTTGTTCATGCTCACACTCAAGTACCCACAAAGCTTCATGCCGACGTACGCGTAGGCCGGCCTTTGCAGTAAGTATAAATTGACGATCGCGCACAAGATTTGTTCAACTGCGTAGTTTGAATTAAGATAAAGCTACTGCATTGTTTTCAATCGGCAAAAAAATTGAGCAGGAAGATCATGGTGTGTGGAAACGAGGAGATACTTTCCGAACAAAAACTTTCAACGAACAACCCAAAATGAAAATGTTAGATGGCGTCATGCATCCGTAAAGAAATACCAAAAAAGGTGTTCGATGGGGTAACGTTGTACAAGCTCCTTATGCGCCTCTTGCGCTAAGATCTCATAGGCGATATTGTGAATCGTCGATTTCATACCGCTAAGAGCATCGCCTACCGCACGCTGTAGCATCAATGCAGTAGAAGTAGACATTTCTGCACTTGGAACCGAGTGCGATAGCAAGAACATGTACTCAAAAGGCTGATGTTATCTTGTTCATCTTCACAATGTGCACATTCTTGACAATTTAATCGCTTTTACACATTCACTATTGGAACAGGTGGTACCATTGGCCTCTCGAGCTGGACCTCTGCCCACTGCTTTCCCCTAGTTGCATACGATGGTAAGACCAAATCACTGTCCTTCGCGACATCATCTGCTGAGTCCCCGGTCCTGCCGCCCGTCAAATACGGTGTTGCTGGTGCCTCTATCTCTGCAAAATATGCTGTCAATCCGTGCCTAAGCATTAGAACTATTTCTTAATTTCCACATTATCTACTTCCAAAATGTTTACGAAAACGCGCGTAAACATAAGCTAGAGCTGCATCGTCCTATTTGTCCGAGGAATATCGGTATGCACACTATGCTCTCCAAATCTATCTTCATCTACTTACGGTAGTAATCTATAATGTCAAGTCGACTAGTTGTTCTCGAACACAAGCTTGGGTCTTAACTCTGCAAGTTCTCGGGCGGTCGACGACCAATCCGACGCAAGGCCCATCGCGCTGTCCGCCAGGTTATATTCGCCTTCGATAACCTTTCGAAGGGGGCCTTTCTGAGAAATGCCCACAGGCTCGCGGTCTGAAAAGAAATATACAGGTTTTCTTAGGCAAGTTTAGGAAATGCATATCCTATAACATGTGTGCTACTTGAGAGGAGCTTACATCATTCGAAACTTCAAATCACATGGCCAAAATTGGATACGCAATACTTCACAAAAAATCAATGCTTTAGAAGTGACCACGAAGACAAAGAAGTAGCGAGTCCTTCAATCAACGCAAACAACCTCTTGTCACAATCATTCCAAGGGTGAAAGTGTAGCGGAGTTCTGAGTACCTGCAAAGAGGGAGACCACGTGCGTACTGATGGCCTTCGCAGGCGTCCCTACTACCTCCGGGACCCAATCGAAAGGAATCAAGTTGTTCACAGCAAAATGCGCTCCTGGGGCTGCGAGTGTCTGGGCCGCGGACGCCGCCGCATCTGCCCCATAAGACGGCGCAATGTACCACAGAACCCCCATAACAAAGCGCAACCTGGGTTGATAGTTTTAGTTGTAAAAAGTTCTAGCATCCCCCAGCCTCCACATCGGGCTACTATTGTTTTAACTACTTTCTCAATCTTAATTGCAGTATTGCTCATACTCTAGCTTTTGTTGTCGTTATTTAGAAGTCTTCTTTTCTGCTTCATCCGGCCCGCCGTATTGCTTCTCTATTTACAACAAGAACAAGGTCTCAATGTTGTTTGAAACAAGAAAAAGAGAAATGTACGCCATCCATGTGTAAATAACGGACACGGCTAGGAGACCATATCGGACGGCTCCGTAAGCGCCGGAACGTATCGCGGTGACAGGACGAATTTCCTTCGCTGGCACAGAAATTTTTCGGAGACCTTTGCGGTGCTTCAAATGCGCACGCAATCCTCGTGGAGCATTGCCCAAAGTTTCGATATTCTGTTGTAATTTCTTTTCGCCTCTTCTATGAAAGGTTTCAATTCTCAAGTTTTCATCTTGTAAAATCATTCAGCCACTATGCGGCTGGCATCCACCGCTATTCTGATAAAAAACACGTGCAATGAAGTCACTTACTCTACTGAGACCAAGATCAGATGTGAGGAGGATGAAAAAACCAGCAAGCGTTGCCGATGTAACGAAGAAAAATAACACGCTACCCCATTGAAATCGGTTGTTGAGTTCATAAGTTTGATCAGTCGGGTCGATCAACCCCTTTTGCACCTTGTTCTCCAGGAACTTCATATAGGCCTCCGCATGCGCTACGCTTGATGCGAAACTAATCATTTTTGGATCGCGTTGCTCCTTTGGCAGCGCAGTCGGCGATCGCGGCGAACCACCCTTTTGCTGCGTCAGTTCTCGTGCCGGACTCGGGATTAGAAATTATATATATTATAAAACCATAGGATGCGTTAGGGAAGAGCACTCCCTGAGTTGTCTTGGATATTCAGATGGTTTGTCAACTTTGGAAATGAATGAAAAAAGTCAGAGAGAAGTTGGAAACAAGTCTGTAGAATCGCCATAAAAAATCTGCGCGCATGACGCCCTCTGCGCCGTACATGACAGCGCCGCTAGAAAGTGGCTCTCCGTCGCTCGTGTCCAGGGTTTGCAGGTAGAAAATGCGAAGATACTCTTCGAAGCTCAAGTCGTATCCATCCTGCGCAGTGCCAGCGTCGACCGACGCCTTGCCGGATCCTGTTTGCAAAAACGACTTGGCGGCAGTCATGACCTGCTGACGATCCCGCTTCGTGAACTGGTCGACCAAAGATTTCGTATACTTGCTTCCCTCTTGAAACGCTACAGCGATCAAGGGCGTGATCGTGTAAGTGGCACCCATTTTACGCTTCTCCTTGGCGTCCGTCGGGTCGAGAAAATGAAGCAGGATTGTAGAATTGAGTCAAGGAGGACTTCGTCAAAACATCATTGTGACGTTTCTTGTTGATGAACCCCAAACCCTCTAATAATAAATCTAAGATGTTCCTCCAGGCTCTCTATAGAATAAAATCTAGTTTTATCTTCGGTTTTTTCTGATCACAATCACATTGTCATACAGATAGAGTTCGGACCGGATGTTGCCTCGTCCGCGCGAGCCGCCGGTGATCTTCATGAGCCACATCTGCTTCGCGTATGCCCACTCGCCACAAAAGCGCATCACTGCAATCGCGTCGGGTTCGCTGATGATCTGCCACACCTCCTCTCTTTTTCCCGTAGAGACAAGCAGTGCGGGAAAAAGCTGTGCGCCAGAGCCAGCGCTGACCCTCTCTTGCGCTGGAAAATCCATCGCAGATGCCGGTCCCTTCACTGCGCTCTGAACGCTTCCCACATCGTAAGCCTCACATACGGCCTCAACCTGAGGTTTTTTCTCACAAGGTAAAAGGTCTTCATGAAGTCTATGACTTCTCTGCAAGATATTCAACATCTACACCTGTTCGTTCAGTCACATTCTCTAAAAGTACACAGCGTTAGTCTTTTTTCAATTCCTGATTCGCGTCCTACTGGCACGACATCTTTTACCGATGGATAGGCATCTACGTAAGTTTGTTCTGAGTACCTCTGCAATGTGAACTCCCTCTCCATTAGCCGCTTCATCCCGGCGAAAGGCGACGTAGAGCGTCGACATGACTGACTTCCGTGGGAGCGCGAAGGCCACCTCCATCTGTGCATTCTGGATCTTGCTGCTTATCTCTCCTAAGTCATCATCTGTGCTCCTCTGCATACCTTCTTCTTTCACGCTTCGGAGAAGCTGCTCTGCTCTTCCTTTTGTCACTTTCAGCCTGTCGTTGGCCGCACACGGTTCCACAAGCTGCTTCTCCTTCCCGGCGCGCTCCAAAAGCACCTGAAAATATCAACAAAAGACACATCACATCTGAACTCTTCTAAGAAAGGCGAAATTACCGCGTTTCTTTCGACACTAAAAATCTCAAGCTGAGGTACATGCTCGATGGTTGTACGAGGCTTACAAATTTTTACGTAGAAGCAGTATTGCATATTTAGTTTTAGCGGTGCCTAGGACTCTCATCAAGTTTGATAGTGGACATGAAAGGATCTTGAGACCATTACTCGTTACTGGAAGATTTACTTATACATAAAGCAAGCGCGAAGTATATTTCGCGTGGAGGCGTCCAGTGCTTGTTGTATCACGCTTACGGAGCACATAAAAAGTATAGAATTTTCATAAATTCACGTGATAGGAGTTATCATTATTCTTTTGAAACAGATACCGGCTCAAACTCTTTTCGGGCTGCGGCGAAAAGCTCGGACTTATACGATCTAGATCTCGCTTTGGCTGACGAGACCGTGTCAGCAACGTGTTGGTGAATCAGATTGTGTAGCGCTACGTTGGTCCTGATTCCTTCCTGCAGCCAAACGAGAAAGTTTTTGTATGTATCGTCGTATTCAATAATGTCATAAGCTGGCTCCGACGTCGCGGCAGCCGGAGCTTCTGAATTCGGCGCCGCGGCTGGCACTGCTGCCGGCGGAGACGCGGGACCATTACTGCTGCTGCTGGCGGCGGAAACAGTGGTACCGAAACACGCGACACCGGTCATGCCGGCACGCAGAAATAACCATTTCGAGGGCATTGCAAGCATCATTTTTCCACCAAGCACACGATTGACCTGACTTTGTTCTGAAGGTCTTGTCGTTCTTTATTTCAATTTCACACTGAATTTCCGATCCCTTGCGGCTCGTGTAGAAACACTTGCCAACTTTTTTGCTAGCCTATTAAATTGTGATGTGGGGGAAACAAGCTTGCGTCACGTACAGATCAGCAGGATGTTATGAAGCGATGCTTTGACAAAGTGAGAAAAAGCAGTCCGTGGTAGTTGTAATAAGGAGGTAGTACTTCATATTTCAAATTACTTTTACTACTGAAGATGCCTCCAAAAATTATAAGCCAGGAGCAATGTAGGACCTTTGTTAATTTCATGAAGTGACTTACACCTTGATTGTCTTCCTCCATTACTTAGGCTACAAAACATTTAAGCATGCGTAGGCATATTAAACGAGTTCATGGTACACATGATTCGATATAGATGTGCACTACGCGCGTACCAGCAACAATATTCCAAAAATGATCGTAGAGAAAGATCTTGCAAGCACCGAGATGCACCTAAGTTATCAGCTTATCTATGCTAGACGAGACGCTACTAGAGGTTGCAAGTAAAATATGATGCGACCATTGAAGCGGCCTCCGGGGTACCTCTACCGCTTCGTCAATAAACCAAAAGCGCATAATGGGATACAACTTCTTGTCCTATTCAAAGACGAGAAGGATACATAGGGCACATACCTAAGTGAGCAGAAAGCAAGAACGAAGGAAGACCAACAGCTGACTTCACATCAACAAGGGATCGAAATCGATGCCACACCGATTATTATTATTATGTTCGCGCCCGACCCTATCGCCGCAGACGTTCCGCGCACGCAGCGCGCCTACCATCTGGCGATGTAAGTGCGCTCGGGACCTTCCTGGCGGTCCGGTGGTTGTGTTGGGTCCAACGGGGAGACTGCGCGTTTCTACACGCTATTTCCTATCTAGTTTCTATCTAATCCGCGCAGCTTCGCTTCCTCCCATGTCCACCTTGTCTACATCCACAGCCAAATAGAAGCGCCACCGCAAAGCCGCGGCTTACCTGATCACAATGAAGCCGGAGGGCGGGCGGCCATTAGACCGCTCGTCGACTCACAGCCCAAGCGCGCATCCCAAGGCCCAAACGGCATGGCCGCACTGCCCCCTTGAATTGGTACTGGTGCCCGAGACGAAGCACCGACTCCCGGAGCGGGTCGCTGAAGATCTATAACACAGTGATCGTCCACTTCGCACCACACAAACAGTCAGAATAGTCAGTGCAAAATCGCACTCGCACAAGGTGATCTTTTCTTTGTGGATGACAGTCCCACATATGGGATGCTCGTACAGATACGCAAATGAGCGCACTGTGACGCTGTGGTCGACATCAAGCAGGGACCAATAAATCACCAGAGAACAACAACATGGTCATCCACATTGGTGACACAGAACACAAACATCCGTTCCTCACAAAAGTGTCCCACATGTCTTGCACCTAGGCAAAGACAGCGCAGTCGAAAAACATGACGCGACGAGTTAGGTTTTTCTGTAGTACTGTTTTTGTGGTCAGCTTGACTAGTGTCGGGATTGGTTCCTGAATCAATCTCCTGTAGTTGAAGGTTTCTAAAAAGGCAGACGCAAACTCTACGTTCTATGTATCATTTCTACTTTTGAATCGCCACGCGAAAATTTCGCCCAGACCATGCGAGTCTGGTAATTTCCTGCAGATGGGACGTTTGTTGAGTACCAAGATATTACATGTTTTTGGGATGATGTTCATTGTGTAGGACGATGTCGAATGTTTGTCCGACAGCACTTTGCTGAATGTCAACATGTTGAGAGAATTCCTAATCCTAGAACGATTTGCATGTTGCCTATGAAATAAATGACTCTATGAGATTCATCAAATGCCGTCTGATAATATGCAGCAGCGCACTATGGAGAACAAGAACTGAAGGCTGACTTATAAAAATTGACACAAGCGCATCCACAAGAAATAAAGGTGTTTATCCGACATAATTCTGAAGCGAACTAAGATGTCGGAAACGCTGTCTTGGTCACTATCATCCGCTCCTTTCAATGGGGTGATTATTTGTAGTTGTATCTTTTTCGTCCTCTGGAACAGCCTCATCACGCACTGCCCTGCTCTTGATATCATGAGCATGATCTAGTTCTGCCAAAGTACTTAGAAGCACTTGCGGTGAACGATCGTCGGGCCCGACTCGTCGTACTCGTTCTTCGAGATCCACATCTGCTGGAAGGTCGACAGCGAAGACAGAATGCTGAACGGAGGAGGGAGAAAAAAGTTACAAGGAAAATGCGACGAAGAATGCTAATGCTTTTAAAAATTGCACACAATCACAGTGAAAACAAACTAGTTTTACCCAACAAACTCATACTTGTACACTGCCGCGCTGAAGGAAACAAACTACTTGTACTTTTCCTGTGCCCTTTTGCGTCCCACAGAGAAAACATTGATTGTTCTATCTTGAAATCTAGCAACAAGAAGTCATCTGCGCGTGCCTGCAGAGAGTTTCAGTACCTTCCGCCAATCCAAACTGAGTACTTGCGTTCCGGAGGAGCGACAACTTTGATTTTCATGGTTGACGGTGCCAGCGCCGTTAATTCCTTTGTCATGCGCTCCCCAATGCCTGGGAACATAGTGGTACCACCGGAAAGAACCACGTTGGCGTACAGATCCTTACGGATATCGACGTCGCACTTCATGATCGATTGGAACGTAGTGTCGTGAATACCTGACGATTCTTTGCCAATGAACGACGGCTGGAACAGAACCTCGGGACAGCGGAAGCGCTCGTTTCCAACCGTGATAACGTTACCATCAGGCAGCTCAAAGGTTTTCTCATTTTCCGAAGACTGCGCCGCCTGCTTCATCTCGGCATCGAAATCCAACGCAACGTAAGTGAGCTTCTCCTTCAAGTCCTTGACGATCTCACGCTCGGCGGTGGTAGTGAACGAGTAACCACGTTCGGTCAAGATCTTCATCATGTACTCCGTCAAGTCGCGACCAGCCAAATCCAGACGTAAGATGGCGTGCGGGAGCGCGTAGCCCTCGTAGATCGGCACGGTGTGAGACACCCCATCACCAGAGTCCATGACGATTCCTGTAGTACGCCCAGAAGCGTACAGAGACATGACTGCCTGAATCGCCACGTACATGGCCGGGCAGTTGAAGGTCTCGAACATGATCTGCGTCATGCGTTCCCGATTCGCCTTCGGGTTCAGCGGAGCTTCGGTTAACAGCACTGGGTGCTCCTCCGGAGCAACACGGAGCTCGTTGTAGAAGGTGTGATGCCAGATCTTCTCCATATCATCCCAGTTGGTTACGATACCATGCTCGATCGGGTATTTGAGCGTAAGCACACCACGCTTGGACTGCGCCTCGTCCCCAACGTAGGAGTCTTTCTGATCCATACCGACCATAATTCCTGGCATCTTCGGGCGCCCGACAATGGACGGAAAGACGGCTCGCGGTGCGTCATCACCCGCGAATCCGGCCTTGCACATACCGGACCCGTTGTCCACCACGAGAGCTTGCACTTCTTCGTCTGCCATTTTGTCGACAGAGTATCGTTCAAGAAAACTCAAGGAATATGCCGAAGCAAGAGAGTACAGCAACAGTATGGAAAAGCGACGAAAGCCACAAGTTACGCATACAAGAGCCAACTGAATTTTCAAATGAATTTACGTGGTATCAAATGTATGTCTCTCGACGCAGAACCATAGAATCAAAATTTGCACGGAGCTTGCTTCCACGCCAGTCAATCGCAGAATACTTCGAGAAAATGCAGCGAGCTGATGCATACGCCGATGTGCGCAATCAAAAACATAATATTTTGTTGTTATGGATCGACTCAAGATCAAGATGAGGCTCCACCCGGGTTTGCCGCGCGCAGGAAGGAGTGAACTCGTACCGTCGCAGGATGAACACATTCCTTGCCTGTACCTTTTTCGACAAAGCTATGATGCCAACTCTTTCGCCGACCGGCAATCGCATGCTTTTCGCGCACACCCACCTTTCATTAAGCACAACAGCCCTTGTCAATAAATTCCACAATTGCTGCAGCTCAAAATAATAAGTCTTTTCTGTTTATGTTGCGTGTAGACATGCGAACGAGGTAACCCCATTCGGTAAGAACAGTCGCTCTAACACAAAGACATGTGAGTCTGCGAACGTCCCGACGTCGGAGCTACACCACAAGCCGTCCGATTCTTTCTCAGATCAATCCTAAAAGCCAATCCTAAAAGCACTGACTTTCAGTTTTACGTCTAACATTAATTACAGACATCTGGAATTATTGCGTGAGTGGATTTCACTACAAATTATCATAATTCGGTTAAGAATCTAGAGCCTAAATCTACAGAACATGCTATGCTCCACATCATTGTTCGCACCTTGGTATGCCAATACTAAGAATGAAGATTCCTATGTCGTATCTCCAGCAAGTGGGTACACCGGGTGATGGTTATACTTTCCACCTTTGTTTTTAATGGTTTCTTCTAGCCGATCCTTGCGTCGTCGATGGAGAAAGAGACTCCTGTGTGTATCGCATGAGCAAGTCAGCCTAACATACAAACAACAACCCATGAGATTTTTAACAGATGAAGAAGAGAACTAGTATTAAAAATCCACGAAAAGCTATTTCCGTTGCATATTCGCCTAGGAAACGCGAGCCATAAGTTTGACGAAGCTATTCATTTGAATGCTGGCAAGTCGACTTCTGATGCTGTGTCCGACCATTATTTTTTGTATGAGGGAGATGAAGAAAGTATTGGCTTCTTGATCTGTGAGCAAACCATGTGAAAGATTCATCCTGGATACCGTCTTCGCCTTGCGTGTGCCTGACTGTAGCTGTCAACAGTAGAACTAGTTCTTCTCGCTTGATGTAGAATTACATCATCTTAGTTCCGCAACTTCTGTGCACGGTTGTCAGGTTCAACGCTCCTGCATTGTACGCTTTTTAGAAGCACTTGCGGTGCACGATTGTCGGGCCAGACTCATCGTACTCGTTCTTTGAGATCCACATCTGCTGGAACGTCGAAAGCGAGGACAGAATGCTGAAGAGAGAGGGAGAAAGATTATTATAACATGAATGGTTCAAGAATTGCGGAAAAACCCCGTGAAAATCGCATGGATTTGTATCTCGAGATAAAAGCACAGTAGAACTAGAAAAAATCAGGCACTAGTAATCGACGTTGGAAACCGAGAACATTGACATGCCCACATCAAAAATAAGTGTGTTGATGTACCTGCCTCCGATCCAAACGGAGTACTTACGCTCCGGCGGAGCAACGACCTTGATCTTCATGGTGGACGGAGCGAGGGCTGTAATTTCCTTTGTCATACGCTCACCGATACCCGGGTACATTGTGGTACCACCGGAGAGCACAATGTTCGCGTAAAGATCCTTGCGGATATCGACGTCGCACTTCATGATCGACTGAAAGGTTGTATCATGAATGCCCGAGGATTCCTTTCCGATAAACGACGGCTGGAACAGCACCTCCGGGCAGCGAAAGCGTTCGTTTCCGACGGTGATGACGTTTCCATCGGGAAGCTCGAAGGTCTTCTCGTTCTCCGAAGACTGTGCAGCCTGCTTCATCTCAGCATCGAAGTCCAACGCAACATAGGTGAGCTTCTCTTTCAAGTCCTTCACGATCTCGCGCTCGGCGGTGGTCGTAAAAGAGTAACCACGCTCGGTCAAGATCTTCATCATGTACTCCGTCAAGTCGCGACCAGCCAAATCCAAACGCAAGATCGCGTGCGGAAGAGCATATCCTTCGTAGATCGGCACGGTGTGCGAGACGCCATCACCGGAGTCCATGACAATTCCTGTGGTACGACCAGAAGCGTAGAGGGACATGACTGCCTGAATCGCAACGTACATTGCCGGGCAATTGAAGGTCTCGAACATGATCTGAGTCATGCGTTCACGGTTCGCCTTCGGATTCAGCGGAGCCTCGGTCAGCAGCACCGGGTGCTCTTCCGGAGCAACACGGAGCTCGTTGTAGAAGGTGTGGTGCCAGATCTTCTCCATATCGTCCCAATTGGTCACAATGCCGTGCTCGATGGGGTACTTCAAGGTGAGGACACCTCGCTTGGATTGTGCCTCGTCACCGACGTACGAGTCTTTCTGATCCATACCAACCATGATACCTGGCATCTTCGGGCGTCCGACAATGGACGGGAAAACGGCGCGTGGAGCGTCATCACCTGCGAATCCGGCCTTGCACATACCAGATCCGTTGTCCACCACAAGTGCTTGCACTTCTTCGTCGGCCATCTTGTCGATAGAAAACTGTTACGAAAAACAACAAAAAGACTTCTTGAAGAAAAAATGGATCTAAGTCCCAGAAAAGCGTTTAGTTACCCTACAACTTCAGGGGTTTGCTTGCGTTGGAACCGCTTTGATTTGAAAATCTCACGTCCTGCATGCGTTGGAAGAATTATCAGCACGATCATGATCAATGACTATGTTTCCCTCGAACTTAATTTCACGGTTGTAATCATGACGCCCTGATGAAATACACACAACAATCAACACAATCAACCATGACTACACGCGGCAGATATGATCGCTGCCTTTCACTTCTCAATCATGATATCTCCGCCAGAATTCTAAGGACAGAAGAACTTTCTCCCGTGCTGCTCCTCCACCTACGCAAAAGCTGCTCTTTTGTTGCCAGATAGATGAACGTCAAAGTAGCAAAACTACATTCCCTGTATATAACTAGAGTCTCTCTTTCCTCGATTATCCCGGGACAATATCGTCGAAAACGAACACCTGAACAACGTCTTCAACGGGACCTTCGAAATTGTAGAGAAGGAACGAAGGCTGCACCGTTGCTCTCATTCTTTCGTCAAAGTGGCGACTGACTCATACTCACTTCCTTGTCGCGCAAAGACATGCAAACACCACTCGCCAATAATTCCGCAAGTGCTGTGTGTCATAAGACCTCAACATATGAGCAGCGTACAGTTTCTTGTAATGCACATGAGAAAAAGGCGTCTCCTTCTTCAATGCAATTGCTCTAACAAGCCTAATGATAGTTTGAGTCTGCAAAAGCATGCCCGACGGAGATGGCGTAGCCTCCTTGTTGTCCCTGTGATTCTTTCTCAATTCTATTTCCAAAAAAGATTTCTACTTTGGTTTTCTATTGATCCCCCCTGTACCAAACCCTTTTCATTTCTCATACGTCTTTAGTGTCGTGGTGAAATTGATGAACGTAATTGGTACGCGCCTTGCGCCGAGAAAGTAACAACATGATCTTCTCTAACGTTTTTTACTCAAGCTACTTTCCCCGTGGTTTCGAAGCTACTTTCCCCGTGGTTTCGAAAAGACTTAGAAGCACTTGCGGTGCACGATGGTCGGGCCAGACTCGTCATACTCGTTCTTCGAGATCCACATCTGCTGGAACGTCGACAACGAGGACAGGATACTGAAGTTGTGTTCAAGAATTGGGAATGGAAAGAGAAATAAATGCGACCAACCACAACAAATATATTTTATAAATATATAAGATGTAAAAATTTCGTGACACTTCTTGTAGATACCCTTAATCTCCGCTCACGCTAATCATGTTGACAGAACATGCTCATTCGTAGCAAAAAAAAAGATGTATCATAGAAAAATTAACAACTCTGGGATCTAAAATAAATACCTGCCACCGATCCACACGGAGTACTTACGCTCTGGGGGAGCTACAACCTTGATCTTCATGGTGGAAGGGGCGAGAGCGGTAATTTCCTTCGTCATACGCTCGCCGATGCCCGGATACATGGTGGTACCACCGGAGAGCACAATGTTCGCGTAAAGATCCTTACGGATATCGACGTCGCACTTCATGATCGACTGAAAGGTCGTGTCGTGAATACCCGACGACTCCTTTCCGATGAAGGACGGCTGGAACAACACCTCCGGGCAGCGAAAGCGCTCGTTTCCAACGGTGATGACGTTTCCATCAGGGAGCTCAAATGTCTTCTCGTTCTCCGAAGACTGTGCCGCCTGCTTCATCTCAGCATCGAAGTCCAACGCAACATAGGTGAGCTTCTCCTTCAAGTCCTTCACGATCTCACGCTCGGCGGTGGTGGTAAAGGAGTAACCACGCTCGGTCAAGATCTTCATCATGTACTCCGTCAAGTCGCGACCAGCAAAATCCAAACGCAAAATGGCGTGCGGGAGAGCGTATCCCTCGTAGATGGGCACGGTGTGAGAGACACCATCACCGGAGTCCATGACGATTCCTGTTGTACGACCAGAAGCGTACAGGGACATGACTGCATGAATCGCAACGTACATTGCCGGGCAGTTGAAAGTCTCGAACATGATCTGAGTCATGCGCTCACGGTTCGCCTTCGGGTTAAGGGGTGCCTCGGTCAGCAACACCGGATGCTCTTCCGGAGCGACGCGGAGCTCGTTGTAGAAGGTGTGGTGCCAGATCTTCTCCATGTCGTCCCAGTTGGTCACGATGCCGTGCTCGATCGGGTACTTCAGGGTGAGCACACCTCGCTTGGATTGTGCTTCGTCACCAACATACGAGTCTTTCTGATCCATGCCAACCATGATGCCCGGCATCTTCGGGCGTCCGACGATGGACGGGAAAACGGCGCGAGGAGCGTCATCACCTGCAAATCCGGCCTTGCACATACCGGATCCGTTGTCCACCACGAGAGCTTGCACTTCTTCGTCGGCCATCTTGTCGGTAGAGAGCTGCTAAGAAAAGCAACTAAAAAATCTAGCGAATGAAGAGACGGCTATAGATAGTCGAAAAAAATGGAATGATCTTCTAAGGAGAAGAAAAACGTTGACGAACCCTACAACTTAGGGGATTTTGCGTTGGGAGACCGTCGGTTTGGATATCTCGCGTCCATCCTGCACATGTTAGTAAAAACATCATGATGTAGTTGTTCATCATGTTATTTGTCTTTTTGGATTTCACTCCTAATTATTAATTTAGTCTGTCTAATTACTCACAGAAGATGCACAAGCTTGATGGCTGCACGCGCTTTTGATCGCTCCGCTAAACTTCTCAATAATCTGTCGACCAGAATAAAGCGGACAGAAGGACTTTATTGCTTGCTGTTACAACTCCCACGCAGCTATTTTATGGAACAACTCGCCGGCGCAGTAGTGAAAGCAGATCAATGCTCGTAATGTTCGCACAGACCATCAACAGTCGTCTCTCAGTCCCAGAACTGGCAACTGTAATGACAAAACTCGTTCAATCGTTTCCCTCTAGCATAGCGTCGTCGAAGATGAACACTTGAAGAATGTCTTTCATGACCGCAAGAGTTACAGAGCAACAGCGAATACTGCGCACGCGCTGCTCATCTTTCGTGTCATTCATTGCCTCATACTAATTTCCTGATTGTTTTGGTGCGAGAAGATGTAGACACAAAACAGCACTCGCCAATAATTCCGCAAGTGCTGTCGTGTGCTGCAAAATCTGGACGTATGAGCAGCAGCGAGTTTGTTGTTTAATGCACATCAAGGCTTCTCCTTCTACTATGCAATCGCTCTAACAAACCACCAGCAGCTGACGGTATGAGTCTGCGATAGCATACACGATGAAGATGAATAGCCTCCTTATTTTACTACAACTTGTGATTCTTTCTCATTCTCCAAATAAAAATTGTCGCGCGATTTCTCGTTCTTGGTCTTCCCAAATCCAGTTCATTAGACCTTGATTGCAAGATTTTGATTGATCTTTCTACTTACTTTTTGTGAAGTCGGAGATTACAATAGCGCACTCTGCATGCCACATTCATGAGTACTGGAGATTTCCATCGGCGCAGTGGCATGAGTACATACGTCGACGAATATTTGCCACCCACACGGAGTTTCGAAAAAGTAGCAAAAAAATCTTCTTCGAAGGTTGATGTACCTCGTTGCTCATACAACGAGCTTTCCTCTGCGCTCGAAAAGGCTTAGAAGCACTTGCGGTGCACGATGGTCGGGCCAGACTCGTCATACTCGTTCTTCGAGATCCACATCTGCTGGAACGTCGACAGCGAGGACAGGATACTGAATTTGTGGTAAAGAAGTAAGTATCATGGAGAGGGAAAATGGAGGGAATCACTACAACAAAGATCTGACTTCTTAAATAAAAAGATGTGGGGATGCTCGCATTCTCCGGTGCTCATGCTATTGAACACGTTCTTGACAATGCGTGCTTCCAACTGCCCAGCAAAGTTATACAACAGGAAAACAAATTTAACTTCTGTGATAAAAATTACCTTCCACCAATCCACACGGAGTACTTACGCTCAGGAGGAGCGACAACCTTGATCTTCATGGTGGACGGAGCGAGAGCGGTAATTTCCTTGGTCATACGCTCACCGATGCCCGGGTACATGGTGGTACCACCGGAGAGCACAATATTCGCGTAAAGATCCTTACGGATATCGACATCGCACTTCATGATCGACTGGAAGGTCGTGTCGTGAATACCGGAGGACTCCTTTCCGATGAAGGAAGGCTGAAACAACACCTCCGGGCAACGGAAGCGCTCGTTTCCGACCGTGATGACGTTGCCATCGGGCAATTCGAAGGTCTTTTCGTTTTCGGAAGACTGAGCCGCCTGCTTCATCTCGGCATCGAAATCCAACGCAACGTACGTGAGCTTCTCCTTCAAGTCCTTCACGATCTCGCGCTCGGCGGTGGTGGTGAAAGAGTAACCACGCTCGGTCAAGATCTTCATCATGTACTCTGTCAAATCGCGACCAGCCAAATCCAAACGCAAGATGGCGTGCGGAAGAGCGTATCCTTCGTAGATCGGCACGGTGTGCGAGACACCATCACCGGAATCCATGACAATTCCTGTGGTACGACCAGAAGCGTAGAGGGACATGACTGCCTGAATCGCAACGTACATTGCCGGGCAATTGAAGGTCTCGAACATAATCTGAGTCATACGTTCACGGTTCGCCTTCGGATTCAGCGGAGCCTCGGTCAGCAGCACCGGGTGCTCTTCCGGAGCAACACGGAGCTCGTTGTAGAAGGTGTGGTGCCAGATCTTCTCCATATCGTCCCAATTGGTCACAATGCCGTGCTCGATGGGGTACTTCAAGGTGAGGACACCTCGCTTGGATTGTGCCTCGTCACCGACGTACGAGTCTTTCTGATCCATACCAACCATGATACCTGGCATCTTCGGGCGTCCGACAATGGACGGGAAAACGGCGCGTGGAGCGTCATCACCTGCGAATCCGGCCTTGCACATACCGGATCCGTTGTCCACCACAAGGGCTTGCACTTCTTCGTCGGCCATCTTGTCGATAGAAAACTGTTACGAAAAACAACAAAAAGACTTCTTGAAGAAAAAATGGATCTAAGTCCCAGAAAAGCGTGTAGCTACCCTACAACTTCAGAGGTTTGTTTGCGTTGGAACCGCTTGGTTTGAAAATCTCACGTCCTGACTGCGTTGGAAAGGTTATCAGCATGATCGTGATCAATGACTCTGTTTCGCTCGTACTTAGTTTCACACATGTAATTACGACGCCCTGATGAAATACACACACAAATCAAGCATGACTGCACACCAGACTTCATCGCTGCCTTTCACTTCTCAATAATATCTCTGCCAGAGTTGCAAGGACAGAAAAACTTTCTCTTTTGCTGCAAAACACGTGATCCAGAAAAGAGCAAAACTACGTTCTCCATAACTGGAGTCTCTCGTTCCTCAAGTATCCCGCGAACAACAAAGGAGTCAACCATCGCGGATTGTCCTCGTGGAAAGTGAACACTTGAACAATGTCTTCCAGCGGAATCTTTGGAATGGTAGAGCCGAAGCGAATGCTGCACCGTCGCTCTCCTTCTTTCCTCCAAGTGGCGACTGACTCATATTCATTTCCTTGTGGCGCAAAGAAACGCAAATACAAAACAACACTCGCCAATAATTCCGCAAGTGCTGTCTGTCGTTTCCTCAACCTATGAGCAGCGTGAAGTTTCTCATGATGCTAATACCAAAAAAGGGCCTCCTTCTATGCAATTGCTCTAACAAGCCTAATGATAGTTTGAGTCTGCAAAAGCATGCCCGACGGAGATGGTGTAGCCTCCTTGTTGTGCCTGTGATTCTTTCTCGATTCTATTTGTTCCAAACGAGATTTATACTTTGGCTTTCTATTGATCCCCCCAGTAACAAACCCTTTTCATGTCTCATACGTCTCCATTGATGTAGTTGCGAAATTGATCAACGTAATTGTTCCGCGCCTTGTGCCGAGAAAGTAACAACATGATCTTCTTCGAACGTTTTTTACTTCAACGACTTTCCCCCTGGTTTCGAAAAGACTTAGAAGCACTTGCGGTGCACGATGGTCGGGCCAGACTCGTCATACTCGTTCTTCGAGATCCACATCTGCTGGAACGTCGACAACGAGGACAGGATACTGAAGTTGTGTTCAAGAATTGGGTATGGAAAGAGAAATAAATGCGACCAACCACAACAAATATATTTTATAAATATATAAGATGTAAAAATTTCGTGACACTTCTTGTAGATACCCTTATTCTCCGCTCACGCTAATCATGTTGACAGAACATGCTCATTCGTAGCAGAAAAAAAGATGTATCATAGAAAAATTAACAACTCTGGGATCTAAAATAAATACCTGCCACCGATCCACACGGAGTACTTACGCTCTGGGGGAGCTACAACCTTGATCTTCATGGTGGAAGGGGCGAGAGCGGTAATTTCCTTCGTCATACGCTCGCCGATGCCCGGATACATGGTGGTACCACCGGAGAGCACAATGTTCGCGTAAAGATCCTTACGGATATCGACGTCGCACTTCATGATCGACTGAAAGGTCGTGTCGTGAATACCCGACGACTCCTTTCCGATGAAGGACGGCTGGAACAACACCTCCGGGCAGCGAAAGCGCTCGTTTCCAACGGTGATGACGTTTCCATCAGGGAGCTCAAATGTCTTCTCGTTCTCCGAAGACTGTGCCGCCTGCTTCATCTCAGCATCGAAGTCCAACGCAACATAGGTGAGCTTCTCCTTCAAGTCCTTCACGATCTCACGCTCGGCGGTGGTGGTAAAGGAGTAACCACGCTCGGTCAAGATCTTCATCATGTACTCCGTCAAGTCGCGACCAGCTAAATCCAAACGCAAGATGGCGTGCGGGAGAGCGTATCCCTCGTAGATGGGCACGGTGTGAGAGACACCATCACCGGAGTCCATGACGATTCCTGTTGTACGACCAGAAGCGTACAGGGACATGACTGCTTGAATCGCAACGTACATTGCCGGGCAGTTGAAGGTCTCGAACATGATCTGAGTCATGCGCTCACGGTTCGCCTTCGGGTTCAGGGGTGCCTCGGTCAGCAACACCGGATGCTCTTCCGGAGCGACGCGGAGCTCGTTGTAGAAGGTGTGGTGCCAGATCTTCTCCATGTCGTCCCAGTTGGTCACGATGCCGTGCTCGATCGGGTACTTCAGGGTGAGCACACCTCGCTTGGATTGTGCTTCGTCACCAACATACGAGTCTTTCTGATCCATGCCAACCATGATGCCCGGCATCTTCGGGCGTCCGACGATGGACGGGAAAACGGCGCGAGGAGCGTCATCACCTGCAAATCCGGCATTGCACATACCGGATCCGTTGTCCACCACGAGAGCTTGCACTTCTTCGTCGGCCATCTTGTCGGTAGAGAGCTGCTAAGAAAAGCAACTAAAAAATCTAGAGAATGAAGAGACGGCTATAGATAGTCGAAAAAAATGGAATGATCTTCTAAGGAGAAGAAAAACGTTGACGAACCCTACAACTTAGGGGATTTTGCGTTGGGAGACCGTCGGTTTGGATATCTCACGTCCTGCACATGTTAGTAAAAACATCATGATGTAGTTGTTCATCATGTTATTTGTCTTTTTGGATTTCACTCCTAATTATTAATTTAGTCTGTCTAATTACTCACAGAAGATGCACAAGCTTGATGGCTGCACGCGATTTTGATCGCTCCGCTAAACTTCTCAATAATCTGTCGACCAGAATAAAGCGGACAGAAGGACTTTATTGCTTGCTATTACAACTCCCACGCAGCTATTTTATGGAACAACTCGCCGGCGCAGTAGTGAAAGCAGATCAATGCTCGTAATGTTCGCACAGACCATCAACAGTCGTCTCTCAGTCCCAGAACTGGCAACTGTAATGACAAAACTCGTTCAATCGTTTCCCTCTAGCATAGCGTCGTCGAAGATGAACACTTGAAGAATGTCTTTCATGACCGCAAGAGTTACAGAGCAACAGCGAATACTGCGCACGCGCTGCTCATCTTTCGTGTCATACATTGCCTCATACTAATTTCCTGATTGTTTTGGTGCGAGAAGATGTAGACACAAAACAACACTCGCCAATAATTCCGCAAGTGCTGTCGTGTGCTGCAAAATCTGGACGTATGAGCAGCAGCGAGTTTGTTGTTTAATGCACATCAAGGCTTCTCCTTCTACTATGCAATCGCTCTAACAAACCACCAGCAGCTGACGGTATGAGTCTGCGATAGCATACACGATGAAGATGAATAGCCTCCTTATTTTACTACAACTTGTGATTCTTTCTCATTCTCCAAATAAAAATTGTCGCGCGATTTCTCGTTCTTGGTCTTCCCAAATCCAGTTCATAAGACCTTGATTGCAAGATTTTGATTGATCTTTCTACTTACTTTTTGTGAAGTCGGAGATTACAATAGCGCACTCTGCATGCCACGTTCATGAGTACTGGAAATTTCCATCGGCGCACTGGCATGAGTACATACGTCGACGAATATTTGCCACCCACACGGAGTTTCGAAAAAGTAGCAAAAAAATCTTCTTCGAAGGTTGATGTACCTCGTTGCTCATACAACGAGCTTTCCTCTGCGCTCGAAAAGGCTTAGAAGCACTTGCGGTGCACGATGGTCGGGCCAGACTCGTCATACTCGTTCTTCGAGATCCACATCTGCTGGAACGTCGACAGCGAGGACAGGATACTGAATTTGTGGTAAAGAAGTAAGTATCATGGAGAGGGAAAATGGAGGGAATCACTACAACAAAGATCTGACTTCTTAAATAAAAAGATGTGAGGATGCTCGCATTCTCCGGTGCTCATGCTATTGAACACGTTCTTGACAATGCGTGCTTCCAACTGCCCAGCAAAGTTATACAACAGGAAAACAAATTTAACTTCTGTGATAAAAATTACCTTCCACCAATCCACACGGAGTACTTACGCTCAGGAGGAGCGACAACCTTGATCTTCATGGTGGACGGAGCGAGAGCGGTAATTTCCTTGGTCATACGCTCACCGATGCCCGGGTACATGGTGGTACCACCGGAGAGCACAATATTCGCGTAAAGATCCTTACGGATATCGACATCGCACTTCATGATCGACTGGAAAGTCGTGTCGTGAATACCGGAGGACTCCTTTCCGATGAAGGAAGGCTGAAACAACACCTCCGGGCAACGGAAGCGCTCGTTTCCGACCGTGATGACGTTGCCATCGGGCAATTCGAAGGTCTTTTCGTTTTCGGAAGACTGAGCCGCCTGCTTCATCTCGGCATCGAAATCCAACGCAACGTACGTGAGCTTCTCCTTCAAGTCCTTCACGATCTCGCGCTCGGCGGTGGTGGTAAAAGAGTAACCACGCTCGGTCAAGATCTTCATCATGTACTCTGTCAAATCGCGACCAGCCAAATCCAAACGCAAGATGGCGTGCGGAAGAGCGTATCCTTCGTAGATCGGCACGGTGTGCGAGACACCATCACCGGAATCCATGACAATTCCTGTGGTACGACCAGAAGCGTAGAGGGACATGACTGCCTGAATCGCAACGTACATTGCCGGGCAATTGAAGGTCTCGAACATAATCTGAGTCATACGTTCACGGTTCGCCTTCGGATTCAGCGGAGCCTCGGTCAGCAGCACCGGGTGCTCTTCCGGAGCAACACGGAGCTCGTTGTAGAAGGTGTGGTGCCAGATCTTCTCCATATCGTCCCAATTGGTCACAATGCCGTGCTCGATGGGGTACTTCAAGGTGAGGACACCTCGCTTGGATTGTGCCTCGTCACCGACGTACGAGTCTTTCTGATCCATACCAACCATGATACCTGGCATCTTCGGGCGTCCGACAATGGACGGGAAAACGGCGCGTGGAGCGTCATCACCTGCGAATCCGGCCTTGCACATACCGGATCCGTTGTCCACCACAAGGGCTTGCACTTCTTCGTCGGCCATCTTGTCGATAGAAAACTGTTACGAAAAACAACAAAAAGACTTCTTGAAGAAAAAATGGATCTAAGTCCCAGAAAAGCGTGTAGCTACCCTACAACTTCAGAGGTTTGTTTGCGTTGGAACCGCTTGGTTTGAAAATCTCACGTCCTGACTGCGTTGGAAAGGTTATCAGCATGATCGTGATCAATGACTCTGTTTCGCTCGTACTTAGTTTCACACATGTAATTACGACGCCCTGATGAAATACACACACAAATCAAGCATGACTGCACACCAGACTTCATCGCTGCCTTTCACTTCTCAATAATATCTCTGCCAGAGTTGCAAGGACAGAAAAACTTTCTCTTTTGCTGCAAAACACGTGATCCAGAAAAGAGCAAAACTACGTTCTCCATAACTGGAGTCTCTCGTTCCTCAAGTATCCCGCGAACAACAAAGGAGTCAACCATCGCGGATTGTCCTCGTGGAAAGTGAACACTTGAACAATGTCTTCCAGCGGAATCTTTGGAATGGTAGAGCCGAAGCGAATGCTGCACCGTCGCTCTCCTTCTTTCCTCCAAGTGGCGACTGACTCATATTCATTTCCTTGTGGCGCAAAGAAACGCAAATACAAAACAACACTCGCCAATAATTCCGCAAGTGCTGTCTGTCGTTTCCTCAACCTATGAGCAGCGTGAAGTTTCTCATGATGCTAATACCAAAAAAGGGCCTCCTTCTATGCAATTGCTCTAACAAGCCTAATGATAGTTTGAGTCTGCAAAAGCATGCCCGACGGAGATGGTGTAGCCTCCTTGTTGTGCCTGTGATTCTTTCTCGATTCTATTTGTTCCAAACGAGATTTATACTTTGGCTTTCTATTGATCCCCCCAGTAACAAACCCTTTTCATGTCTCATACGTCTCCATTGATGTAGTTGCGAAATTGATCAACGTAATTGTTCCGCGCCTTGTGCCGAGAAAGTAACAACATGATCTTCTTCGAACGTTTTTTACTTCAACGACTTTCCCCCTGGTTTCGAAAAGACTTAGAAGCACTTGCGGTGCACGATGGTCGGGCCAGACTCGTCATACTCGTTCTTCGAGATCCACATCTGCTGGAACGTCGACAACGAGGACAGGATACTGAAGTTGTGTTCAAGAATTGGGTATGGAAAGAGAAATAAATGCGACCAACCACAACAAATATATTTTATAAATATATAAGATGTAAAAATTTCGTGACACTTCTTGTAGATACCCTTATTCTCCGCTCACGCTAATCATGTTGACAGAACATGCTCATTCGTAGCAGAAAAAAAGATGTATCATAGAAAAATTAACAACTCTGGGATCTAAAATAAATACCTGCCACCGATCCACACGGAGTACTTACGCTCTGGGGGAGCTACAACCTTGATCTTCATGGTGGAAGGGGCGAGAGCGGTAATTTCCTTCGTCATACGCTCGCCGATGCCCGGATACATGGTGGTACCACCGGAGAGCACAATGTTCGCGTAAAGATCCTTACGGATATCGACGTCGCACTTCATGATCGACTGAAAGGTCGTGTCGTGAATACCCGACGACTCCTTTCCGATGAAGGACGGCTGGAACAACACCTCCGGGCAGCGAAAGCGCTCGTTTCCAACGGTGATGACGTTTCCATCAGGGAGCTCAAATGTCTTCTCGTTCTCCGAAGACTGTGCCGCCTGCTTCATCTCAGCATCGAAGTCCAACGCAACATAGGTGAGCTTCTCCTTCAAGTCCTTCACGATCTCACGCTCGGCGGTGGTGGTAAAGGAGTAACCACGCTCGGTCAAGATCTTCATCATGTACTCCGTCAAGTCGCGACCAGCCAAATCCAAACGCAGAATGGCGTGCGGGAGAGCGTATCCCTCGTAGATGGGCACGGTGTGAGAGACACCATCACCGGAGTCCATGACGATTCCTGTTGTACGACCAGAAGCGTACAGGGACATGACTGCCTGAATCGCAACGTACATTGCCGGGCAGTTGAAGGTCTCGAACATGATCTGAGTCATGCGCTCACGGTTCGCCTTCGGGTTTAGGGGTGCCTCGGTCAGCAACACCGGATGCTCTTCCGGAGCGACGCGGAGCTCGTTGTAGAAGGTGTGGTGCCAGATCTTCTCCATGTCGTCCCAGTTGGTCACGATGCCGTGCTCGATCGGGTACTTCAGGGTGAGGACACCTCGCTTCGATTGTGCCTCGTCACCGACATAGGAGTCCTTCTGATCCATACCAACCATGATACCCGGCATTTTCGGGCGTCCGACAATGGACGGGAAGACGGCACGCGGAGCATCGTCACCTGCGAATCCGGCCTTGCACATACCGGATCCGTTGTCCACCACGAGGGCTTGCACTTCTTCGTCGGCCATCTTATTTGTGTCTTCTACCGGAGTAAAAAAAGAAAGAGGGTTGCTCGATTAGAGTCTCGCGATTGCTTTTGTAATTCCTGAACGGGGTGGGGAGAGACTCGAAAAATGTGTCATGAAGAATGGTGTCTAACAAAAAGAAAGACAAGAAGTCAAGTGGAAGTTACAACATAATAGACGTGACCTTTTTTCACTTTGCCCTCACACGAGTTACGCCGCGGTGCACCAGATCGTCTGCCCAATCTCATCACGACAGACACTTTTTCCAACAGAAATTTTAGTTCTCTTTGCACTAATTTTCGCGCCACACTCATTATCTCATCTCACGCCCACGCGACAGACGTCACAACTCATCGCGACAGATAAAGGGATATGAAGAAAATCTCTTGTGCTTGTAGTTGTAAGACTCTTCTCGTTATGAATCATTTGAGAGAATACTTTTTTCACTCTGTAGATCTGGTCGACTTTCATTCATCACAGTCTTTTCGCCAGTGTTGGAAAGGAAATAATCCGGAGTACATTTCACTCTACTTTTAGAGGTAGGCTTTTGGTGCTCGCTTACCCCGCTTGTTATGCCTTTCTCCCTTAGGAGAGGCATACAAAGCGGTAAGAAAAGCACCTTTAACCTACCCTTAATACTTTTTCTTGCGCGGTATCAAAAGTTTTTTCACCATTTGAGTGTCAAGGTGACACCTCCGTGATTTCGGAAGGGCACTGCAGGAGATAGTGCACTGCTACAACCATCTCGATTTTTCACTGATAGTAGTAGAAATCCAATCATTATATATATGTGTATAGAGGGGCGGGCACATGGGAAATTCAATACGTTGTCAAGAATAAGGGTTCAATTGCAGCAGTGGGGTCTTCACGAGGAACTATGTATCACTTCTTTAATTTGGGACGTCGCCTGCGGGTCCGCGGCACGACGACTCCACAGGCATCAACGACAGCATATTGCTAACCCACACGCGACACCAGAAAAGGTTCTGCTTAAGTACTTCTCGCGTACTTCTAAATGCGTATGTGCAGAAAGAAACTGCTTAGACTCTCTGCCTCTTCGCACTTGGTTCGGCTTCGTCTTCTGACGGTAGATCTGTGAGACACTCAATTACATCTCTTTTCAACTGCGCGTCCTTCGAAAAAAGCTCCTCCAAATCGCCCGTTCCGTATTTTGCCTTCATGTCGAACAATAGCTGCACACATTGCAACAACCTGAGAGAAATTCAAATTGTAAAAAATGCCTGCCAAGATTCAAAACGAAAAATGTCATCTCGTCTAGAAGAGTAATAAAATCAAAAAACTGAATACTATAATCAACCAAAACAGGGTTCCTAGAAGTAGTACAACGAGTACCTTCTTCGTCGATGCCGCACTTCTATCTGTCCCACCCATTTCAAGCTGTCGCGCAGTGGGTCCTCCAGGATCTTTCGGGGGTAAGTGCGTCCTAGCGTCAGTAAATTGAGACAGTTCTCTAGCACAAAGACACCGCAATCGTTCAAGTTCTCTTGCTGAGGCGCATCGACTGCAACTGCTCGGATCTGCGTCTTGTCGAACCTATTTTTTCGGTTTGGGAGCATAGAACAATTTGAATCTATTTTCTCAGCAAAAGTCATATCTGTGCCTAACCTAGCAATTGAATTTTTCTGTTAACTACAAGAAATCAATAATTCCTCATACGCTTTGATCGCCTTCTTGTCTCCCTTTCGATCTCGCTCCCATTCTTTTCGCATCATGCCCTGAGTGTAGCGCGCTACCTCCTTCTGAAATTTGCTCAATGCAAAACCATCAAACGTCAGCGGCAGAGGCTTCCAGCCTTCGCCGTATAGAAAAGTGAGCTGGCGTGCATCATCCCGGGAGTCCATCAAAAATTCGAGGAGGCCCTTGTACTGCACGCGGCCTCCGCTAGTATTGTTGTTCACCTGAAGGCCCATGTCTGTCGCACTGATCTGTTTCTTCCCGTCGAGCAGGAGTTTCGCACACTGCTTCGGGCTTTGCAGAGGGCCCAACGAGCCGTCGCCCTGCACGTCGAAGTTGACCCAAATCCGGTGGCCCGCTTGCTCTACTTTTGTGATTTCTAGGCTGTATTTGCACAACGAACCCTCCTTGTACACTTTCGGGATAAAGGTGTTGTAACCCGAGAGCGTCGCATTGTTGCTGCCAGCGCGTGCGCCTGGAGCGGCCGCGTTAGAAGATGAGGATCCACCCCCTTTCAAGTCGATCTTCACTCCTCCCCCGCGCGCGTCGGGATCTACTATGTTCGCTCCGCTGAATTCCCGCAGCCGTCTCTTCATGCTGTCCACGCACAACAGGTACGAGCTTGAATCAGGATCACTCGGAAAACTATCCCGCTTCGAGGACTCCTTTTGGTCTTTGCTCTTTTTCACACCCGCATTTTTTGCAGCTACGATTAGTGCTAACCACCAATGCTGACCGCAGGGCTTCTTCTTTTCGTCTAAAAACGTCTCGTTGACTGGCATTGCAATCATGGGAGGCTTGAAGATACCGCCAGGTATCCGCAGCGTCCATCTCTGGATATTTTCCCACGCCTCCTCACCCGTCTTTGCAGCACTACCTATGCATAGTGTCGAACAACAGTCAAGATCAACAAGAACCAGGATATACACAAGAACATAACTGACGATAAGGATAATCAAACGTGTTTTCTACCCTACATAAAATCATCGCAGCTTCCCTAGCAAGACATCAAATACGCAAAAGGAAAACGACATAGCATAGCCAAATAAAGTTTTCTTATGTACCCGTAAGCTTCTGGTAGAATAGAGAGCTTAGCGGATGAAGGTTGGGTTCCTCACCCTTCGGGGGCAACAACGCCTGTCCAAGCTTGAGGAAGAAATCGAGTAGCGCGTCGTTCAGATCGTTGCCATCCTCAAGTAGGCGCATATCGGTTTTCGTTATCGGCTGGCGCCGAAAGATAACTTCTTCAACCGACATTTTCCACGTTTCTATGCAGCCAGATGCGAGGAAAAAAAGATAATCAAGAAACTATCACCACTGAGTAATTCCTTTGCAGGAACTACAAACCGAAATGCCAAGAAACAAAAGCAATTCTTCTTGAGACAAATCCGGAGCTTAGCATTCAGGGACAACAACGAGGTTGCTCGCAGGCAAGGATTAATTCTAAGTTCTTTGGTGGACCTGCTATTGGAATGATTGGTTGAAGCGATAGAAAAAGGATCACAACAGCGGCATCAACAATGTAACCCTGGAAGATATAAATCCTCAAAAAGGAAAATCAGCGAAAAGATCGGCTCGTTGGAACTATGGCGTTCGAACAATGCGGACATTTCATATTTGCACATAATTTCGTCTTTTCCATTTCGTAATTTTTCGTTTCCTTCTCCGTCTTCGAAGAAAGATGTCAGGCTCATTGTTTATTTGAAAAATGGATATTTTCGACTGACCTATGAGATTAGGAACTAACGACAAGAATGACTCTGCGTAATTCGGACCCTTGCGTGAGAAAACCTGGTGCGAACCGGAAAGAAAACTTTGCGTGAACAGAACTGCAGCATTGCGTCAAACTGAAAAGAAAATAAATGTGGTAGGCAGAAATATCAAATGCACTCCATGAGCTGATGCTTTCCATAAAGGCAATGAGGAATTGCTTGAAGTCGAAAAGATCGTGAGAACGTCATTGCGCATTTTTTGACATTCTTTTTCGGGAGGAATTGTATCAACACGAAGTTCTCAATCCACCACGCATTACCCAGCCGCCTGCACCTTCTGCCCTAAACTCACCAGCCGTTTCTCGAGAAACCTGATAATGAGTGGAAGAAAGTATCTCTTTTCCTGAAGCCCTTCCTTGTAGTTGATGACGATGTTCCTCAGTCTAGTCCTGCCATGGCCATCCGTGGTCACACAAGCGAAATTTGTTTGCCAACTTCGAACTTCTGTTCTTCCTTGAAGAAAGATCCTGCATGAATGACATATTTACGACGTACGTCGTCTAATCTAGTACGACGAAAAACTCAGTAAAAGAAGCTTACAATTGTGAGTCAAAGAGCCGGTGTGTGCATTGGTAGATGCAGTTCTGCTCCCCGCCGCTTAGTTCGGCATTCATCTTTGGCACGCATTTTGCAAAGCAATTTCCTAGTATCTTGCACTGCATTTTCTGAACCTGCAATATCTGCATCTGCATCAAGGCCTGCTGTTGCTGCTGAGCAGAGGCTCCACCCGAACCCGAGGAACCACCGAAATCCATTTTCTGAACCGTTCAAGCGACTATTCAAAAAACTAGTGTGATGTACTTGGAGACGACACACTCACACACGAAAACAATTGATCATAATAAAACAAAGATGAAAGTAGTTACACGACAAGTGACACGAGAAATATTGTCGACAGTGTGATGCATGATGAATGATGTAAACCAAAAAAAGTCAGAGACGAATGTATTTTTTTCGGTCAGAACGTATGGTCAGTGCCGACAATCTTCGAAATTTTGAATACTCAAACAAAGCCAGAGGAAAAAGGAGAGAAGCCGGGGCAAGAGGTGGAAAGGCGAATCACATCAGAAACTCAGCAGAGTATGCGTTTGAGACATGACAAAACATTCTCGTAGACTAGAGCGCACCATCACCGCGTTCACATGAATACCCTAAGCAGAACGTTTTACGTCTGAGAATAATCGGAACATGTCACTGGACCTTCAACAGTAGAACCTGGATCGTCTTTGCAATTGTTTGTGCCAGAGGACACCAAAGAGGCTAATTGTTCTCGCAACCATTTGACGCTATGGGAACCCTCGAAGACAGGTCATTCGACCACAACTTTGTGCATGCATGGCAGCAGGCAAAAGCCATCGCACACTAAAAATAGTGTAGTTGCGGACGGGCAAAATGTTTACATCAAATATGCGGTGTTTGGATAAACGTGGACCAACAAACGAGGCTTGCCCTGGTGAAATACACAGCACAGGACCGTCGAATTGATTCGCTCGTTGGTCGGTTCATCAAGCATTCTCTAAGCACCGGAATGGCCGGCCTCTGCCTCACAGAAGAGGTGACCATGATGCAAGACCATCCAAATAGAGCCAGATGCGTTAAAAAGGCAACCACATGGATTCCAAATTCATAATCAATGAAAACCAGGAGGCACATATTGCACCGCAGCAAGCTATGCAGAGAAGTATTTGCTGTTTGTTTGTTAGTTTTCGAATCAATTAGAATCAATTACCTCCAGTTTCTGTTCTTATCGTCTTTTTACCGTTTGTATAACTACACTCTATTGCTTTTTTCCAGGTCCATTATTGATGAATTTTTTGAAACGAGGAGAGGAGCGAAGCAAAAAGGCAACCACATGAAGCAAATGGAAAAAGGCAGAAAGTAAAAACGAGAACACGCGATAAGGATGAAGGGCGACGTAGTGGAAACGTCGAGTCGAGTGGTTGCGAGGCTCCTATATGGAACTGGAAGATAATCAAAAAAGCGAAAAAGGTAGACTAGAGGGACGAAGAAGGAGGAGACGCATGAAGATGAAGAAAGGAAGACTTATATTAAGCACGCACTAGATGCTAGTGTTCCTCCACCAATTTAACTAACGCGCATGCTTTTAGTTAGTCCTGTCATCTTCTAGTTCTCACCAGCAAGCAGTTGCCGCGCAGCGTCACCTAGGGCCAAAAGAAAAGAGCTAACGTTTTTAAGCTGACAACGTTCCGCCGCCCCAGTCTAGCATTCTCAGAAAGCGCGTGATGGTGAGACGTGCAACGTCTCCGGTGGCAGGTACTAGTTGGGTAGTCTTCCCGGCCTTTGCTCCTAGTTCTTGATCATGGTAAGCCGTACCGTAGGGGCATGGGCGTAGTTGTTAAGGAGGTAAAGAGCTCCCCCCACGCCTAACTACGCGGGAAACATGTAGGCAGGTCCTTCACGGAACTCGCTCGCGATACAAAAAAAAAGTTTTCGAATCAATTGAAGAAAAGTCACGTAGTACCTGGGATGAATTAAATAGTAGAAGATGCATCAGTGCAGCAGGATGAAAGCATCTGATTAATTCCTTTTCAACATGTTTCGAGTTACATCATTGCCATCGACCTAGAGCTTTTTCCGTACCAACTGCAAACCCACGTAAGGGAATTCCAATTTGAGGATGGAAGTCTTGCGGCATCCGACCGCGAAGAGCAACTCTAAAGTAATCCCATGAGTGAAAGGGTGACGAACTCTTTGAGGATTCTGAAGATGATCTTGCCGCTGCAGGCACCAGCTTTTGGCCAGTTATAAGTTCGTAATTCGTTTCGAGACAGTTGTGCGTCGGACTGAGCGTGTGGCTGATGTACTGTATGACTCGTTTTGCTGCGTCTCGCAGTCCGAAGGCCTCTTTTATGCTGACCGCGACATCGCATAGGAGTCGGGTGTTGTGCGCCGAAGAGCCTCGCGGCGACCAATCGAATCCGGCATTTAAAATTGCTAGTACAGCGCGCCGACTCTCAGCCGGGTCTTTCAGCTGCAAATCCAAGAACAGAAGAAATTCCATGGCGGCGACAGCATTCGGGCTCTTTGCGGGTTCTTCCTCCTGATTCTGTTCGTATCTACCTCCGGCGACCAAAGTTCGGGAAGAAAATCCCGTCGCGAGGATCCGAGAGACCGCCGCACTCACTTCATCCCGCAGACCCTGCGTGATGAGAACATTGCCATCCGGCCGCTTTGTCGTTTTGTTCAGGACATCGACTACAAAGCTGCCGTCAGAGAGGCGATGTGGGAGTGGGTGCATCGCGTAGAAGGCCCCAGAATAGAGTCGCATCGCAGGTTCCTTTCGCTGGAGGACATAGTCCATGAAACGACCCTTGAGAAATTTAACAACCGCGTTCTCTGGAAAAAGCCCTTCCAAGCTGTCAAGGAGCGCCACTCCAATCTCCTGGAGCGTGCGCGTGTCGCGCCCAGCGTGCCTATCGTTCTCGAAGAAGGTTGCAGCAAAAGTCGCGAGGCTGCCAGCATCGGCGTCAGACTCCGCGACCACAGCTCGCCAGTACTTCGAATCCAACAGCGTGGTCTCGACTGGCAACGCCCCATTCAAGCCCTCACCAACTCCATCGATTTCGAACAGCTCAGACGATGAAGCTGCCAAGCTTACCTGCGTGTCGCGGTAGAGGCTGAGAGGCATTTCTTCTTCTGGCGATGGTTCGTCCTCATCAAGAACATCTTCATCTTGATTGCGTCTTAGTCCTTGGAGACGCTCGTATAGACTGTATGCGGAGTTGGCATAGCGGAGGCGAAAATACTTTGGTGACCTCAACAGCGTGCGACAGATGAGGTCCATAGGCGTATATCTCTCTCCAGCCGCGCAATTGCTACCCGTCAAATTACGTTGAAACGCACGGTCTACCACAAAAGGTGTAAAGAAACAGCGGTGATTCTCAACAACCACAAAATTCGCTTGAAGCTTGTCAAGAATGCGTTCGGCAAAGACCTGTGGCTTGGGACAGTGGTAAAGCCCCGAGTAAAGTAGTTGAACCCGTTGTCGAAGTTTCTCGGACTCAAAATGCGGGTGCACCACCAGATTCGCGCGCGTGAACAGTCGCAGCGCGCCCGAGGTGGACATGGACGCAGCAACCACTACTGGTTTACCTTGCTGCGGATCCGTCTGACTCTGCGAAGACACGTGCATTCCGGCCCCGCTATTGATATCTGTACTACGAAGATCAGTTGTCCATGCAATGCGCGGACGCTTTCGAGCGATTTCATCAATATCCCCACTGGTTCCCTTTGCACTAGGCAAGATACTTAAAGGGTTTCAAAATCTTCATCTTTACAGGCTTTCTCAGCTTCTTCAAACGACTAGCATCTCTTATCACAGTGATTCATTCGATGAAAAGCCCTTTCCAGAGAAGAGCCTCTGTAAAGATGTTACGAAGGTGAAGCACTTAAAAGAGGACGAGAGAAGCGCTCTTCCCTGTTGGGCGTATTCAGAAGGTGTCGATTGATGAACGAACTCAGCTCGAGCATGTCCGTTGCGCCTTTAGACTTGTAGACAGCTCCACGGCTGCAAAAAAAGTTGCGGATACCAGCTGCTACGCCGATTTTTGCACCGTCGGCTGATCCACACGGCACCAATGCGACTTGTACTCGATAGTATCGAATCAGCCCAGCGGCCACGAGCGTGGAGAAAACAAGTGATATCAATTGCATAGCCCAGCTTGGAAAGCGTCGACGCCGCAGTGTCAGCTGAAGTGGAGTAGCTAAAGGTGAGTCGTTGTCGTTGTCGTTCAGTCGTTCTTCCTGCGAAGTATTTGTAAGCGCACTGGTCGTGTCGGCGTCCTCTGAATTCAGTAGATTCAAATCACTCCGTGACGCTGAGGCCTTATTCTTTCGCAACGACACCTTGCTCTTTGCGCCGTGCGGATGTGGTCGTCCTGACTTGGAAGTGGAGGTGGACGCTGAAGACTCGCAGAGATCGTATTCCACGTTAGCAGAGCTATCGCATATTTGCGTTTTGCTTTGTCTATTTGTTTTTGGCTTCTGAGTCGCGGATTCCTTGAAAAGACCAACTTTCTTTGCGAGAAACAACGCGAATGCGTTGATGTCGGCTGTTGCCGAGGGCAACTCGAACACCTTCTGGACTTTGCTGAATTGAATGCTTCCACTCCTTGAGAATGTCGATCGGGGAATGTCGTTCCCCCTTTACCTTCTTACTTAGGAACGATATTCCCATATCTTCGTTCTCAATGAGTGGCCTCATACATGAATTCGTTGCTAGAAGGAGGGTTCTGCATGACTGCTAGCACGTGGGTTACCGAACATATAGCCGAACCGTAACAGGTTGATATCACGCTGCAGCCACCAAGACTCGCGAACACAATAGCGTATGGGGCAGCTAGTGCGCGAAGACGCGCAATGGAGTATCCGAGGAGTGCGAAAGCAAATATTTGCCACGCAAAGATGTTCCAACTCCACAGGAAATCGACCTCCATCAAGACATCCCTTCTCTCTTGCACCTGTGCCACCTCGTTGTTAGCGTCGTGTCTCCCGAACGCTCCCCCTGTGTCGTAGAGATCGATGAACAAAATTGAAAGTTCTCGCATCCTTGGTCAACAAGATTGACCTCCTCTGTCGTCTGCGGTAGTTGTAGTCATAGAAAATGCTCATACTTCCAATCACCTTCAACAAATGCAGCATAATCATAATTGTCTGAAGGGATAAGTCTAGGGATAGAGGTGAAAACTAACCGGCTGCTTTACTTTAGTGCTTTAAGCGTCGCTGGACCTAAGCCCCATCCTTATATTATCAGAAGGAAGAAGCCAGTCAAGATTTGCAACACACCTCTAACACAACGGGGGAATTACCAATTTGCTGCTATGGGAGGAGGTCACTTAAAAACGGATGGATTATTTGTTTTTTAGCCGCTTAATATAATCAAACCACTACCTCAACTCACCACGTCATGCTTTTGTAATTACCAGCATTCCGGTCAGGTGTGCCCTTGGAGTTGACAGAGAGGTCGCGAGATTCCTTGCTTGCCTTCCGTGAAGGCGGTGAAGGGCTACCAGAAGAGACGAGCAATCCATCTATGCCATCGAGTGGTCCACCCGCTGAAGTTTTTCGGCAGGGCGTCTTTTTCGGCCGCTGAAGTTTCTCGGCGTCTGATTTGGTTCTGGCAAGGTCTAAGCCCATGCGCCAAATATTCGCTACAAGCAAACAGAAAGCAGCGATGCTCGCAAAACCAGTGAGTCCGGACTCCGAATAGAACTGAAGCACGTCACTGGAGACTTGGTTGAAGACTCCCATAATCAAGTAGAGTCGGGCATTGAAAGTCCTCTCCTTCGGACATGGCAAGAGCGCACGGAGAGAACTTGCTGCTCGGCCTGCGCCATCACCATTCTCCTCAAGTTTGGCGCAGAAGATCTCAAGTACGTGCGCATCACCGCTCCTTGGAAATAGGGAACGCAGAAAAAGAAAGATTACAACCGAGGCTAAGCCCTCAATCAGCGCACGTGAAAGCTGCCTCAGCGGACTGCCCAGCAACGAGGTGTAAAAACTGCGCGAGCTCATGCACGCCGCAGTGTAGTCGCCATGCTGCGCCGATGTCATCACTGAACTCAACGGAAAACACTGAAGCCGCAAAAACCCTCGCTTTTGGCCTCCTCGCGAATCATTCTCTTCGACTCGGCAAAATGTGGCGCCATTCCTGACTACTAGCATAGTGGGTGTGGTTCGAACATAGCCAAAAAAGCGCCTAGCGATAGGGGTGACCCGTCCATCTAGTGCCGATGCGTCGTCGACCGTCGACACTCCAGCTTTCGCTCCATCGTAAATCCGTGTGCCGTCGACATTTTTTTCAGGAGATTCACATAAAGTACTTGTCCGAGTACTTTTTGACGCTCCAGCTCCAGGAATATTCGCCAACGGCTTTGCTGGAGAAAATAGATTGGCAGTGCCACCACCTCCGGCTCTGTCTGCAATTTTTTTAGTGGCTTCGATCAGGGCACAATCGTCGTCATCTGAAATCAGGACGGGGGAGTCGGTCTTCGTGGTATCCGGGCTGGACTCGTTGCCGCCAGAAGCAGAGCTCCTGGTGTTGTATGAAAAAGTCAAGAGTTTTGCTGAAACAAATACGCACTTCATTCTGTTGTTTTGACCTACTTGTCTTTCTACACATTAGGGTAAAAACAGAAGATATTAGTCAAACGAGTACGCTGCGCCAGGTGCTGGACGATTCGCGCTCTCAGCTTCGACTGCAGTTTTACTTTTTGTCGAAGCTGCAGTTCGACTTTGGAAAAAAGGTGCAGAAGCGCAATCGGTCGCAATATTCCACTCTGCGTTGCCTCCACAGAACGCTCCCATGGCTGGCTGCACGAACACTGAGAAGAATACGAGAACAACGCCCATTGCGATGATCTGAAACACGAATGGACTACTTTGCATCAGCTCGTTTGCTCCAAGAAGCAGCGTCGCCTTCGCATAACCATGCCCGTACACTCGGAAGAGAAGTCGCAAAAACGTCCTCCGTGAAATGCCGCGCAAAAGGAACGCTAGAAAGACGACGGAGCCCTGCAGCATCAACACATAAGGCGTGAACTGCCAGGCTAGCAAAGCGTAGAGCATGGAAAGCTGACAGTAGTACTCTGAGGTCTCGGAGTCCGATGAATTCAGAAACAGTGTTGCCATCATACTGCACATCCCCGTAGTGTGCTCGACAGCAACAGTTTGCTTTTTTCCGTGCTGTTTCACACTTGTTGACTTGCGAGTACGGCTCAGTGAATCTTCACTGTCCACGGAGAGCCAGATCTTTTCCTGTGCTTGATTTTTCCACAGCAGACGCATGAGGAAGAACGACTGCATCGCAAGCGCAGGCAATGCCCAGTTTTCTCGCAGATTCATACCTGGCGGAAGCAGCAACCGTGAAACATGGGTGCGGTTCACGTAGAGCCCGATTGCGGTGAGAGTCGCCGCAAAGTAGCCCCAACCCGACACGCAACTCTTGACAAGAAAAGTCGGCATCCGCTTCTTCACCTGTAGTTCTCCTCCACGCCCGGAGCGGACTTCATTTCCAGCAACCATAGTAGTCGTACGAATGATATGTAACGAATTCGTAAGCTCAAAGGCTATCGCGATCAGGGCGATGTGGCCGGCAGCATTAAGAGAAAAGAGAATTAATTGAAAAAATTGCCAGGATGCAAAAGTTACATCGAACATCTCCGCCTGCAGGAAAGCAGCGGGGCCAGGATATGTCGACGCGAACTTGGACCCGAACAAAGGGCTAAGGAGCGCGTCTGCCCACTCGGCGTCGCCAACTCTGATTCCTAGAAGCGAGGAAGAGGATTCGCCTATCCACGCGAGCACGGCAAAAAGGGTACGGTGTCCACCGACAGGAGACAAAAAGGCAAAGTTCCATGACCACTCAAACAGAAAAAGGAAAACGTAGGCCATCGCGCGAAATGCGACTGCACATACGACTTCAGGCCAGATGTTGAAGCGCTGGAGAGGAATGATGACATCGGGATACTCGCTCCTCGAATCTTGCAGCACTGATTCGAAAGCAGCGTACCACGACGGCGCGCGGACAAAGCCATCATAAAACGAGTAGTAGAATCCGCTCTCGGTGGTGAGGCCGTCAGCCTGCACGTAAAGCACCGGGTCACGCCAAAAATGGCTGTAGGCGATCACGAATTCTCCGAAATAAAGTAGGAACAGAACTGCAAGATAGAACGGCTTGGCACGATCCCAAAATCCATCCTGCAATGAGATAACGCCCCCATCATCTTCTTCGCTTGTCACACCTTCGGTCGCTTGCTCACGCCCGAAATATGATCGCAGAGCTGTACCGTGGCCCAACTTTCGCACCGGGCCTAAAATTTTCAACAACAATGACTGCGGACACTCCTCCTTGACGACATTATCAAGGTCGGCTCTCTCGCGTTTGCGACCGCCCTTGCCACCATAATTTTTAGCCGTTGCGACTGCTGCAACAGACCGCGAAGCCGTGCCCTCCAGGACCACAACGTCCTCCTTCTTCATCCTCTTTCCAATTACTTAGTCCATTCATAGCACACCTTTGAGGTCACACATAGAACATCACGCCATCTCTCCCGGAGGCTGTCACTTGTCGACGAAACCTTGCTTCCCCCTCTCTCCAAACAAAAGGTTGTCAGCGCTGAGTCTACCACGTAGTCCGAGCATAAATCTACTATGTAACCTATTTTGATCCCGACACCGACGCCACAGCATGTTCATGTGGACTTCCTTGTCTGCAATCCGTAACTGGTTGCACAGGCGCAACACCCGGTCCTGATTCAGTCCCTGCCTTCCTTTGGCAAAATTTGATTGATTGGCGTTTGTTCGACATTGTATGATCATGATCACAGAAAAGAAAAGAGTTTCTGCTCCCACGAGCGAAACGTCTATACAGAGATCGCAACATCTTTCCAACTCCTCGAATGTAGTGCATCAGAATAGAAAAAAAGAAGACGGCGAGGACTGTTCATTGAAGCTCACGGAAGCGGGGCAAGGACAGGCTTGAACTGTTCACCAATCTGTGGAGGCTCATTTTCCGGTATCGGCAGCGTCGGCGCACTGTTTTCAACCGGTGGTGGCACAGCTGCTCCGGGCAACCTTATGATAATAGATAAAAGTTGTAAATACAGTGAACTGCATAAGGCGTTACACCTCTGACGTATTGATACCCTAGCAAATAAGTTCTTGCTCAGTGAGATAAGTTGTAGTAATGCAACAATCCATATAGATACTGGAAGATACGTGTACTTAAACAAGTGTAAAATTACAGTGCTGGATCTCCGTCACACGGATCGGTCGGCGCCACAGCTGTTACTGGTGCTGGTTCTGGTTCTTTCCCCCAATTATCCGCTGATGGCGGCACAAAACAAGTGTAATGCTTGATTTCCGGGTTGCCGCTGATGTCCGGCATGTTGCACACGCGCTCGTTGTTGTAGGTGCACGCTGGTAATTTCGGCTGCCAGTAATCGCATGGTGGGCAGTCGCAGATGCATTCTTTCGGTTCCAAAGGTGGCGCCAAAAACCTCACTCGTTTCCTGTCTTCATGCACGTGCACCTGCACAAAAGCGTCGTAATCCCCGGCGGGCACTTTCGGTAGCGGCGCTAGTTCGTCTGGTGGTGGCATGGTCGGCCGTTCAGCCATGGGCGGCGGCGGCGGTTCCGTCGCTGGCGGACAGTCAGGCGGCTCCTCCCAGTTGGGGTCGGGGCATGCGGGACAGTGACAGTGGCATGGATCCTCCTGCACGACGCCAGGCGCACCAGCTGTCACAACGCGATTAGCTCCGACAAACGCAGTCTCAAGCACAGCACCTATGCAAAGCTGGAATCGCGCACTCCGCAACAACATCGTCATGGTGCTGTTGTGCTGTGCCTTGCGGCACTTTTAACGGGGAGACTTCCGGAAAACCAGTTTTACTATAGCAGGTTCTACCTCTGCTACGCGTTTGTCAATTTTGAGACCCGTCACGCACGAAGCGATCTGTTTAAGACGGGGAACAAGATGCCAAAGCACTATCGAACACTGGTGTGCGCTGCACCAAAAGAGACAGCGCGGAGCCCGATCAGCACTAGACCTAGTCCGCGTGATGAGCGTTTTGTCATAGTTCCATGTGACAACAAAAGCGACATTTCATTGCTGCACCCCATGCCTGAATAAACTCTCCAGGCGCCATGCTCATTATAATATAAGTTCACATGTACCACAATGAAGAAGGAGTCATTCTTTCGTCACCCTAAAGGCACGGAAAATCGTTGAAACGTTCAGACCGAAAGTCCGGACAGCGAACAAGCCTTGACCAAGACATGCAATGTAAGGTTTGAAGTTGACTACTCTATAAATCCATCATCGCTGCTGCAAACCAGGAAGATCTAAAGATATCGCAAAAAGGCAAAACTGGGTTGAAAAATAATACAAGGACAAAAAGAACAGAAGTAAATCATTATCAGGCGATCTTCAATGTGCTGGAATTCAAATTTTTACACACGTCAGCGGCTGCGCGAGGATCGATCGGCCAACGTTTCCGATTGCAGCATAACTACTATTTGCGACAGTATTGTCCACAGGAAGGGGAAATGTGGAGACTGCATGTTCATTGTGCATGGTGGAAGCAGGGGGAATGCAATTAGTCGATGAGTGGTGGGACATGCTGTGAGGCTGCGGATATGGTGCGGCAAGCGGTGTGGTTCGCTGCTGCGTCTCCTTCGGGGAACCGCTGGTGGTTAACTTTTGCTGCGCTTCTCCGTCGAGAACGTTGGTTGCTGCGTTTCTACTATTAAAAGTGTCTTTACTGCTACTATACACACTTGGAAACTCATTTCCGTCTTGTCTGGCATGTCCTGCGGTAGTATACTTTTTCTCTTCGTTTCTAGTATCTCTACTGCTGCTACGTGTGCTTGTGCTGCTACTCGATCTACTACTTTCTTGTTCGGTACTGCTATGAGCTTCACTTAACGGGCTTTTCGGCCTCTCTCCTTCCGCCTCTGTAGTTGTAGTGGTCTCCGAGGAAGAGAAAGCTGCCTTGTTCTGGGTCCTCGTCTTATCTTCCGCAGCTGTGCGCATGAACGACACTTCCATGTTGTTGCCGGAGATCACGATGGCTCGCAAGTTTTTTGCCACGAGCTCAAGCTGGTTAACCAAATTCGCTGGTGTGGGTCGTTGATCGAGCTGCACCGTTTTCACTAAACTATTCGGAAAGAACGTGGCCATGTCGTGGGCAGCATTGATTTCGAACACTGAATCGCCGATGGCTATCAGGTTCGTTACCGGACGAGCGTCCATACGCTCTGAAATGGAGCGGAATGCCATAGTCTTCCATCTGCTCACGTCGTACTGCGATTCCCACGCTCGCGCGCTTAGGATTGGCAACGAACACACCAAAGACTTCACTCGGGGAAGCCACCGCTCGCAGCTATACTCGACCCAGCCCTCCATCGCATTCGTGATAATGTACACGCTTCCTGAGATGGAGCAGTATGAAGACATGACTAGCTTAAATAATACCTCAAATATGAGATGAACGACATGCAATTCGTTAGCATCCGTTGAGCATGTCATGTTGAGCAATCCATCTTGATTTTATGTCAAGCACAGCAATCAACAGGGCAATCATCTGGACCGCTAAAAATGAATTACAATTATACCCATGTCTTTTGCTTTTGTAAGCAGATCCCGCACTAACTTTTCCAGTGACCGCAGAGCCTGGAGGTCCTTCTGCGTACAACTTTTCTTTTTGAGTCTTAGCGCTGTGAAGTAGGAGGTGCAGCATAAAGTGTCGTCCCAGTCAAAAATTGTGACGCACTGCGTTTGCGGCGCTCGCTGCGACGAGTTCGGTAATATACCTGCGAATGAATAGGTTTGACACATCCACCATCCTATATTTCCTCGAGAGCCGCGTGTTCAAATTCCAATGATCTAAAAGTGTGCTGGTCTCACCTGCGGCTGCCCTTAGTTTGATTGAGTAGGTATTTCATCAAAAAGACAAAGTCGTATTTTCGCAAGGAATGCAGTTACATACGGAAATAAGGTTGTAAACAACCGCTTGAAGACCTTCGTGACTCAAGCGGTTGAGCATTCTCGCCCGGAAATCGCGACCAGGAAAGATTGTTTTCTCACCCTTTTCTATTGGCGTCGTTGCTGCCCCGCCTGCATCAGTCACAGAGGCTACAGTTTCGGCTTCTGACTTATCGGATTCCGTGCCGCTAGATTTTCCACCTGGAGCAGATTGCGTTCGGTGGACGACGGGCACTGCGAGGCCGGTTGTATCCCCTGCTGAAGACGATGCGGATTCAGTTGAACAAGACGAGGCACCTCCAGCTACGCTTCTTGAAGCCGTAGCATCGTCTCCCTGCACACGAGCTCCTCTAGATACTGGACTACTACTTCTACTAAATATCGATGGCGCATGAGAATTTGCATTTTCGGGCTGAGATGACGATTCCGCCGTGTTGTTCTCAAGAAAGTCTATTTTGGTTACCAAGGATCCGCCTTGCTGTTCGTCTTCTATTTCTTTTTCTTCATTTACTCTGATCGAAACACGCTGTGGTCTAGTTGCTTCTATCTTCGTTCGTGCTACAGAGCAAGATGCGTTCTCATGCTGAGTTCTCCTCGACGAAATCGCACCACAAAAGGAGGAACTCTTGCAGCCACCGCTTACGCACTCTGGCGCATAACTGGAAGAACCGGAACTTTGATGCTGTCCTGGTGGAACGTGAAAGCCTTGCCCAGCTCCCTCAGAATTGTTATTCAAGTTTATGGAACTACACCTAGTAGACGATGTACTAGTACTGCTGTTAACATTTGCACTGCTATCAACATTCGTGCTTGTTTCAGATGAGGCATCTTCTCCGATTGCAGGCATTTCTCCATGCTGTCCCGCCCCGAACAATACCATCCTCTGTCCGGGTGATGCCTCTTCCGTTCGCTCTGTCACGAAGGAGGGTGCCGGAGAACCTACAGTGTCGTCCAATACCGCATCACACAGGTCCGCTACCATACCACGGTCTGGCGATGAAGCGCTGGAAGACTGCTCCTCTTCCGCGCGGAAAGCGTTGAAAAAAGGAAAACAAGACCGCAAAAGATGCCACATCTTGACTTTTACTATTTCAACATACAGCAAAAGAAAGAGTAAGCGACAAAAACCATATCATTCTGCCTTTGCTCTACATTCATTATTCCGCGGCGAGAAACCAACTACCTTCAATTTGATGCATTTGCAATTGTTCTTCTTCGCGTCAATGTCAATCTTCGTCATTCTTGATGAAAGAACCCGACTAGTGACGTGACTCAGCAAAGGAAAATTTGTCATATTTATCTATGGAAATACCTACACGAACCTTAACACAGTAGATCATCTGCTTTTCCTCACCTAGAATTTCTCGATGAGGTACCGATTCCGATTCATCGAGAGTACGCACCTCAACTGCAGTTACAGATTGGTTTGGAAGCTGAAGGCGTCGTAGGGTGATACGCAAGAGGACACGGAGAAGGACACAACGAACTTTCGACCCATCGTTTTCGAGTTCTCGAAGAAGACTCGAGGCTTGAACTTCCGAAAATGATACTTACATGGTTCAGAAAACGTACGTACTACTCGTACGTCCAGTATTTTTCGATGGAAAAAACAAGAAGGTATTCGTACCCAACTGACCGTTGAAATTGGCGAGTTTCTTTTTATGCCGTTGCTAGAAGTAGCTTTCAGCTAGAGATCCTCTTTTGCTTGGTACGCTAATCTTCTACCCCAAAACTCTCTTCAGGCTCCAAGCACGTGGGCACGCAGTGATTGCGCCCACGTTCGCCGAAGCTGGGGCAGCACTGCCAGCCTGGCGGACAGTCATCACGGACCTCGCAAGTCTCTCCCGCCGCTGACTTCAGCGGTTGGAAAGTGTCCCGATTTGCGGTGATTGTATCCGGCAAGAAGGCTGGTCGCTTGCGAGCAGCTTCAGGAGCGAAATAGGGTCCAAAATCCAACATGTTCACAGTGCTCGACGGGTCACCCTCGAAAGCAAAACCGAGACCGGGTTCGTAAACGGACACTCTGCCAGCCGAAGCGAATAGCCCTGGACAGTGCGCTACAATTGTGCGCTTGGTAGTAGTTGGTGGGCGCGCAACGTTTACATCGCTATTAACCCGACGCACGACGAAGCCGTCGTAATCACCACGTCTCTCATATTCTCTGGTGCGAGGAGGATTGTTCCCATGCTTCAGAGGAAATCGGCCCGAAAGCGTTGCCTTGTGGTGCACTTTGGTTGGCTGTCCTCGCCGTCTTCGCTGCACTCCGTTTTCATTTCGAAACTTACCGATTGTATTTCTCGCATGATGAATACTGCGAGGATCATTCCTTTTCTTGTGCTCTGCCGTGTCTAGTACCTGTGACGGTCGGTTTTCACGTGCTACCTCGTCGGATATGAAATCTTGCAAAGCAAGCAAAAGCCGCTGACTTGACTTTGTCATTGTCTGTGGTAACGTCTCAAAAACTGCTGCTTTCTTCTTCAAGGCTTGCAGACGTTTTTTGGTTACACTTGCTCTGCTTCTCGCAATGCTTCTCTCTGCCGCTCCCCTCATCGTTTTCTGACGATCAGGTACATTCTTGTGCTTTTTTAGTGCATATTTCCGATTCCGTCGGTGCACAAAAACCTGCAGAAATGATGGTCCTGTCGACGGGTCCATAACGTTCTTTCTAAATGGCCACTCAGCTGCGATAGGGAGTTGCTGGTCGTCTCCATCTTCTGCTGCATCATCTCCGCCATGAACATCGTCATCGGGGTCCTCCAAATGTCGTTCTGGCCTGAGTAGTCCCACATTCTGGCACTCGAAGTCATTCCAGAAGACACGAGTTCGAAAGCCGGACAGAGAATCGTCGCCTTGAAGAAGAAAGTTAGAATAAGATCTAGCTTTCCATCATTAGTACTATGCAACTATAACTATCAACTCTGCTGCAAGACCCTCGGCTGAAGATGCCGCGCTTCTACCTCGCAGTAATGGCTGGCATATTTCACACAAGCAGCAAAATGTAGCTGCAATTGCAAGTTGTAACCACTACGTATTCAATTGATCATATCTCAGAGAAAAATCCCGTCTTAAGCAATACATCCGCGCTTCTGCGACGCACTGAAGATACAACCGGAGTCAGAGACGCCTGATACTCAAATGCGTCTTTCAGCACGGTCTCTGCACCAGTAGCGCGACTTATAATTCGGACATCGCACTTCTGGGAATGTGGAAACGGCTGCTCAGGAACAGGAGGACTCGCTGGGCCTAACTCCTCACTGTCCGCTGGCGCACTATCTGAGAAGCTGCCACTGAACGAACTTCCACTGCCACTGCCACTGAAGAAACCAGCACTAAAGCTGCCATGTGGCCTGCGGCTTTTGCTTCCTAGAAGAAGCTGATCTGAACCTGGTGGTTTAGTGCTCCCGACTAAAAGGTAGTGCTTCTCCTCCGAACCACTGATCCCAATCTTTGAGCCCAAAAAGAAACCTGAGCCCGCCGAAAAGCTTCCTGAAAATCTAGAGGGAGTCGAAGAGCCCGTGGACATGCTGTGTGCGGGTGACGCCGCGATTTCTGAAGGAACGAATTTGGGCGTTTCGCAGAATCGCGACTGGAACGAATTCACGCCTGCATGCATCTCCCGGCTTTCACTCCGAATGGCTTCTAGGTCAATCACGTTTTCAGGAAAGAGCCGCGGTGGTCTCGCGAAAGCTCCATCGTCATGCTGACTTCCTGCATTTACACTCCCTGACCCGATGTCGCTGCGCATCATCGCACCACTACCCGAGAAAGATGAAGCACTGAAGGCGCCACTACCGGTCGGGCCAGAAACCGATCCCGAGTCTGAACCAGTGGAAAAAGCAGCTACTGGAGGGCTGCTGCTCCCGACGAGTAACTCAGAACCGGATACGGAAGCACCATCTGAAGGACTTGCGCGCGCGGTACTGGAGGAAGCGGATCCGGATCTTTCGGCACTGCCGGATCCACCATTCGTTGTACGAAATGGGCTAACCGATAGCTTTTTCGCTGGAATTTCGCCAGCCGACGAAAACGCCTGATTGGACGAGGAGACTAATGACTCAGCGGTTTTGCAAATTTGTCCACAGACCTCAATCACATCGTCAGGTGCGAACCCTTGCCCAATGACACGCAAATAAGTTCCACCACCAAAGCTGCCGATACACTGATCGCCCAGGTCTTCAACAAATTTTGATCTGACTCCCAGGCTCGCCCTACTAAAATCCTTAGATGAATCAGACTTCTTGCGCAGGCCGTGTCCTCCCCCAACTACAAGATCCGCCTTCCGTGCACGCTGAAGCATATGCTTCGCAACATGGTGACGCTTTATATTCGACCGCTTCGAAAAGCTTTTCTTGCAACTTTTTTTTGCAGTAGTGCTGAACAAGTTCGCGGGTTTTAGAGTCTGCCTCTCGAGAATGCCCGATCCTAAAACGATCTCTTCCTGCTTTCGCAAAGCTCCAAGCCGCAAATCATATAACAGTGGCATCTGAATTTTCAGAGTAATGGGGACGATGGCCAATTTTTTTGGACAGGCGAGGCAATGGTACATGAAACATCAACATGCAAAAGTCAACTATACTTGTCATGCCTCGTTTTCCTGGGCGGGGATAATCAAGAGCTATTCATCAGACGACAAAATTCAAATTGCCTCTGCGCCGTCCGAAGTCACTGTGCGGTTCCGTTTTTGAGTCGGCACCGAGCAAGCGTAGCCTAGAACAGGATCGCGAACACGTAGGATTGCGTGCATCGCCGTAGCAGCTGGCAGATGGCATTCCAAGTTTCCGGCTGTCCTACGCTGCAAAAAGCCGCTCGCGTCGGTCTGGTGCACTTCCACACAAACTCCCTGCCAACTAGAAGCAGTGGCTCCTACCGCGTTCTCGGTCACGAACACGCCAGATCTCTGTAGGGATTCGCCATGTAGTTGCAACAAATCATCGCCAACCACGCGCTTCGGTGCGTAGTCGTGCACAATGGGCGTTTCCTGTCGACGATATACGAAGGCGCCAGCATTTAGGGTAATCGACTTGGACACGGACCGGTGGAGGATTGTGCCTGTAGCCGTTCCACGGGACGAAGCTGTAGATGACCGTGATTTTGTAGCTTTTTCTTTATCTTCTTCTTGACTCCCGGGAAACTTTTCTTTCTCGTCAGCCGCTACCGCACTCATCGGTGACTCTGTCCTCGCAGTGTAATGTCCGAAAATCTTAATTGGCACCGCAATCTGGTCGCCTTCCTTCTCCTTTTCTTTGATTTTTGACCCGAAATCAACAAGCTTTAGATTCTGAATCGGTGGCGTCTCGCGACACACCGCTCTCCGCTTCGGATCGTAGGTGGCGCACTCACGATCCCCAAACAAAATCCGGTCCACAACGAACCGCGGAGACTTCTTTCGAGTAGCACCAGCGTCCGATGTCGTAGAATCACGCAAGGCTTTTGCTACACTAAACGATGATGCAGATTCATCATGTAACGGCGAGCTGTACACCAGGTCTGCGGACGCCAAGTTCGAAGACCCTGTCGCATTGGAGCTGGAACCGTGTCCGGACAATCCCGGAAGCGACACAAGATTCGACCCCGTAGCCGCAGCCTCCCATTCGACAATCGCGTGAGAAACATCGACTTCAGTACCTCCACATAATGAACCCGAAGAATAGGCATGAGCGCAAACAGCACCGAAAATGGCACCGAGAGCCGCACGGCGCGGCATCTCGGGCCTTTTCTTTGATCTCTTACCTGTAGTTACATCAGATTGTTTTCTTTCTAGAAACCCACTTGTATTAGGGATTACCTTTCTACCAGAGTTTTTTTGTGTCATTCAGTTTTATTGACCTTATCCTTTACAAATTTCTTACTAGGATTTTCGAGGTTTCTTTGTCAACGGTTGAGCTACTAGTCTCTCTTCAGTAGCAAGTTTCTCTCTCGTCGCTTTGGAACAGCTCTAAAAACAGGAGCTCAGGTGTGCGGTGCACCTGATTCGCCCGTAATTGCGTGGTGCACGTGCAGCACCGTGACGCAATCCCATGGATAGTACGCGACGTGTGTATGTCGGACAGCGTAGTTGTAAATCGAAAGACAATTTCAATTTCTATGGTGCGCGTATGTGTTCGTCTGTATGCGATCACTAAAAGTAGACGTTTCTTCCCGAGGGCCTCTCACGCGCTGGCACAAAAGCGTATCTTTCTTGGAACGCTGAGATAGTCCTGTTACTTACAAGACAGGGTGGAAGACACTATTTTTTACACTTTTTCTTCATCTGCCAAGGCAAAATGTAACATCACGAAAGCATCTCTAACACACAATTCAGGGAAGGACGAATTGTAAACCTCTTGTAGTTCTTGTTCTTTATCTTCCGGAGTGCGCGTTATTAATCCTGCTTAGAACTCTACATCATCTACCTTATCGGGGATTCACTCTTCCTCCAAAAATTTCCTGGCGCAGGTATTCGTAGATGTAGAAATTGAGTCCCACAGCGGGTGCGACTTTCACAAGCTCAGGTACAAGACCACGGTAAAACCCTTTGACCCCTCTACCCGAGTGCAAAATACGTCGGAACCAGCCTGCAATAGATAGATCCTTGTCGACCGGATGATTACAGCTGATTTGCTGGTTTCTTCGTATCAGATCCAGGGGCTGTACCAGCGTGGATGCTGTAATTCCAGCCACGGCACCACACAGCATGCTGTGGCCGAAAGAGCTCCGTGTCTCGTCGTCCCGAAGCATCCAGACGTTGAGGGTTTCGTAGATACCGAAGGTATTAGAGGTTGCAGCATTGCATTCTTCTTCTACTGCAAACATCCCTGACTTCTTTCCTACTGGGAAACAAGTCCAGAACAGTAGTGAAGAATGTAATGTGGAAACCCTTAAAGTTAAGACCTACATTGAGCCCTTGACAGATGAGCGTACAGGGAAGTCCGCGCGCGAGCGCACGATGTCCATCAGCGCTGATCACATCTCGATAGACGCTGAGCCACTGCTGGCCTGACGGCAGCGCTAGATGGTAGCTCGCCGGATTGCATGCCAGCCTCGTGCGCACGAGGTCGAAGGGGTAGGCAACGGTCAGCGACACAGAAGAAGCGAGAAAACCTGCTAAAGAGCGCGCCAGAAAACCCGGATCCGTTTCGGTACGCCACAGCGGTCGCAGTGAGTCCTTCATGCTTTCAAACAGACCGTAATTCAGCCCTGTGAGCACCGCTTTATGCATGATGCTCGTCCAGTTGCCCTTCCAGAAACTGCTCAAGCCTTCTCGCCGCACAACATCGAGGGCTAGCTGGCGAATGCCAGGTGGCTGTTGTGCTCCAGCTCCAAAGGTTCGGCTGATAGGAATGCAGCTCGACGAGGAAGAGCTTGACCCGGCGACAGACGCGACACCGCCCCCGTAAGAAGATCCTAGGGATGTGGAAATACTTCTCGTACTCGTTACTCCCGCGGAACCGGCAGAAGTAGACGTAGAAGCTGGTGTCACTACAGCAGCAGGGTTTAGTGAAGGTCCTACTGCTCCCGCTGGTCGTACTGGTGCACCAGCTGCAGCACCCCCTGCCGCAGCAGCAGTACTGTTACCTCCCTGTACTTGTGGGGATCCAAGTCCACCACTCACTTGTAGTAAGATCGTCATGCGTGAGAACGGTGCTGTGACCGTCTTAACGGCAAAACCAGAAAGAGCCCCACTTGCTACTGAGTTTCCGAAATCTCGCCAACCCATGCCATCTGTCTTGAACTTTTCGCGCCCTTCTGTGGCTGGCAAACCCGACGTAGACGACGCAGCCGACATGATCGAGCCTCGCAGCGGAAGATACAGAAAGTAGAAGGTATCAATCAAGTCGTTAATACAGGCACGAAGGGTACGGCGCAAGCATTACTGCTTACGGGTGTCTCCCTAGTCTGAACCAATGCTACTGCTGCGAGACAACATGGGTTAAAAATTATTGTTAGCAACGAATGCACCTTAGTTCACGACGAAAGCACTCACAACTTCACGCTATTCTGATGGTGGACCAGCTCCGCCGTGGATATTTTTATGGTATTCTTCATGAGCCCGCACGAAAACATTCACCATCGAAAAATCATTTTCAACACCTACGTTTATTACGTAATGCGACACTGACCTTTCTGCTGGATAACGAGCCCTCTCTACATCATACATCTTCACATCTTACCGTGGTACTGGTAGTTCTCCTGCCGAATGATATGATTATGAATATGCAAAGGCCTTCACAGCTACATGATTTATCTTCTTCTCATTGTGAACACGGTATTCGCGCGCAAACGCCCACCGGTCAAGGTCACGCAAGACCGAATGCAAAAAAATTTCTCATCAATCTAGCAAAATGAACACCACTCTGCCAACTCAAGTCCTCCCCGCGAATACATAAAATAAACAACAGTTTTTTCGGAGGTAGCATCCGATCGCAGTCTGTAACTAATTTCCATCATGTCGATCGTACTGACATGCTGATAAAATGAAACCCGCCTTACAACTATAGGTAAAAACTGGAATCTTTTTCAAAATAATCATACATGATCATGATCCTGGTTGTAAACTCCTTGTATTCAAGATAGCATTGATTAATTTTCACGTGTAATTGTATTTTCGTATGCACGCATCCCGGTGTAATGAGTCTATCTATACAATTGTAACGCTGAAAGGTTCTTAATCCGTTACTCCCCACAAACATCTCCTATGATCTTCCAACTAGCGACTCTATTCAACACAACAAAAATGTATTCAGCCAGATGCAGATTGAGAGGCATGATCTTAAAGCGGGCGGATCACGTTGTCTAGTTTTCCAGTAATCTCATTGTTACTTATTCCTAAGACATATCTATGTTGATTCATCACAAAATCTTGAAAAGCGATGAGAGTCGCAAAATCATTGATTCATCGACTTTCCTTCACCTACACGGGCTTTTTCATCATCATCAGGTTTTTGCGCAAATCATTGATGTAAAAGTCAGAAGCGAACTCGTTGTAGCTCTAATCTTTCCATTGACTTTTATTTATCATCACCTCCTATAAATATAACACGTCTTTCTATTTGACTTGCGGCTCACTGCTCGACTTTCTAAATCTTGATCTTTCCATAGTGTACTTGTAATGCGAAACGAAACTATGAAAAGTGTGAGAGAGTAAAACCTTAATATTTCTTTGCAACCCTAGTTGAGGGGCAGGGACCGTCCACTCAGATGGCCGGTTGTATCCCATGCTAATTTCGAAATTCCGACAGAAACCATGTCCGTCCTACAAATCATTGTGATTCGGTGATACTACACAACGTACTAGATAGATGTGGTCATCATTAGGTGTTTTTGGAAAGACCTGTGCTGCATCGTGTTCGTGACGTCGTGTCCTGCTTCACTACGACGACAACAATCGATTTTAGCTTAGTTCTTGAAAAAACTAAGTACTTCTTTCGTTTTTTCCAGTTGAACCGCACAACTAATTGTACAGTACAACTGAATTGTACCCTTCTCTTAGTCACCACTTATTTGTTCTTCATTTTCATACTCATCATCTTCATCTTCATCGGACTCTTCATCTTCATCGTCTTCATTTTCATGCTAACACGATTAGCGCGGTCGACGAGCTTCGACAGTCGCTTTGCCTGACCGTTCAGCGATCGAAGCTGTGATAAAGGTGATGGTCACTCATGTTACTTTTTCCGTAACTGTGATGAAGATCAAGAAACGTCTTGTAACAATCCACATTCGTGAAACTAACTCCAGGAAGGTGGACAAGCAGTGTCTAGTAAGTGTTGAAACGGACAGACGGAGACGTAGTCATAAAGATCATGTTTCATTATTTGTCCTCTTAAATGGTACAACTCCCAGCAGATGGAAAAGAATGATCAAGTTAGTAACAATGCAATGATGTGAGTACCTCCTTCTGAGCCTTCGCGACCTTCATCTTCTTCATTTTCATCGCTGCCTTTTCGCGTGACTGAAGTGTGTTGTATACCAGATGGAGGAAAAGAAACCTAATTATATCTCAGTAGAAGAGAAGAATTGATGGGAGTACGAGAAACTTTATGAATATCTCCGTCGAAAAATACAATAATTCGAATTTACTGCACGAACCTCTACTGTACACTTCTAAATGAAGAATGTATACTAGTCAGTACCTTCATCATCTGCATCTTCTTTTTTGATTGCATTGCCTTCATCTGCATCTTCATTTTTTGCGCTTTCATCTTCTTCGTTTCCTTCATCTTGGCCATCTTTGCCTTTTCCTTCACCGCCGCCGCTTTCATTTTCATCTGGTGTTGTTCTTATAATAGTTGTAGATACAGCGTGGCAGGTAAAAACCAGGAAGAGTATAAGATTCTTGAGGAGACATTTACAAAAACTACTTATTTACGCCACGCGGCTGAACAACCATCCTAGAAGTGCTATAATAAATAAGTCCCTACCGAGTAGTAACTGTTTGTATTTTAAATGTATTACCTTCATTTTTTTCTCAGCAACTTTCTGTTCGGCTGCAGCGAGTCCAGTTTTTTCTTTGAATGCTTGCTCCTTCCCGCTAGCCTTATAGTCTGCCATTGCTGCGTCGTACCTGAATGATGCGGTACAAAAAAAACGCGATGTGTATGGGATGGGCCGCACTGCTGACAAGTGCCATTCGTATGCAAAGTAGAAGCAAGGCGCGCGCTTACTAAATTACGTTACTCATGGACTAAGTACCCGACGCGCAAGGCATGGAAGAGCCTCCTATTCTTCAAGGGGCGCGCGGCCATTTTTCGCGGACACAGAAGAAAGTAATGGGAACATTTTGATATTAGGTAGATGGCTTCTACACTAGCCTAGCAGATTAACGTAGTTGTGGATTAAGGATGAACGTGTTGTTTTGTAAGAGGAGAGGAGGAGTAAAACCTAACGAGAGAGGGAGGGAGAGGAAAGAAGAAAGGCCACCCCGGCCGAAACCTGGACCCTACAGAAGAAGCCGCGACGCGCCGCAGCCGGCCAGGGGAGGGAAACCACCCCCAAACTCCGGTGGGCTTTTCACAGCTCAAAACCACACTACAAATTCGAGCAAAAATCTTCCCCAATTAGATAAGCCGATGAACCATTAGACTTGTCTTAACTCCTCCCCAAAAAAAAACGCCAGCAATAATGTTTACAAGAGAAAAAAAGAAGTTGCAAAGTTATAGCAAGAACGCTGAAAAAGTGCGGCACTTTAGAATGTAATCAGTACTTTGCCTTCTCGTTTTTGTATGCATTGTTGTATATTGCCTGTTGATCTTCCGGCAAGGACTTCCATGCAACGGACGCTTTCTTGGTAACCTCTGTCACCTTCAGCCCGGAACCGTGCCGAGCCCTCCACTCTTTGGCATATCGCATGTAACCTGCAAAAATAATTGTCTTCATTCCCATCGCGACAAATCATAAACCTATGCTTATCAGGTTCACCTTGAGATTCACGAAGCTACTGATTTTTGACGATGAAGCGACAAGATCGATGGAGTAAACATAATAGAGTCACCTGTTAATGGCCTCTTCGGTCTTGACGGATCCCTTTTCCAAGCCTCAAGCTTTCCGCTAGCTTTGTATTTTTCAAATTCCGCGGTATACCTTTAATGCAGCAATGCAGATACATGAAGTGTATGGTAGTCACCCTGTAGTGGTTCTTCGTTAGATTGTGTTTGAAAGAGAATCGTTGATACACGAAAAGGATTTCACGGGTCTATAATTTTCAATGACGAAGATGTTCTTGATCAGGTCGATAAGAATATGATCTTGTCCTTAATATTTGTAGAGTCTCTCTGAAGAAGACGACCTAACGCGAGCATATCAGACAAGTCTTAGTTGTAAAGGTAGTACACAGCCTTATTCGCTTGATAGGTTCGCATGAAAGGCGCTTTGTCGTGATCGCCTAGCGACTTCCACGTCTGCCCTGCTGACCTCAGGACCTCCAGGCCATTCATTCCCGCTGGTGGGCTTTGTCGGAACTGGTGGAGATACAACATGTAAGGCGTCAGTGGTAGCTTAGGTCGTTCGGGGTCTCGTGCCGGCTTCAGCTTCGTGCTAAATTCTCGAGTCGCCACGGGAAACAAGCCCGCGGGGGCACCACAGGAAGCGCCGCTGAGAGAGTAGAGCTGCGAACTTCGCAGCCCGCGCAGCACTGACTGCATGCTGGGAGGAGCAATCACGGAAAACATCCTGCTCCAAAATTCACCGAAAATGTTTCTTTAATCTATCTCCTATGGAGTTCTTCACAACTAAAGTTTATATTTGTGTACTTAAATGAACAATTTTGGGTGAATAAAAACGGTAGCAACTTACCGGTTTGCATGGTTTGAGTACTGGTGCCAACTTTATTTCGACGTTGGTGCTCCTTTATCCTTTTTGATGTGTTTCAAAAATCAAAAGTATTTTTCGGCAGCTATTTGCCTTCTACAACCGCTTGCCGACTCACTTTCATCGTTAGTTCAATAAATATGGCTGACTGATGTTTTTAAGATCGCCACATCCTACGCGGCGTTGAAAGAGGATCGTTGCGGCACGTTGAAATCTTTTGCACGCTACCTCACGCAGCCGTGATCATGTTTGTAAATGGTCAACATTAAACTTCCACTGTTTGCGTCCTTTTCCAACATCTAACAGCGAGTGAAAGCATGGAAAAAGTGGTCACAAATGTTTTTCATTGGGATAAATGATGTGGTAGGCTGCATTCAAAATAACGCATTAGTTGCCGGCAGCGAATGTGAGAAAGGTTGCAGCGATAAGGCAATGGCTGGAATGAATCATCGTGCACACTTCCACCCCAACTTGTTCGCAACTGCCAAGGTTGAGACCAGAAAGCGACAAGTCACCGATCAAATCCCATGAAAATCCAACCTGTTGTAATTCTTGTTCAAACGAGGATCAGAGTGGATGGCATTCTTCAGGAATTGTAAGTAAGTACCAAGAACTTGTTTTTGTACATCTAAGACCGTAACAAACAACAAGTAAGTAAAACTCGTACCACACTGACGAGGGCAATAATCGCTAGCGACGTATTTCCCGGTACACCACAGGCTAGTCCTAGCACTACAAGACCCAACACGAATTCTTCGATGACTGCCACGCCCAACCCCGTCGTCCAGTGCAAGTCCTTTTTCCAGAACCGCGCAAAACCTGAGACAGCACTTCCACTTCAATCATATCATAACATCGGTATTTTTCTTCTAGGCTAGACGTGGTTTCATCGAATGGAAATTACCATAATCATGCGATTGTCAATGGATGAATCAATGGACTCCAAATAGATTGAGACAGTACCCCCTGATAAGCCCCCACTTGCTATCTTCTCTCCAAGAGCGGTTGTACCTTTCTTCATCGATACGAGCGACCTAGATAGTGGTCATGGAACCATTTTGAAAAGCGCTTTTGGATCTTTATGCTAGAAGAGCACTCGCTCTTTGTACATCGACTAGGTATTCCAATCAACCAAAAAATATGCTTGGCAAACGAGATAATTCCTCTCTTTATCTTGCGTTTTTTCAATTCGTCTTCAGTCTTTATTAGGATGCATCATACATCATTTGCGATCAATATCCTACTTCTTAGTTTTACGAGCTCGCTGCTGGCTTGTGTCGTAGTATCGCTCTCCTCTGCGCGGTTCGAAAACTCGCGAGCTTTTCTGCTACTCTGCGATGTACGGTTGAAAATCCCTGCCTCTGCAGGAAGAAAGCGCCGTTTGTGCTTGAAAACGTATTCGGGAAAGCGCAATTGCGAACATAATTTGCGGACGGCCTCGAGGCAGTCCGAAGACCGGCAAACAACATCTTTTACGTTGTGTCAGTCGGAGCCGGACGGTCCGCTCTTCGCAACACGGAAAGAAAGCGCGCTCCTCCTCCTCGCGGCCTAGAGGCTTGTTGTCATGCACTTAATTGATAGCCTTTTTCAGCTCATCTACTTACACAGAAAAAGAGCTTCCAGAATATTCACATCATGCCGACAAAACAACTTTATGCACCAATTTCGACCGGGAACAGCATAGAGAAAAGGCAATTTCGGTATCATTCATTTCATAGGACGAAGTCTCACACAATTAGATCGCGTCCTGCATATTATCGATGACCGACTCCAAGGACAGGCCCATGCGGTTGAATTATAAATATCATATGATGAGCTGTTCTTTCACCGATGACGACCGGAGTGTCCTCTGCATTTCAATTAGAGTCGTCTTCAGAAGACAACCGACACTTTCTTTGCAGGTTGCACTTACACTAAAGCTAACCATAAAAATTGTTATATTGCTACAACAGTCCTGCTTCTCATGGGAACCTCAAAAAAGGTGCTTTCTGAGTCTCTCGTCGAAAGGTATGAGCATCTCAAATTCACACTCGGTTAGCCCCGCTATTTTTCTCCACAGAATACACTAGTGCAGCAACCCGCTGTACAGTCGTAACACGGTTCGAAAATAATTGCACCTCCACCATGCGGTCCCGTGCGAGCGGAAATGAGCTGCAGTGTGGCTGCAACAAATTATTGATGGTGGTTCTTTTTATTTCAGGAAATACAATATGACACGCGTCGGTGATAAAAAAGTTTAAGTTAAGTAGGTAGTCGGGAGAGTATCAACGAGGAAAAAGGAAAAGAGTTCGGCTACCAACCGCCACCGTCGCCTCGACAGGCTGCTTTTGCATCATCCTTCATTCTCATCTGCATTTTATTTTTGTTGCAATTCTTAAACTTCTGCTGCTTTTCCTTCTGCTTGAGCTTATTCCGGATCTCATCGGCAGTCAGAATTTTCCTCTGAATCTTCCGTCTTTGCAGCACGTGAATTTGATCTTCTATCTTCTGTGCACCGCCGCCGCCTTCGGGTGCCTCTTCGTCGCTAGAATCGTCGCTAGACTCGTCGCTGTTTACATCAGTTGCAGTACTTCTTTCAGCTTCCTTGCTACACCTATTTCCCATCTTCCCGATTTTCAGTTGGTGGTTCGGGTTCCCTCCGACTGAGAAGGCTTCAGCAGGTGAAGATGATGAGGAGCTCGATGGTGTGTCCTTTGCTGAAGACACTGTCATCTGCGCTGTGAAACCCTCACACAAATGATCGATTCTACAACCGCCTTCAGGCACTGCTGCATGATCAGCCTCTTCCTCCTCCCCATCATGGTCACCACATTCAGCGTCGCTCTCGTCACTACATTCTTCTTCATCATCATCTTCCTCTTCTTCGCCACCGCTTCCTTCATCGTCTTCTTCTTCTTCCACTTCATGCTCCGCCTCTTCCTTGATTGTGTCGAGCAGAAGCATATCTTCACTCTCAAGGAGAGCCCCGGCACCCAGCTGAATCACGGCAGTGGGCTTATTGCTTCTAGAGGACGTCTGTCCGCCTGCTGATGAGGGTGGAAGTAGACGGTCGTTTCTAAAAAAGGCGTGGTCTTCATCCTCATCGCATACCTCGTTATCTTGATTCGTCGCAGCTTTTACGCTTTCATACGCCTCGCGGGCTTCTTCGTAGGTCGGAAATTCTTCACACTCCAGACCAAACCGCTTGCGGAAGAAACGGAGCACACAGCCGACGTCTCTTTCGAAGTAAAATTCGGCGTTTTCGTGTTCCATCGTGACGATTTGAGGAAAATCGATCAATGTAATCTTCTCGTCAGTATTTATCATCAAGTTAAATTCGTTGAAATCGCCGTGGATGAGACCGCTGCGTGCCAACCTCAGCAATAGTCGGAACAGCGAAGCCATGACCTGAATGGGGGGAAGGGGGAAAGAACATGAGCATGCGTGCACGTCATGGGAAAAATTCATTTCAATTCGATCTCCGACAGAGCATCACCACCCTAGAAGCAAATGATCTAAAGTGCGGAAACGTTATTGCAAAAAATGGAACATGAGGAATAGTACCCTCTCTGGCCTGCCCAACGTGCGCATGTGATAGAGCGGAAAGGCATCAATAAATTCCATCAAAATCGCGTGTCGGTTGTGGTCGATTGCACGTGGAACGCGGAAGCCTGCGTCGCTGAGCGCTTTTGCGTAGGCGTATTCTTTGGTTGCTGCTAAGCGTGAAAGGTACATCCAGCTTGCGTGCTTTCGGTGCTGAAGATAGTCGCGATTGTTCTTGATACTACGAAACGACACACGGCCTAGGCGGTGTAACTTTAAAGCAAGTTTATTGCCATCCTTGTCATAGCAAATGTGCACATCGGCTTCTTTTCCGACTCCGATTCGCGTCATGCGCACATCCTCGATATGGCCACGAGACATGAATGCCTTCAACGCGAGAAAATCATAGCCATTGTAAGTCAGCTTGTAACCATCGTACTTCTTGCCGTCGTGCACAACCAGCTTGTGCTTTAACAACAAAGAAAGCACCTTGCGACAACCTGGTGGAAGGTAAAATGGATTAAGATTAGAAAAGCTGTGATGTGATAGCACTCTGCACTCTGACGTTGAGGTTTCATTTTTTTCATGTTTCTTCTGTATCTGAGTGATTTAGTCCTCGGCATTGATCAGCAAATCAAAGTTTACCTCCTCTCCTCAAGTTTGAGATCGTCTCAATGAGCTGCGTCGGCACGAATTCGTGATTCTTCTGACCCATTTCTATTGCGGTAAGGACACGGAAGTCGTCCTTTGTCAGGTACCGCAAAATCGATGTATCTAGCCGCATTTTCGCCAAGTGTAAGCGCGACCGCGACAATGATACTCCTCGTCAGATATGTCAAGACTTTCGATGACGAACGGAAAATAATCAATTTGGTTGCAACACACGGAGGAAAAAAGATGATGAGATGAAAGAGTTTATGAAACTTGAAGGATTACCTAAGTACAAAAAAGCTTCAGGGGTTACTAGGTACTTACCTCGTGCACTTCTCTGCACAAAGCGCCATCCTGTATGTATCAAGAAAGCAAAGAATCATCTTCGATCACAACAGCGTATTGCCAACAAGAACACATTGTGCCTATATACTTCAGTGATCGAGATCGTCGTGGTTCACAGGATGCTTAGAAGAACCTCTCTGATCATCTCGAAGTTGTCATAGATGACAGGATCTTGGAATCGCTCCACGAACTTGAGCTACGGATCTGTTGGATAAGGACCAAAAGATTTTTTTCCACCGTACACTGAATTAGACTGAATAGAGATCCTTCTTCGTACAAGAATGGTTGTTGACCCGCTGACGTGCGATCATAACACTGAATTGCTAGTAGAACGTCGTGATAGAGTGTCCCATCAACATTGGAATGATTCAACGGGCAGTCTTGTTGTTCGCCTTGTGATCGGAACCAAGTCTTCTTGACACTGCAACAATGCAGTTCTTCTGTATGTCGTGGCAATGCCACCCTGCTGAAAAATTACATGCATAGCTGCAAATTCAAAACGGCAAAAATCAGAGTAATGTTGTTCAGTACTTCTATATTCTCTTTGTGTTTTCTCATGTCGTAGATTTTATGCATCGATTTGTCGTAAGGACGACATTGCGAATATCATGCAAAGATATGTGCGACCCCAAGCCCGACTTAAACATCTAGGAAATTTAATATTTGGATTTTCGAAAAACCTACCCAGTCGCTTCAACAACGAACTCCACAACCGCTCTCTTCAAAAGAAAAGCGGGAATGATAAAGGGACTGTATTACAACAGCTGATTGAAAACTGCAGACAACAACACGAGAAAAACGCCGGCAATAGGCCACGCCGTTACCTCGCGTTTTTCGAAGCCCAAAAGTCCGAAGTGGTCCAAAGGAATTGAGGTCGCGAGCTGGCCAAGAAGCACTAGTAAGAAGTAGCGTAGCGCGCCGATTTTCTTTTGAAATAGCAGGATAGAGTAAAATTGAACAGCACCAGCCAAGCCGCCAAGCCAGTTCACGAGTGGTACCGTATTGAGGAGACCTAGAAATTTCTTCGCCGTAACAGATTCCAGTCCCAGGGGCTCTGAAAAGAGCAGCATGAACGCGAGCTGCGCCCCACTCGCTGTGACATAGGCAAGAGAGCCCGTGGTAAGCATCCGGTCTGGCAGAATTAGACTCAGCGCTAATCCACATCGGCCCCCTTTTCTCCTCGACCCCTCTCCCTTCTATTTCATGAGAATACAAGGCGAAAGGGGATCAAGATTCCGAGAAAGATGGAGAAAAGCTGACCATAACAAGAGATTGTTCAACTGCACGAGAGAGACACGCGCTACGGGGAGGAGCCCACCGGAGAACATCGCGCATCCAAGGTAAGGTGCTTTGCGCTTCGCCACCTCCACTAGAGCGGACGTCGATAGGCCGGACGCAGTCAATAGGCCCAGTGGCGCCAGCATACTGGCCATGAGCTTTTTGCAATTGATTTTCCGCCTGATGCCCATCCAGCCCAGGTGGTCCACTACGATCGACATAAACATCTGCCCGAGAATCTTAGAAGGAATCAAGTCCAGCCCCTGACAGCTTCTCACAAGAGCTTAGACTTGCGCCTGATACAACAATCTTCCTAGTATTCGAGAAAAATAGCCTAAGCCTTAACGATCCAGCTCATCGTGTACGACAGCACACCCGTGTGTGGTACCGCGAATGCTGCAAGCGTGACCGCGCTTCCCGCCACTGGTCCGCCTAATAGAAGTTTGGCGATGATATTCTGGAGCAACCACAAACGATGCTTGTTGCATTTACCTACAACGCCACGCGCTTTGCTGTCTTTTCGCAAGCCTCTGTCCCTCTTCTGCAGATACCTCTTCGGAGGCGTGGTGGACAAGGACTTCTTCTGTGTCCAACGTTGCGGAGGCACGCACGAAACGGCTAAGCGTCTGAAAAGAGACAGCAATTTCGTGGGTTTCGTATCTGCTCTTCGCTTGCTTGGCGTCCCGTCTTTGCTATGAAATGATGAGTTGGTTGATGGAAGATCTGGCGTTGAAGCAAACGATGGTAGTGAAACTTCAGAGGCCCCTGCTACACCTTTGTTTCCATCAGATTGCCGAGGGCCTTGTTCCGCCAAGGCTCCTTTGCTACGATAGGCTGTTGCGGCTGTAAGCGCAGCCTTCTTGTCCGCCTCCGCGGTGCGTTTTAGTTCGCGATGCACAAATTCGCGCACGATATCCATTCCGCCCGCGTCGTCCTCTGTACTATCGCAAAATGGGTTCAGACCAGCGACAGGACTGGCAACTCCACCCGAAGTGCTAGAATCCCCGCTTCCCCGTGCGAGAGGCGACAAGTTCTGCTTTCTCTGCAGCATTGACGCGCTCCTGATCGCGCGCCGTCTCGACGGAGTTCCGTCTTGCTGCTCATGTTGATCTAATGACTGGTGTAGACCCCGCTGCTGTGCAGAAATGTCTCGTTGACGGTTCTTCACCTCTGGGCTATCTCCCAGTGCGAAGAGCTCTGCGCTTGACGTCTTCGAAGTCGTCTGGAGATTATCAGCAGGCTTTCTATTATGGTTGTTCCCATCTTCGCAGTCGTCGTCAGAGTCATCCCACCAAGGGTTTCGCCGTGTATTGAAAGCAGGAGGCTGCGGCCTCGCGCTCGTGATGCCCCTCTCTTCGTCCTCCGAAAACTTTGGAGATGGACTCTCGCGATACACATCGATGTCGACGTTGGAGGCCCGTAAATACTTTTCTCCTCGTTCCTCCGCTGCCTCGCTCGCAGCTCTTTCGGCAGCTAGCGTTGCTTCGATAGGATTGAGCCCCATCACAAATCCACTGGACAGGTCGGTTTCCTTCGGAACGACGAGTTCTGCGGGACAACAAACGAGGTGTCCCTTCGTGCCGGGCACTGGTTCGTCTCTGAGGTCGCACAATCCGTTCCGCCAGTCATCGCCCTTGCGCAACGCGGCCGCCCCGAACAGGCCCGTGTAAGCTGGTGGTCTACTGCTCGCAGCAAGATCGCCTTGCGACGCCATCGGCGAAGGCACATACTCACTCCTCTGCGCGTCTGCCCCGACAACCGTGGAACCAGAATCCTCAACTTCATCTCTACTCGACTCCATATCATGGTCAGCATCATATCCCCGACCTTCTGGCGCAGAGAAATCCTGAGTCTGATGTTCTGTGTCGGACGCGGAACTCGAGTAAGATGGACACGCTGCTGCTAATCTTCGGCATCCGGCTCCGACGCTGCCCATCGTGAGCATCATGCCACAGCCAACGACAGAACTGCACAGGCCCGCAAAGAATGGGTTGCCGCTTATCACTGTGAGCTTGCCGTTGGCCGCAGCCTGGCACGCCAACAAACTTCCGCATAATACTGGTGCTAGAATCCGCGGGTGGAGGCCGTTGTGCTGTTCCAGGTTTGCCACGCGCTGTCGAACCTTCGAAAGTATGCTCGTCTTGGCCTTCGATAGTGCAGCGCGAGAGGCGAACTTATGGCAAGCGATCGGTCGCGGTGCTGGTTGCATTTCTCCCCTCGAGGTTTTCGAGCCGAACGACGTTGTTGCGGTTGCGCTTCCTCGTCCAAACACAGAGGGCGCAGGCGTCTGACTCTGAGCTATTCCCGTTCCCGCAACAAGACTGCTGGAGACCAAGGCCTGAGCAGCAAAAAAGACCCACGTAAAAAATATCGTCATCATTTGTAGAAAAACCGAGTATGAGGGTCCTAATCAAACGTCTCACTCACGCAACAGCTTGTTGTCACTAAAAACGGTTTAGTCTCATCTTCGCAGACGCTCACACTTGCATAATAACATGCTCCACAACAGAGGAAATTCTACGTACTTAGAAAAATCACCTCGAACAGGAGTACATTCTACTGGATCTCTATGACGGGCTGCAATAACACTTTTTCACAACCCGGTAACACTTTTGGAGGTAAGAGCGAGTGCCATTTTCAGTTGATTTCATCGACTTTCTTTGAATAGATGAGCATGAAATTGATCACTCATGAAGGGAATTTTCGAGTCAGTGGCTGCGCAAGTGCTGACTCAGGATCAGTCCTCAGGGAAGGTTAATTTCAGGAGATATTTCCCAATGGGGCACTTTGCTCTAGTTAGTGCATAGCGAATGTCATCCACCTCAATATCGCTTGCCAGCCGTATCACATCGAGTGCACCAAGGTCGTACACACCTTTGGCATGTCGAGGCCTCCCATTCCATATCCTCGTGGCAACTCTCAGACCTGCGGAAGTGGCTAGGCCGTCTACATGCTCTACGATTCCACCCTGAACCAGCATTTCCAAATATCTACGGCAATTGTGGTATGGAAAGGGAGTGGCGCTCCGCGACGTCAGCTCACCAGAGTTATCCACGTTCACCAAGGAGTGCGAAAAACTGTGAAGGCGTGAACCATTTGAACGATCGAACTCAGACTCTGCAGATGGTATAGCAACTTGGATAAAGGAGATAGACGGAGATCGAAGATGGTAAGTAGCTTACACAGAAATCAAAGGTTGCTTTCATTTCGTGGCAACCCAGGTCTTGCTTTTAATGCTAAGAAACAACGTAGAAGATGAGTGGTACTCTTTCCACATTGCCGCCTGAATGATGCAGGATCGCATTTTTTCTTGCGCGTCTAAGAGCGTAATTTCCTCTGTTGGTGGCACCGCACCCTCGAATTCTGCTGCAACCGCAGCGAGAAACCAGCGAGGATTCACCGCTAGGTTTTCCATCATTTGCAGCTTTGGGTTTGACCGCAGCGTTTTGGCCTCCACATAATTCATGTCCACAATGGACACCTTGAGCACGTCTGGTAGTTTTTTCTTGTTCCTCGTGCACCAGCGTTGCAGCAACGTCTGCCACTTGCTCAACAATTCGGGCAGAGCTGGAACTTCGATGTCCTCGTCGTCGTCCTCGGTTCCCATGACAACGTCTTGACCTCCCTGAGCAGCGGTCGCTTTGGGGGATCCTGCTGCGGCCCGCTGCTCGCGGATGTACTCTTCCCGACAAATGCGCTTGTTTTCGTTGATTCGGTAATCCAAAGACGAGCGGCACACCTGCAGCGCTTTGCGCACATCGCCCATCTCTGCAGCGATGCGAACGGCACATAAGTCAATTGTGTTGTCGCCGAAGACCTGTTTGTCGAGACGCGAAGTGATTATTTCCTTCAACTGCGGGTAGGTGTACGGCTCCACCGGGAGTCGTGACGGTCGCAATCGTGAGCACACTTTGGGAGCTAGCCGTTCCGGCAAATTTAGCGTGTTGGAAATCGTCAACAGTATCAAATTGTCGTAAAAGAGGGTCCATTCCAGCACTCGGTACAACAAATTCTGCTTCAACGCGTCCAGCTCGTCCAGAAAGAGAATTACAGGTTGTTTCCGCTGCTGGACGACATTAGAAAAAAACTTAAACTTTTGAGTAATACTATGACCACTCGCAGATGCGTAGGAGTACTCCTTGGTAGAGTTCGAACAACTGTGTAGCAAAAACTTCGAAGTTTCCTAGATTCACACTGATAGTTAGGAGGTTCCTCGCTTGTACTTCTCAATATAAATATCAGCTAGTTGGATCTATAACGCCGCGATATCCAATGTTATATTTTGTTCATAGAGATTTCAAACTGGCGCTGCAGAAGATTCAGCGCCTTTCTTGGCAAGGGACGTCGCGCCTCGCCAGAAAGGTGCATATACATGTCCATGTAGAGCGAGTACGTGCCAAAAATTTTGAGGCAGTTACATCGAACGACACGACGAGCACCTAGTTTGCCCTCCCACTGGGTGAGTATTTCGTTCACCATCGCCGTCTTACCCGTACCCGGAAGACCGGCAATGAACATGACGTTCGTGCCGCTCTCGCCTTTCGTTGCTCTCTCCAGAAACGCCTTAATTTCGCCCTTCTCGCGGTCTCGACAGCTTGTCCCATTTTTCGGCATCACGCTCGGCAGCAAAGCAGCTCTTGCTTCCTTCATGACACGAAACCATTTGGGCATTTTTTGGAGCTCTGCGCGCTCTATCTCATCGACGATAAATTCGTCTTCCGCGCCAAGAAGGTCTACTTCGGCCTCTGCTTGCCTCTTCCGCAGTTGTTCCGTAAAAACTGCGGTGTCGAAACTAGAAGCACATGCTGTCGGCTCCCACCGCAGGTCTGGAAATCCTCGTCGCCCTTCACATTCTGTGTATGCCCGCCTGCAGAAATACTCGTGTTCATCAGGCACACCCAGCTCGTCCTCTTGTGGTGCGTCATCATCGTCATCCTCCAACAGCTTCCTGAGCGGAGTATCAATTGCGGCAGCCCAATTCGTGGATCGCAATGCGGATCCATTTGCGCTTGACGCGGCCCTGACCACTTTCGCACCGCGTGTCGGTGTCTTCTTCGCAGGTGTCCTTGCTCTGCCTCTCCCACCACATGCTACAGCACTGGAGGGTGTCGCAGGTCTTGATCCAGCAATGCTCGTCTTACCTGGACTCCCGATAAAATCCGCTGCAGCAGACGCCGCGCCAGGCCCTGGAAATAATGCGAAGTAATCCTCCGCATTGTAGACCACGCAATTCGTCACGATTTCGTCGAAAGCAACCCACTCTTCGAATTCCGTAAGCTTTTTTAGATATTGAAACAATATAAACTAGACGAAGAAAATGCTACAATTGATGAACCATTGTCGATTTTTCGCATGACGAGAATCTTTGTTGTAGTTTCTTGACCCGCTTCTCTAGTTTGTGTAGAAGATGTTGGCGCAAACTCCCTTTTTCTCTAATAGACTATAGCTTGAGCCATAAAATCACTTCCTTTTCATGCATGATGAAACTGGCCTTCTCCTTCTGCGACGCTAAGAGCCGATCCAGCTGGCCACCGTGGCAAAATTTGCGGACTTGACATTTTTGACTGTCGCCGTCAATTTTGAGAACCTGCGCTACGGTTTTTTCGCGACCATAGACAATTGTTTCTAGCTCAGCAAACTCCAAATCTTCTGCCTCTGCTTGTTGTAGTGCACCTCCGTCTTCATCCATATTGAGCGCATCGTCACTATCTTCGACAAAGCTGTCGGTCGTATCAGCACCTTCAGGCGGGCCTCGATGCAGCACGACCGAGCGGAAACCATCATTGCGTGTAGTGATTTCGAAGCCAGGCTTTGCCTTTCCACTCTTATTTTTCGACGCATTTTTTTTCCGGTTTTTGCTCGAGCCTGGCGGTGAGAGGCCATCCTCATCCTCGTCCACTTTCGCTTCTTCTGTTCCACCATCCTCGTCCGCCAGGTAGTCAGCAAAGCTGGCCTTTCGCCTACCGCCATCACGCGCCTTCTCGCTACTCTTCTTGGCTTTACTGCCCTTTTTCGCGACCATTCTGAATTATGAATTGATGTCGATACAGCTACATATGTGAAGACAGCAGGTAGCAAAATCCTGCTCAAGAAAGAAGTTCTTACTCGTCCCTTTAGTAGTCTCATAGGCCTAAGAAGTCAAGAAACGACTCTTCTATAAAAAATGACAAGACATACTTGTATCTTGTCCAGAAAAAACTGCACCGACTCAGCTTCTGCGCGCTTCCGAAAAGGTCATTTACATGTGTTTAAGTGTTTGCATCCTAGAGTTTTGATTGAGATGGAGAAAAACAACAGCATGAAGATGTTACTAGGGGTCCTTCGAGCAAATCTAATTAAGTAAGCAGAATGAACAAAAACTGCCGTCCTCTTGAAATCGATCTTTCTTCTCAATTAGAAGTACTTCAGTCCATGAAATCGAAAACAAAAATCAAAAACTGGATGAGAGATGCAGACTTATATAGATAGGTGTCCATTAGAAACCGAGGAGAAACAAGGACCTAATTCTACGATAAAAAAGCTCTAATATGAATGAGTCAACTTTTGCGTGCATGCTTTAGTCCATATAATTATCATCGTTTGTGCTGACCGTGGAGGTGACGACCCTTTCGGAAAGTGTTGCAAAGAAACAGACAGAAGAGATCAAATCACGAAGGTTAGGAGAGATCAGAAACCGCGCCCAGGTAAATTGGTGACTACAACTGCAATCACCATCATTGGAGCCGATTCCCTCTCGCGAGTCGCGATCCGGTGACTCGTGGAGATGACATCACGATGTGCGTAAGCCTGCTTATAACGCTATTTCTTAACTCGAACACGGAGCAGTCCGATCGTGCATGGAGCACGAAGGCGTACCCTGCACACTCAGAATCCAGAGACACCTTGTGCAGGCCGAAGAAAGCGGCAGATGACATCATTCGTTTGTCCACTCAGTAGAGAGGGAGACATTACTAGCTAAGCCCTAGAAGACAGCACAAGCCCTAACCTTCCCATGATCCTCTTACACGTACTTCACCTCTATGTCAGCATTTGTATGTATTTCCATCCTGGATCGAGGCGTTGCAGCGGGTCCTACTACTTAAATAGAAATCATTTGCAGGAGCAATTGTTCTAGGGAACATCTACCACTGTGCTTGAGCCCTTCTCCATACTCCTACTAGGTGTAGTGTTTGTCTGTCCCGAACTTTGCGGATCGAGCCCTTTTTGCAAACGAAATGACACTCTAGTGCTTATGGATATTAAATCTACTCGATGAGCAAAGCCTGCTCTAATCACAATCTACTCAATGTCGAATATCAATTGCTGTGCATGTGCCTGAATTCAATTGTTTTTGTTCATTGGTGGTTGATAACTCTGACCTATATAATTGTCGTGCTACCTATGGTATAATACGTCGACGTGTTCGTTGACCCTAATCCTAACCTAAGTATACTCATTTTCTCGTCTAGTTCATTCCCTTTCCTCAAATCAACTCACATAGATACGTACCTATCGAAAGAGTGCAGGCACAAACTTCTTTACAGAATTTTTCTGATCTTTCGTGATGATCTGCACTTTTGTCACCTCCGGTTTGGCAGAGCGCTTCTTCAGTAGTCTCGCGTTCACTCGCTGGAGGTATTCGGAAAAAGTAATCCGCTTTTCTTGGCCATCCGCGCCTCTTTGCTCGTCTCCGAAGATCTCCTGTATCTCTGCATCGAGCTTTTCTCGTCCAAAGCGCACAAACAAGATCTGCAACGTTTGCTCCACACTGATGCTGCCCAAACAGTCCTTGTCGTACATCAGAAATTGCACCAAGTTGAACAAATTTCGCGGCTCCAGTCCCGTCTTGTCCGATATGCAGCGCTGGTACCTTTGAGGACTGAAAACGTCTTTACCTCGTACTTGAAGCTAGTTGAATCTATGCGCAAGGCTCAGAAAACTAACACACTCGACGAACGTCGAAGTTCGAGCCTACTCCTACCCTAGATATTAGAAGGGCGGTAGATAGAAGGTAATTGGGTATGCAGTTAAGTAGATACTACATGACGAGAAATTCTTCCCACGAGACGTGATGGTCCAGGTCATCGTCAACTTCCCAAATCATCAAGTCGATCTCCCTCGCCGTACTTTTATAGCCCAGTTTGAAGAGGACTTCTGAGATTTCTGAGGCGTCCAATCTGGAATCCTTTCGTGCATCGATGTAATGAAAAACCTTCTTCAGGCAATCGTATTCGACTTGCGAAATTTGCTCCTCGAGCTCCCTTGCATTCTCAACCGTGGCCATTTTTCTGGTGCATGGGAAGTAAGCCAGGAGTAAGGCCTCTACCTCCAGGGAAGTTAACAAGCTTAAGCTTCGTTGCTACTCGGAGTAGCGGTTGTCACATTCTTGAGCTTCAATGCCAGAATTGTGAATTTCGATTAGTCAGCTATCAACTAATTTTCGATGTCAACTTTTTTTGTCTGGCTCTGGTATGTACATTCATATAATTTATATTTTTTTGGTGGATCAGATCTAAGGAGTACCATGCACCTACGACAAACACATCATATTTTTGCACCAGCGCGGGACTTATCTTCATAGATTGTAGTTTTTCCATTTGCAGCTATCACCGGAACTCGTCTGCGTTTGAGACCTTCCATATAAAATGTTGCTTTCTTCCATATCAATATGCGGGTAAAATAGAACAGCCATCGTTTCGCAGTACGGCAAAATCAGGTGCACCGCAGCAAGTCCTCCTTGGTAGTTTCACCACGTATCAAATATTATCTTAGAACTCTACCAGCACGCGCGACTTTTAGCAATAAATGTCGAATCAAGTCTACTGAGCGAATTCTACGTTGTTTCAGCAGTCTTTGGATAATTACATCTATGCATGCACTCCAGATCACATCAGAGCGTTAAAAAACATAATCAATGCGGAGACACATCTCTTTTTTATCGGTATCTATTCTGAAAGGCATATGCACATAGGCGTGGCGTACCGTGAATTCAGGGAGGTCTTCATCAGAGAAAAAGACAGCATACTGTCGCTCTCTCGGCACCGTTGCCAAATACGCACACGGGTACACAACTTCAGTTTACTGCCGCAAAATCGAACTATCCTCCATGTGGCTTCACATTCGAGAGCAAGTAGCTACTAGCCCCATTCCACAATATAGATGAGGTCGCAAACAGGCCCATTCTAGTGAGACCTCTTTGAGCAAACCGTCGTTCTTGTCCTTAACACAATCTCAAACAATCTAACTTTTTAAAATGTTTCTTTACGTTTACTTGTTAGTGTCCTAGCATAAAAGTAACTGCCAGTAATTGCTTTTTCATGTCACAATCCCCGTTAGCATCCTCCTGCCAATTAGCTCGCAGAATCTTCGCCCCTTAGTGGACTGGCCTCTTCCGCATAATCATCCTCCCCGAAAGCTGCTACAAAAGGTCATCAAACGAAGACTTTTCCGACGGCTCAAAATCCTCGAGACCTGCAGTGAGCGAAATCTTGTGCGGTGAATTCCGTTCTCTGCTTGTTGAGGGTGCTCCTAACCGCGGAATACTTTCTGCCGCCGTCTCCAGTCCTCCTGAGATCATTTTTATCGGCGACTCGTCCTGTAGGTATTGCATAAGAGCCGGCGCATTCTGCTGGAACCCTTCGTCGTTCAAAAAATCCTCATCGTTCCTGTTATAGAACGTAGGAGAATTATCGTTGCTGTTGCAGAAGCATATGAACATCGTTGAAGCTAAAAACACGAACAACTTGTAAAAGCGAGCATTCGTTGGTCATATCAACGCGAAAGAAAATCCTTTTCCGCAGGAGAAGAACAGGACTGTCGATGTTCAGACTAACCGAAAAGAACTAAAGCACAATTCATTGAACAGAAGAAGTTAAAGTTCATTACCCAGCATCCCACCTATCTCCGACAGACTCGAGCGCATTTTCGGGAGAAGCGTCCATACTATTGATCTGTCCGTACTTAATGTTCTCAAAACCTACTCGATTGTCCGCCTCCATCGTCCGCCGAATCTTGTAATAAAGCTGTCTGCAGATGACGGTGACCGCGTCCCGCGACCAGCGAAAGAAATACAACACCAAACCTATCACCGGCGAAATGAAGAACAAAGGAGGGATATTAGGTGCTACTCCCATAGTGCATGGTGCTGGAGACCGACATGAACCACAGAGGGGACACTAATGCTAAAAATGCCACGTACTTTTGCGTTTGACTTGCAAATGCGCAGCCACATCATGCCATGGCGAACAAGGACGAGCATGTTTTTCTTTAATCTAGCATCAATGATGTGGATACGAATTACGACCTAATACTCGGAATGGATACTAATGATCTGCATAACAAGCCTCAGAAAGGGTGAAGATGCCCACGATGACCGCCCGGCCGGACACGCTATTTGTACCTGCTCTGGTTGCCACCCAGCTTCACACGTGTCGCCTGGTGTTTTTCGGTAGGCGGTCACCCAAACCATCCGCCCTCCATCTTAGAAGTCTGTCTTGCGAAATCGACTTGCCACTCAATTTCTATCTGTATTTTGCACTTAGATCGTTGCTCTCGTGATGTTTTAAGACTTGATTACAGGACTCTTGCCATACACATCGCAATTTTCCGGAGTTGCGAGGTCTGCGTTGTCTAACACACAGGGCAAGGGATCCGACTGGCTGCCGAGGTCGTTCAACACTGGTCTTGTAAAACCCATTTCACATTGGTAATTGATCGGCCTGCACTCGCAATTGCGCTCGAAGACAGGTCGCTCGAACTTTTCGCCATTAAAGCATTCGGCCGTCGGCTTGCGGCGTATGATTGTCTGCTCGCGACCAAGGAGACATTTTCTTGTGCGACCGTCAGATGGAGTCCACTTGTAGTAATCACTGCTCACAGATCCCGCGCTTTCCGGGTGGGCGCACGTCGGCATTCCAAGAGAGCCGAAGTCGAGGTGATAAACGATTCCGCTCGTGCCACGCGTCCCGTGAACCAGAAACGACGTGGACACGCTGTCCGGCTCCGTGACAATGTTGTCTACCTCCATCCGCGTTCGCGATAACTCAAACTCGAACCAAGAAGTACCCTCATTCCAGCTGAAGATCACCTCACGCGCCTTCTTCGTGCTTGGAGCCATCACCAACAGACCACCATGATCCCCGATTTCGTATATGTACGGCCGTTTGTGCGCTTCTATCCAAGTCAAACCTCCATCAATCGAAATGTATCTGAGGATATTGATGAAAAAGTTGAAATTAAAAAAACCGGTTAATACTAGATAAGAGAGTTTTCCTAAGGACACCACAGCGTGCTTCTTAGGCCTTTTTTTGCCTTTCTGTTAGAATTAGAAAGAAACCTAAGAAAATACGTATTTGCGTCTTCGGTGCGCAGGTATTGCCCAATATTGCCCGTTCCCAAAATTATTCCTGCTGCACTTGGCATCGAATAAAAAGGGACAAAATTGCTGGCACTCACTAGAGTTGTAGGCCCATGCAAATGCAATGAGCACTCTGCCGTCTGGCACGTAATTCGCTGTCCTAGGGAATCGAAATCTGGTGGAGTAATGCGGCTCCAGCTGCCCCCCTTATCAAAAGATATGACTGTGCGGATGCGAGACTCGCTCTTTCCTGGATGCTTAGAAGAATGTCACCAAGAAGAGATGAAGGTTTCAAATGTACCTGCAATATACCATTCAGATAAACAGTTGCCTTGCCGAATTGTGTTCATGGCAGTCATTAGTAGAATCGAGCATTTACTTCGTAATTACACAGTGCCCTACTCTGGACCTGCGTAGAAAAAGCAGCTCTAGTAAATATACGTAAAACATCAACAAAGATGAAGTGGGTGCCTAACTTTTCTTCCCCTCCCTGCTGTTCCACCTGCTATGTTTGTCGATTCTTCCGCGTCCTCTCCTTCGGAAGTCTCATGCTGGTTGTCTGTCTCCAGTTGATTCGCCATGTAAACGCCGTCAACCCCACCTACATGATCGAAATCACATGTCCCGTCCGCAGAGCGAATGTTTGCTGATAAAGACTTTATATAGCGCAAACCGCTCTGGTCTGACACGTATATGTGTCCGATTTCGACGTCGTTCACATGTCCGTGATTAACATGGATAACAACCGCATTCTCGCTCGTATCCAGTATCGTGTACGACTTCTCCTCCACTGAGAACGAAAAATTCGAAAAAACATGACGAACTCATTACTTACAGTAAACTCCGATGTTGAGATCAATCAGATAATTACGCAGCAACAGCAGGATCGTAAATTAGTAAAAATTGGCAAGTAGACCTTAGACCACAAAAACGAAAGATTATTTCCAGTAGAAATGAGGGACAGAGTTGTTCGCATGACATACTACTCCAGTACTGCGCCAGCAGTAAGTAGTACATGGTTCTCCTATTCTCGCATGTCCCCATTGCTCTCCGCCATCGGTTGATACCAGTAATGCCACACTCTGCGTCGCTGCGTTGTCGAGCTTGGCTACAAAAATGTAATTTGGGAACAACCCGAATTTATTGCCGCCTGATACCCGAGTCGTGTAGCTTTTTCCAAAGTCGTCGGTGCTACAAAAATCCACACCCGAAGACCACGCCAAAAGTTTCGGCTGATTTCCACTCTTTTGGTTAAAATGTGAGAAGAAGATCCGATCTTGACTGCTTTCTTGCTCCCCCCATGCAAACTGCACAACATACGATGTCACCAAGTTAAACGTCACACCTGCAAAAAGGGAGATTACTTCTGCCGTTCTCCGGTTGTGCCTCTCAAACCAACCATCAATATAGCGTGAATCTTCACCGTACACGGGAGCTCACTATATTATAAGTAGAAGAGGGCACCCCTCGCATTTTTACTCGTAGGGGTAGGCGGAAGAACGTCAATTATAACTCCTATGTGCCAAATTTGCAAAATCATTCTACTTGCTACAAAAAATAGTACCCAGATCTTTCGTGATAAAGAGATTATGAACGCAAGGTCCGGCTACGCTTTTGTCCTTGCAGCTCTCGGTCCATGATGTGAGAAGCGCCCAGTTGCCCCTCGTCTGATGGAATGAAAATTAGAAGCCCTCTCGCCAGATTGCGGATCGTTGGCGACCTGAAACATCTCGCTTCAGATCCTGGAAGTATATTAATCATATTTTGATTGGAGATCCCCTGGCTGTCAGTCCGGTACAAGTGCATGGGCATGTTAAATCCGTTTGAGACGAGAGACAGGAAATGAAACGAACAACCTTCAATATACTACTTGTGATTGCCCTTAAGTAAAGGCATGGATCGTCGATCTGTGCCGCAATTTGCGCCAAGTTCTGCCAGAGTCGGCAGATACGAAGTGTGACCTCGTGGACCCTACCGCCAGTACGTAGGTTTTGCTCGTGGGATGCACCACGTAGGTGTCGAAGGTCAGATCCGCGGCACTCGCCCTGCCGCGCTCAGTGTCGAACTATGAAGGGAGGGAACGGATTTCTTCTAGCCTGCTGAGAGGACTTCTTCCCGTCTGCTTGCGCATGCCGATTTCCCAACTAAACCCTGCTTGTCGACAGGTAGATGAATTAGGCTGAGTCTCTACTACGCGAGTGAGAAACACTCAGAAGAGTACTAGATCAAGTGCTTTAATAGATTGATTACATAATAACGCAGCGATTTGCGGGGTAATGTCCTCCCATGCTATTCCGCCGTCGCCGCTGCGGTGGAGTCGACCGTTTTTCGTGAGTGCAAGCGTGACTTCGTTATTTGCTCCTACCCATTCCAATTTCTCAATCGGTGAGTCAAAAAAACTTTCCCTGACGGACACCTTTTTCTCGCTAGCTTGGGCGGATGCGCCTAGCAAATGATACCTAGTACTTGATGCAGTGAGTAACGCAAAAATGTGCACCAAACTCCGCAAGGCGTACGTCGCACAGTAGGAGCTACGCAGCATGCCCATGCGCGAACCAGAATCACCTCCTACTCCGCCTATTCCACTTGAGCTTTTCATGTTGACTCCCGCGGCCTTCGTAATAAAGTGCCTAATAGCCGGTAATCGGAACCACTCAAATGCTGTGAGCATGGGATGCTCTTTCTAACGCTCTTTTTCCCAGACACGATAAAGCGGCACTTCCATCTTCATGTCCTCTGAATCTTCACTCACAAAAAATCCAATAGAATGGCTTCAGTGGGTGCTTTTTGCTGCATAGACAATCTCGAATTCGAGTTTACACCGTCATCTTTATTTAAGTACTTAATAAGCCGAAAAGGGCAGATCATGATGGGAACGGGGGTCGCATACTTGAAGTGTCAACAATTCATGTTCAACCCCTTTCAAAACAAAGTTACATAACTAGAAGATGATACTTTCTTTCGTCAAGCTCTTGCCCTCACCGGTCTGGTTGCGTACTGAACCGAAATACCAAGATACCTACATCACCGATCACGACTCCTCTTCTAATTCATTCTCTTGATTCTGTTGACTTTCTGCTCTCTAAATGCAAACACCCAGTATAGATGCGTAACTAACAGAGAAACCAAGTTAGGTTCCATGAGTATCATATCCTACAAGTTTTTATCTCTGACGATACCAAATCATATTTCTGAACTGATGCAAACTTTTCTGCTCTCTCAGGTAAAAATTGTAAAGAATAATATCTGGGGCCTGCCGTGATGCTCCTTTTCTCCTCCCTATTTCAGGCAGCACGGCTAACGGCTGCTTAGTTTCTGTCATCGAACGAAACGCGGTACCACCCAAACCGTATCTGTGATGCCGCTGGTTCGAAGTAACCCCTGGCTTTCTTGTCGACCTGCATGGTCGAAATTTCGTTGTGTCTGACGACCATTTCCCGGTTATCATGCAAACTGTAAACGTATCGCTTCCGTACGATCCGGTGGAAGAAGTACAACTTCCCTCCCTATCACGACAAGCAGGGACGAGAGGTTCTTTAAGCGCGACCACATGCAAATGAAATTGCGTCAAGGTGCGAGTCCTAGCCGCAGGCCCCTGATAATAGCACCCGATCATTGTTACGGTATCCGGCATGGTAATCGAATCGACAAAGGACTCTCCTCTGCAGTACACAAACCATAGGTGGTCGCCGCATATTCTTGCTGCACGATCCGTACAGAAGCACTACTCTGCTACTGAAAACAGGAAGGCTCGGGGTCTTCGAGTGTTTTAGATAGGATGTCAGTCCCTTTTCTCTCAAGCTAGTACTATTGGCTGAATACTCCGATTGTTTCGTGCCGCCCCTTCCCTTCCTCCAACCGCTTGAAGGCCGCAGCTGCTATGTCGTGAAACTTGCTGTCATTGAAATGCCGAGGATTCTCTACGCCTACGTACATGCAGATCTCCGAGAGCTCCTTTATTCGGTAATGGCACCTCATGTGGTTGTCTGTTCAGTTCTTTCAAAAAAGATGCGATCAGTCTCATGTAAGGACTTCCTCATATTCCAAGTTAGACAGAAGTACAACTATAAGGGCACTGTACACAAGTGCCAGAGCGAATTTACCTTGGACTTTTTGTCGACATGAAAGCATATGATCAACATGGCCGAGCATATTAAAAGTTGATCATACTCGTGCGCATTCTCGAGCGTGGGTTTCCCGTCCATTCGCTTCCGACACTTCTTCACGTGGTCATTGAGAGTATGGTACACGTGCTCCCCGTCTCCGCCCCCGTTCTGTGCGTCATCCAGATATTGCCGATAGCAACGGCGCTCCCACGTCGTCCACATCTCCGGAAAATCCTCTTGCTCTCGCTTTGTCAGCCGCTTTTCGTGCGCCGTAAACCGATTCTTGTTCGTCAGCATAAAGAAAAACGGAAAACCGAGTGAGGGATTCATTTTCTAGCCGTCTTGGTATTATATCTTCTTAGATTCGCACTCCCACTTTTCCTAGATGCCCTTTCGCACAATTGGTTCAAAAAGACCATGATCAGAGGGTTCTTGCCTCTAACAAAGTAGGTGACTTTTCGCCCCACCAATTCTACTCACCTTTTTCGAACTTTAACCTTTCACCTAACGAAGTTCCTCACGAGAGAGAGAGTCTGCCATGACTCTCTAAAAAAATCGCGTCTCTCAATCTCCGTCTGCCGTTGCTGCCGCCTCACTCCGGTTTCCCAAGGCATCTGCTCATGCCTTGCTTTACAAACGGGTTGAAACGCATTTGAATCTTCGGAAGGATGAGGACCACTTCGTCTGCAAATTTCGAGAATGATTGCGCCACAATGGCTCTTTTTTATCAGTCTGGAGAACCTGCGGACTGGTTTCCGAAGAAGCTTGCACATCATATCTGACGTGGTCAGGCGAATGACGATCCCATCAAAATGAAAACGTCGGTGAATGATATCCTATTGACGAAATGCAATTACTCGATCTTTACACAGGCATTTTCGACAGCCTAGAAATCATTAGAAGACAAGACTTCTTCAGCTTGTAAAAAAGGGACACGGTGAAGGTATTTGGGTTCTGTAATTTTCGTCAATAGTGTCGGTAACTAAGTGTAAATAGACAAGGAGATTATACGATTGACGCGTCGGTAGCTGCAGCTCATCGAGTGACTCAAAAAAAGATTGGTTTGTAAAAGTAAATGCTTCAAATGTATCATGACATATTTCTCTACTAATGATTTAACTGAACCTTTCTTCACCTCTAGTTGTTTCGCAATTTCAACAGGAGTGCTCAAGTGGCACCCTTTACCTATTCTACGATCATGCATATCAGTATCTATTTAGAAAATCCATTTGTATTCTCAGATTCCGTCTGTATTCTCAGATTATGTGTATCTCGTCTGTACTACCTGAAGTCTGGTGCTCTTCATCTATCGAGCTTGTTGTAGTCATATTCACATCTGTAAGAAAAGTAATCTCTGTAAAAGTATGGACGTTGAACAGTAGGAGCGTCATTGGCCCCACAAACTACAACATGTCTATTTCTGTACAAAAAAATTTACATTATGCTTTATGCAACAAATGGTCAGATTTTTACTTTTACTAGATTCTCAAATTTTCTGAATATAAAGAAATACTCGTCTCGACATAGCAAATGTCTTCACGACAGTTCAAAGTTGAACCCGTTTAGCATACTTTGAAGCAAAAGATTTCTCCATTAACTGGTCACGCAAAAAACGCCTGTCCGTTTCACACTTAAAATCGTTCTCGCTGCTCCACATGGAGGACCACGAAAGAGATTCGCCAGAGAGGAGTTCCGGATCGGCATACTTCGCATACATTTCATACCATAGGAGAACCTGTGTTACACACCGACCCATCATGTGAATATCTAATATGCGGAATTCGCGTTCGAGTTTAGCAGAATAAGCTGTGCTGTTCGGCTGGGGTTACCGTCCGCCGCATGATGATTACGATGTTACTACTTCTATGTTATGACTGCTGAAGTAAATACATGAGTCAAGTAAAAACATCTTCTACTTCAGTGATAGATTCATCCTTCATACAAGTTTATCAGAAAGTACTGAAAACAACTTTGAATTCATCTGTCATACAAGGTCTTGAAAAACTATATCAAGTAGGTACTAGTAATCTGGCTGAGATAGTGCATGGACATGCACGCGCACGAAAAAAACAATCGAAAGAGCTCACTTAACAGATCGTACGTCCTGGGTGCCAACGAATGGTAACAAGAAAGAAAGGGTAGGAAGGTAGAATTAGATCATAAATGGTGCGAACTAGGATCCCCTACACCTCAGGAAGCCCCCAAAATGTGATGAACTATGGCCTACGCGAGCATCCACCAGCTTCCACCTCCAGGTTCCGGCGCCGCTTCTCATAAAAGCAAGCCGAAAGACATCGGAAAGCACCACCCAAACAATCTCCTCATTGGGCACCACTCACGCTGCAGCAACGTAAGTCTTCACAGACTAAAGCTGTAAGTCTGCTCGGGAGAGGCGTCGACGAAAGGAAATGAACGACCTCCGTCATGAGGAGCGGCCGTCATCGTCGCGCCACTGCTTTGAAAAAGAGGAAGCTGCGCTATCGCGTTCGCATCGATTGGATTATACAAGTCCCGATCCAATTAGAAGGTCAGAGAGTGCATCTCTGGAGAAATCATCTGGACAGGTTTCTCTGCGTCTTTCCATCTTCCAGATGAGTCTAGAGATGTATTTATTCCCACAAGCGTAATCGAAGTAGGCACCATTTCGGCGAAGAAATTGTGGCGGTAGTCCTAGCATTGCTTAGAATTCCACGCACAACTCACCATCCTGACTGTTCTTCAGTCAGCGGTCATGTGATTTCTCATTCTTTCGTTGGGTTCTTTACCTCTCTAATGCAACGAAGAAGTATGAACAATGTGGTAACAACAGTTTTACTTACTTTGGACAAAATCAAATCTTCATGAACTCTAACACAGGAGGTCGGAATCTACATGCTTAATCACTTCACTAGGCACGGAAGACTGGTTGCACTCTATGCGCAGCTTAAACTGGAGATGGTGATGGGCTCCGCTCCTCTTCGTGCTCAGCAGGTGCGGAATGACGAAAACCGAGCGCATTCTTCTTAGAACTACAAATTTAAGGATCAGGATCCATCTTATAGATACAATGAATGAGCACAGCATGGCCATGCTCGTTTTCTCTTGATAAAAAACGGGCTTCGCCAAAGGTTCTTTGAGATGAATTTCTATTCGCCTTAATGTTCCGGGTACTCGACAACAACCCAGCAAAGGGAACCGGGACGTCGTGAGCGTCAGGACTGTTAGTTTCGTGTGCTTCTGCGTCAGGTGGTCCATCCTGACTCACTCGCCACGTTGCAGCAGAGGCAGATGCGGGCACAAATTGAGAAGCACCGTAACTTCCATTTTCCACTCGAGGGCCACGACGCAAGAGCTGCTCCAACTGCTCCATCGCCTCTGGTTCGGTAAGTTTCCTCGACAAGACTGCGCGAGCACTGGAGGGAACGCCGGGAGCTTAGACCCCTCCCCAGTTGACTCGTCACTGCGGAGATCCCTCAAACATATGCTTCAGCATCTTCTCCCTCGTATTTCAGTGCATATGTTTGAGGGATCCCTATAGAGATGGATCAGAGAGAGCCTTAAGGAAGATCTCCCTCATTTAAGGCGGAAACACGGAGCACTGACAATAGAACCACTGATTCGTCCGGAAAGAGACCATGCAGATAGACCGGCTTGCTATCTCCCTTCGTGCGTAGAATCGACTCGGCCACTCTCGGAAGAACTGCTTCTTAGACCAACTAACTTGTGAAACAGTTTGTTTGCTCAAAAAAAAATTTTCATCAATAGTAGTTTTCTAATATAATAGAAGTGAGATCAACTTTCCGGATGTGTGGCGTTGAGGATGAGAAAGAGGTTCTACTAAAAACTAAGACATCACAGTGGATCGCTCTACCCTTGCATGCAATCATGGCGCACCTCTTAAGTTTCGGCGTCGCAAGGGCCGAAAACAATCCGTGCGCGGTCGTTGCGAGAATTGTAGAACACGCGCACGTCATACCACCACGGTAAACGTTTTTGCTCCCAACGATCATCCGCACGCTTCTTCATTGCTTTCAGAAGACAGAGCCCTCTGCCATACACCGTGAGCACCGGAAAGTGCATATCTTGCTCAGCGAAACTGAACACTGCGTGGCCGGCCTGCGCCCAGCTGGAGAAGTCAGTGAACTCGGGCGATCCATGCTTTCCCATCCAAGCTAGCAGATTCTCAGGTGAGGGTCGGTCGAGTGCTAGGTGTTCTAAAACCAGTATTAGAAGAGGATCAGGTTGTCTTATGAAGTTAACCTGAATCGCTTCCGGTAAGCACAGAATATCATCCGAATGCTAGGTAGAGGAAAACGAGATCACACAAATTTTTGGAAATGAGTTTGTATCGAACGCCTTAAGAGGAAACCGGGTTTCGCCACTCCTCCGTGTCTCTTCTTTCCCTTGTGGTTTCTTCCGCTTCTCCTGGTCGAGCCCTCCGAGAAGCTAGCACCACCACGTTTACTGGCGGGCACCGGGTCTGCTGACCCGCGTGCGCTTTCACAACGGCCTACTCGACATCCGCGGCCCGAGCGTTGCCGCTGCAGGAGGCCGGACGCTTCGAGCAGTCCCTCGCGATATTTCAACGTCGTCTCGCGTGGTATTTCAACGTCGTCCCGGGATATCGATGGCCCCGGATCTCCACTGCTAGTTGCACTGCGCGAATCTCCGGCCAGCCAGCTAGACGGGTCTCCAGGTGGCAGAGCAGGGGCACACGCTTTGCCTCTCGCTATCCGACGATGGTTCTGCTCTAACGATAAACAAGTGTGCCTCTTCGGTTCCTTTTTCGACGGGCAGGAAACTCTCTCACGTTCGAGGAGTTCGACGAGACGCCCGGCTCGGCTCTCACCAGCGTTCAAATTAGAAACGGTCGCAGAGAGTAAAGAGTGCGATTTTAGCATAGAAAATGACGATCCCTCGTAACAAGTGCGTTAGAAACCTTAAGCGAGGTGAATTTTGAATTATCTACAGTTTGTCTCTCAAAATAACTTTTCTTGCTACTGAGGTGCACAAGGTTATGGTTACAGTTGTCAGCTCTTAACCTCTATGATCGGCGTTGCCGGAGAGAAGACCGATACTGTAGTCCCATCTCTTCCTGTTCGGTCCTGGCTCCCGATGGACCTGGTCTGAGACGCCGACGAGCCCGCTACGAGGGGCATCGGTCGGCGCTGGCCTTTGCCTCGAGCGTCAACCTCACCCTCCTCCACCAGCGCTGCCGGTATGCTCTTTTTACTCAACCACGTCTCCTTTCGGTTCTCCGCCGTGGTCGGGATAGAACCGTCCGTACTATTTGCGAGCGGGACGTGCTTGGACCCACTGCTGCCTGCGCCGTGCTCTCCCCACTCCCGCACGCGTTTGGGCTCCGATGCTGCTGACCCGATATTGTTGCTGCGCGGTTGATACCGACTACTCCCCGAAATGAATACTGGCCGAGTACCACCATTAGAAAAAAAACGCGTGTTTTTATAGTAAGCAAAAAACGCTTGAAGAAGCCCAAAAGCAAATACTCTCGTCTCTGAAGTTACTGAAGTGAACGCGCTGGCAACGACGTATACATAGGAAAATGAACGCGAGCCCTAGTGCTCGAAATGGTTTCACCCACCGTTCCAATATCGTCATCTTCATCATCGCCGTCCATTGTTTCCCCTAGTGTGTTGTCCTCTTCATCTTCATCCTCCTCATCCTGTTCTTCCGTGTCAGTGCGCTGCAAGTCCGATGTCGCATTCTCAATCCGAGTATGAAGCGAGGCATTCACTTTCTCATTATACTGATCCATTAGCAACTGCTGGTGAAGTCGCGATGACATTTACAACTCAACTCAAGGTTACTCATGAGAAGTTTTGAACTCAGTATGTACGTCTTCGGGCAAGGAGAGAGAAAAAAGATGATTCCTTTGGAATCTTAGTAGACACTCACGTAAAAGAAACAAGCGTCATCTTCGTTCTTGATGAATAGTAATTATATACTAGGTCAGTACAACAACGAACTCTGTCTCTCCAGTAGATCTTGTCTTCGACTAGTAAAATCTAAATTCTTACATTTCGCTTTCCTGCACGTCTGACGGAGCTGCGTCTTCTAGAACAGCATCATGACGAGCCGCTAGCAGAGGCTGAGCTTGTTCCCCTGCAGCTCTTGCTGACGACCACACCTGCTGAGCCACATCAATGTTGCCGCTTGTTCGGTTTTGTGCATTTATCTGTGCCAAGGCCGTGAGCATTTGGAGTGTCGCATTCATGCCGGGTGATGCAGCCGCGGCGGTCTGGCATGCCTGAAGTTGGGCGGAATCCATTTCGGCCATGCGCTGCAGCAACGACCTGACATCGCTGCTCAGCTCCGCGATTATCCGACCACGGGATTTGTCACCCTGCTGCTGCGGCTCAGAGGTCCCAGGAGTGGTTTTCAAAAAAGCGCCAGCAGACGGTAACGTGGACGCGGCGGTATCAGCTCCAGTTGCATAACCAGACAAAGGATGACCATCGCCAGCGCAGCTGGTGCCAACGGAATCGCGGTCTCCTACATCCTTTGTAGGACCCTCCACTATGAATTTTCGACCCTCTCGTCTTTCTTCTCCACTGGAAGAAGCGAGAGTTTGATTTGTCAGCCACTGCTGCTTCCCAGAACTTCTAGACATTGAAGCAGGTTTGATAGTGTGGTGTTGAGCTTTTTGATGATGTCGCATGTCCCTCAGGCCAACACCTGAAGGTCGTGGACTCCCACAACTAGCTCCTGCTGCATCGTCGTCATGTGCATCTTGTTCCACCATTACTTCCTGTTCCTCATCATGGGATGACGAGTCAAGGGCAGGCTTACCCGAATCAACTGCTCCAGACGCGATAGAAGAAATTTTTGAGTTCACCTCTGGAGGTGCAGCAGGCCCTGTAGATGATGTAGCTGTAACACTAGATTCTCCCGTCGACTGGAGATGCGCAGGGGCTCTTGGACGGTGGAGCAGAGTTGTTGGCAACGGCGGTTGTATCGGTAGCGCGGTCTCGCCTCTCCATATCTTCTTGAAGATATCCGATCGTTATCCGTGGTTGAGTGACTTACCTTTTCCCTCTTGGCATGCCTCTGAATTCTGAGGGGAATGCACTCGACGTCAAAATAGGCCATACAACCAAATAACGATCGACTACCCTTAGCCTTCCGTTGCATCCGCGTATCATCCTTTTGACGACTGGAAAAACCGGGGCGCTCCTTCCATCTTCCTTCGGTTGACCCCTTCGCAGAAGCATCCAAGGTAACTCCTGAGCAAGCACCCCTCCCGGCTAGCGGCACCAGCAAAAGCCACCACCTGTGTCCTGGGATCCACATCTGATCGAAAAAAGGATGATGACTTCGTGTTTGTTTGTAGCTACCTTCTGCAATACCCCCTCTGCCTTCAACAGGCCGTCCTCTCGGATGCGCTTCTAGAAGAAACTAATCCGAAACCCGATGTGCTATCAAATGTAATCGTCTACTTTCTTTGCTGCTAGAATAGCTATATCATCTCTTGCAAGAAGAACACTATTTGGTATTCATCTCTTAAAAGGGTCTGTCATCCAATAGCTCAGAAAATCTCCGAACAAGCCCCCTGGAAAAATAGCGACCACAAATTCGACCTTCCTGAATCACGAGAAGAACATGCACTCAACTAAGCATACATAAAATATATCATTTTCTTAGATTCTGTAAATCATACCTATTTCTTATAACTAAAACAATAGTCAGATGCAGACAACTATATTCCCTAGGTCGAGAAGAACAATGGCGATCCACGAGATAATTCATCTTTTTTTCGCAAAACAGATTCGGTTTCTACGTTCACATAATTGCTCTCTTAAATTCTCAAAAGAATAAAAAAAAGTTAGAAACGACCCAATACGCAACATGTTTACCAATACTGCAAATTTATGGCATGCAAGGACTGTAGGGCCAGTAAGGACCACATCGTTATTTTGCAGACAAATGTGCTGCGCCTTGTGTAGAGCGCTCGCGCAAGCGATGTTGTGAACCTAGTATCTATGAAAGCATTACATATGAAGATGTCTGGTCTTCCTTATTGTATAACCTGAAGATCAAGATATACAACAAATCATCCTAGATGTTAGACGGCTTATGAAGTAAGTAAGAAGAGGAAGAGCATTCCGAGAAAGTTGAGATATCTTGCACCCACCAGTATCAGTTTCAAGGATGACAGGCGAGGCGCCTATTTCTATCTTTAGAGGTTACGGAATTACATCCCTCAGAACATCCCCGCCTTCTTTTCTAATAGGAAAAGCGCCACAGATGGTAGTGCAGGATGTAAATCGGATACACTTAAGGTCTATGTATTGGATCAACAAGGGTCCACGTGCGTCGTTTCTTCGAACGGACCACGGAGCACGGTAACCAGTGTTGACTGCGGCGCACGAGGACCTGTTCCATCTTCCATCATATTGAAAAAGAAAATCTCCACTCTAAGTCTTTCAAAACAGCTGGAGCAGTATTAATCTGACTTGCCGTTTTCTTTCCGACCTCCTCTTCCTACAATGACAAAAAATTGTAAGTCGCGATGATATTCTTGAAGTTTCATGAACATGATACAACTGCAAGTTGTTGGCTCCAGTTACTGTGACACAATAGCACCTCATCTTTATAATATTCAAGCTCTCTAGCATGGCATGCGCTTTGTCTCTCCCTCTCTCTCTCGGTGCGATCAACGGGATAGTTTTCTCGCTCTCGTCGCTCTCATGCCTCGCTCACACATGCTCCGTCCCACTAGCAGACATGCTCGTTTGCATATCTTGATTTCCAGTGAAATTAGAGATCATGGTCGCGGGAAGGGCGACACAACACTCAATTATAGTCGGCTGTTACCATCTGCGCACGGCTCCTAGTACTTTTATCCTGTTCACGACCATCATATTTCGCTACCAAAAGAGCCGCACGGTCTCGCAAAGCTCCAGCACGAGGCGATTGGTGCAACATCAGGTGTCATGTCTCTTTCCTCTTTCGAGTGATAACCCACGTAGGGATGTCATCGGAAGAAAAATCTTCATGGAGCATATTAAACGGAACCCTTCGTCGCTCGAAACAGGAGCTCTTAGTGGCGTTCTTGTTCATCTCACCGTGCGATGTCAGTTTTCCAATTTCATCATTTGTTTGATCCAAGCAATGAAAAAACTTCGTTTCTACACCTACGTTGGACGCTTCGGTACGAACTTCGTGTGAGCAGTAGATTTTCGTGCCTGATTCATTCCCGCCGTCAGCATCATCTTCCGATTCCTGCTTCAATTGAGTAAGTTCTTCATCCACTCCCACTCTCACACTGCCCGCTTCTTCTGCTGCGACTTTAATTTTATTACCACTGGTGCGTCCCTGTTCCTCGTGTTGAAAAGAAAATTGAAGAGATGTGAGATGTAGCAATGTCTGGACCAGTGGCACACAATCCGGAAGTTGGTACAGACAGTCGCTCATCAAGATCACATCCGGTCCACCACGACCCTCAAATAGCTCGGACACTCGCAGGAGGTCGGCATCGTTTCCCCAGCACAAACGTTCGACGGAAATGATGGAGGCCTTGTTCGAGCTTAATGGGGATGTTGGCGAGTACGATGACCCTACTGAAGATGGCGGCTCTTTTCTTTTCCGTGCGGGCGTCGGCAGAGATAGATCAATGTCCTCTGTAGCGCCGTGCGTATCTGACAACACTGATTCTGATCTGCGGTCCACCTCGTTATTAAGGTCAAGGAGGTTCAGCGAAACGTTCTTGTGCAAATGCGGTAGTGCTTCCTCCAAGTCCGTCAAAACAACACGTTTTGCGCCCAATGCCCATGCAGTCAAGCCGACGACACCAGTACCAGCACCCAACTCGAGTACGGTCTTTCCCCGGACCAGTTCGGGGCTCTTCACCAGCATATAACAGAGCACCAACCCAGCATCCCAGACGACGTCATTTGTTTTACTTTGCGCGAAGCACTGCTCAACCCGCACTAGCCTTTCGCCTGCATTGTCAAACACTTCCTTCATGTTTATTACCATGATCTCCTTATCCCAAGCATCGATGTATATTGATTTTCTAATTTTTCTTTGGAGAGTGAGCGTCAGAATTTTGTCAGCAAGTAGAATTACATCGTTCGTTACTTGTTTCAAAAATCAATGATACTAGTCATGCAGACAGATCGCAACTCTTCCACAAGCAGACAACAAGAATCATCATAAAGATAGATCCAGCATAAGAGTGTGGTCAGCACAAGAAGCAAAGCTTGTTTTTCTTTCCTTCATTCCAATTGAACATCACCCACCTCGATCAATATGACATCTGCAGGATTCTGCGCGTTTCCGATTTCGCATGCGCTTGCATATCAGCGCTACCAGTTAGTGTTTTTGGCTCCTCACCGCTACGACCTTTCCTTCACACCATCCCCTGGCCAGGCGCATTATATCAATCGTGTAGCAATACTGCGTCTAGCAATCTAACGAGTATATCAGACAGATGGCAAAACTCAAAAATACGATGGGCGGGAAGGAACGGAAAAATTGCACAGCCGCACGACCAGGTTACGGCAATGTCCTCCCGATCAGATATAAAAAGGTTTATCATCTTCGAATGAATGCTTGTGACTTCATGGTGAGACACATCCGTACCCCTGCTCTGGCGCATGTCTCTTACCCGCAGTGCTTCGGTATATGTATTCATACTTTTCAGCTTTTTCGTTAAGACGCTTCGGCTTGTGGTACCAAAATAGATATTACTAACTTCTACTCGACCTTGATCTGTTCACAAATGAGAAAACATCCTTAGACCTCATATTTGTAGATAAACAGCCCAGTAACTATTTGATATTTCGCCACGATGACAGACTGTGCATCACTTCTGACGATGTGCCTTACATACAAAAAACTCAAATTTCTTCGAAAAGTATAAGTATTCAGACTCACAACTGATAATCTTTGAACGGAACATATGCAAACAATCCTAAAATTCGACTAGCTGAACTGAAAAAGCAAAAGCGTATTCTCCCCACATGAGCCACGATAGAATGTTAAACAAAGGAATAATTTTCTCGCCGCGAGTCCCAAAAAAACGAAAAGTGTATTTCTTACCACCCCAACCAAGGAAGGAGAAGACGTTGCAGGTACTTCCATATCAAGTCTTCCATTCGGTTCAGAATATCGGTGCCAGAAGTTCCGAGAACTTTTGCGCCCTCTTGATTTCGTAATACTTATGCTCCAAATCGCGCGCGAGGACAAAGTTCTCTAGTACCAGCTGCAGCTCTGCCACATGATACAGCTTGTCCTCGAACGGTGGCACCGGTATCTGTTGTGGGAGTGATCAAAATCTTTTGGAAATGGAATCCACCGACACCAAGAGCAATATATCATGATATGGACCCTTGCAACATACGTCGATCGGTCTTGTCCATGCTTGTTTACTGTGAAACTAAAGTGTAAAAGTGACGTAGGAGCCGGCAGGTTGTGTTTGTACCTTGATATTGATGTGTATATCCGCCGCTGTGACCATTGCACGCTTGCGCATTTTGTTTTTCACGCGGATGACCTCAATGCCAGGACAGTACAAGAGGAGGTACCAGAAGAACGCAACGAGTGCAGCAGGAGTGGCAAATAGGGCATTAGAAGCGCTTATAGGGGTCTTGCATCAATTCTGGCGCATCCAGATCTTACACTGAAAAAAAGACTTTAGCGAAACAAGAGCGCTGTACGTAGAAAACTCAAAAGTTGTGCAGTATCTACTTGCTTCCTAATTTTGACAGAGAAAAAATACAAGATGAAGATGTAGTCTTGGTGGGGAGCCTAACTACGCGACCGCGCAGGTAATCCGACATGTATCGTTCTGGACACCAGTCCTTGTCCGCGCACTTAGCGTAGTCCTCGGCTTGAATTTCATCAATTTTTGCGCCCGCTCGCGCTGCATCCTTGGGTGGCCCGATCCCTAGGGCCGCGACTGACGTATAGTGCGTCGACATTTCGCGGACCGCGCTAGAAACTGTTTCAGCTCCAAATCCGTTCAAGCCATCGTCGAATGGCAGAGACGATACGATGAAAGAACAAAAAAGGCGACTCATGGCGTAAAGAGGTCGCTTGACATGAAGGAAAATAGTCTACAGCAAGTACCGCGATCGAGGGAAAGCACACTTCCCAGTCACGACACTATTTGATGTCCCATACCAAAATTAACAAGAATTTCAACTTCAGTCAAACGTCGACTAGACGATGAAGCCGGGAAAACAAATTTGGCCTTAAGCAAAAAGTCCCCGGAGATCGCAAATCGTGAGTTCCAAGCCGACTGACAGAAAGAGGCCGACATTCGCAAACGTTTCCCGCTTCCTGCATCCGCAAACTTTTCTTAGAAGTCCGGGTGTCAGTCAGTACAACAACCAACAAGTGACTAACGACGTCAGGAAATAAAGACAACTGCAATCGTTATCAAAAACGTCCAACAACGAGCAACATTACAATGTGAAATTACATGTCCTCCTGAATTCGAAGTACCTTGTGGAATAACTACCTTTCATCTTTCTCTTTGGTCAACGTTCCATAATTTTCTACGGCAAGGACGAGTTTTGTCTTGAAGTAAGCCATGGCCCATGCAGCCTGCTGCTTGTACCAGGTGAGTCGAGCAGAGTAGCCCGAGTCTGCTCCATGTGTCATGGCGTCGAAGCGGTCCACCCACTCTGAATAACGCGCGTGGCGGCCAGGTCGCCACCACAGTGGCCCACGCGGCTGAGCCGCAGCTGGGTTTTGAGGGTCGGTGTAGTTCGCCAAGATGAATGAGAACACAACTCGCATGTTCAGTTGCCTAGCAGGACTCCAAGGGGGATACGGTCTGACGTGGCAGGAAAATGTCAAAGGTGCCGTGACCTGGAATCAATCGCAAAGATGAAACATGATGTAGCAGCACTAGTAAAAGAGCTTGCAAAAGGAGGACCTTTCTGAACAAATAAGTAGATACTGGCCATTATTTTGTCAAATAGTATTGTTTGCTCGGTTCGTAAGGATGCCTACCACGAAATCCCATTCCGCAGAACGCGCGTAATTATCGTAACTAACCTCAAGCAGACGCTTGAGCCTATCGCTCTCTGATCGCGCAATCTCTTTCAATTTCTCAAAACCGCGATTCAACTCTCGTAGCGCCGCGTTCACCTGAGACACGGTCGGCCCCACCGCTCGTCCGCGATTATAACGGCGTGCTGTCACGACGCTTTCCCGTCGCCGCTGCATGGCGTTAGCAGCCGATCCCACGATGGTTTAGAATTGTAATGAGGTCACGTAGCCTATCGTCGTTGCAACTAGTCATATCACAAAGTCAGCTACTTGTAATCTGGCTTCAACTTTTTGACGGACAATTACTCATTTTGATCACTCACACTCAGGAAAAGTCAAAACTTGATATTCCATGAGCCCTGGGGCCTTCGCGGAATCTTTACTCCTAGACACGTGCACTAAAAGACTTTGCAACTACACAAAAAAAATTGAAGAAATGTCGCAATCATTCCAGCAGCCAGGATGCCTAGACCATAAGTTGAATTAGCAGCACCATCTCCACCCGAGCCTCCTGACGTGCCGCCTTGGGAAGACGACTGCTGCGGGGATGAGGAACTGTTAAGAGGAACACCACTTCGCTGATCAATATTCACAGATGGCAGAATGAGCCCGCCGCGGAGTGACATCCCAGGGCATACCAATTGGTAATAGCGATTATTAGAAATAGTGTTTTCAACAAGGACTTGAACAATTCCCTCGCTCTATACACTTACACCTTCTAGTATGCGTTGGCTTATGAAACACAATACCATTTCCATGTTGACAATGTATGCTCACCCAGGTGCTAGCAGATGATCATGGCGACTCTTCGTTGATTCTGAACGCATCGTCCTCCGCTGCGGGGTCATATGAAGATTTAACGATTACTAAGATGTGTAAAATGAGTAAACGCCAAAAGTGTTCAGACCTTGTTGGTATCAAGTACGCGGAAGATGGGCCTTAAGATGAACGAGTCTGGCATGCATCTGTCGAATCTTCTGCTTCATTTCGTCGTTATCGATTGCTTGTCGCAGCAACTCCAACTCCCGCCCAACGACTCCGATGCTGTAAGTCCGCATCAGATTCGGAACCAAGAACCCTCCCAAAATAGGCCCGCCTACCAGAAAAATTATCAGCAAGAGGAATCCGTCATCTGAATTGGCCTCAAGCGCCGTGAGTGCGAGGTAGATAAACAAACAACTAATGCAAAAAGTGATGCTAATCCCGAAGAGCTCATTAGAGGACATCATCGCGAGGGCAGCTCAGGCCTAGTTATTACTTGTGTGATATTTGTACTACAGTGACAACAAGATCGATGGAAAGTAGCAGTACTCAGAAGTAGACATGCTCAGAAGTAGACAGGAACATCACGGAGGACTATCATCTCATGTGTGAGTAGGTCAGGTTAGATTGTGGATCCTGCACGTCGAGCACTCCCGGCACCTACTCGAGTCCCAGGATGATAGGCGACCTGTGAAAAGTCGAGCGTATGAGTACCGTTCGGATAGAGACTCAGTTCCATAAAGTAAGCCACCTGAAGCCTCGTCCGCTGCTGGCGCTGTCTTCGACCAAAAAGCTTGCTTTTGCTTGCGTCCCGAAGAGAAACCCTGTGCACATGAAAGTACCACCTGTGAGCGACAAAGCAGAAGAGCGTACAGAAAATAATCCCAAGGAAGCCCACCCACACTCGGGACTTTGAAGTGGCAAGCCCGAAATTAAAAGAAATTTCAACGAAAACCGTCCTAGCTTGTCCACGCTGGCCGTTAGGCGTGAGAGGCCAGCAAACCGCACTGTACTGGACGCCAATATCGCCGTACGCCGATTCTCCTCCCTTAACCGTCATCACGCGAGACGCTATGCTGTACTCCAGCAAAAACACCCGCCGCAGCCAACTTTGTTGAAGCACCTTCCGCACCTCCCTTTAGAGCTCTACACTTTCAAAATTGTGGAGATGTTGAGTTTCAACACAGTCTGACCGGCTACTGTGGTCGCGCACACTCTTTTTGAAAACGCGCTGGGTGTTGCGTCATGACCCCTCGTCTGACCTGGTCAACTATAAATCTAAAGATGGAGCCAGTCAACGGTCAAAGAGATGTTAACAAGATTACTTAGAAGTCGTAATCACACACACCTGCGGTCTCGGAGCCTTCGATGTACTCGACATCCTCATAGTCCGTCTTCATCTTCGTCCGGCTCCTTGCTGAGAGGATCACCCCGATCTGCGAACCGACCGGGTAGCTCTCGGAAAATTTTGGTTCTGCCACGAACTCAGGTAGCGGCATCTCAAAAACACGCGAGGCGCGTTCGAGGGGCAAAAAAACGTACTGGTCCCCGCGCACCTTGAACAGACTGCGCATCGGCGGCCCGGCCGCGTTCACCGCGTGTTCGCCTCGGCTGTTCAGGTTAGAAGAGTCTGTCACAATCTTTTTCTTCATTCATCTATTGTTTTATCTGTCCAACCATTATCTCACATCCTTTTGTATCCATATTGAGGCACATCCTGTTCCTCAACGCCTTCTTTTTCATTTGAAAAGCACCAAATTCTACCAAATATTAGATGATTTTCATGCTATTGCTTCCACGTGCGGATTACCACGCACGCAAGCATTCTGTAGAGAAGAACCTGCGCAGGAGAGCTTTACCAATACCAACCTACCAGAGAGTAGATTTACTTATCGAAGCCGCCCATCTACACCTTCCACTACATCTTCTTCTAGGCTCTCCAGCCTTAACCAAGTTCACGCTGCTGCTCCTGTCGCCGAATCTTGAAGTCAGCTCCACGTTTTCGTCATCTTCCGGCAGCAGGCCATCCCAGTAGTCTTCATCTGAGTACTCCCTTGTCCCAACGAAGCTGCGCTTCTTCAAGATGACACCGAGAGCGCAGTCGATGCTGTAGAGGCCGCCAGGCTCAAAACGCGCGTAGGAATTCAGGAAGTCGAAACTAAACTGGCCCGGAAAGCTATCGGACTCGGCGCGGCCGAGAATATTCTCGGATTTGGCACGGATTTCCCCGTTGACACTTGGAAGCCCACTGTAGCCTGGATCCTTCCACCGCTCACTCGCGCGACGAGTTGCCGCCTGCTTCTTGCTCCCTTTCCGCTCTGTAGCCGTGGCGCGCGCTGCTGCATCGAGCAGGTGCGAGTAATCCTCGGAACCGGCGGTGAGCTCCTCCACCGAGACGAGCGACCCGTCGCCGAAGGCAACGTAGGCCTCAGCGCCGCAATCCAGGCAGACACGCTTGCGACGCGGCACGCATTTCCCCTCTTCCTCCACCACCGCAAAAACCCGTGCGGATCGAGCCTTGAACTGCCCCCCGGCCACTGCCGCGTCGATGGTGCCCCCGCGCGTCGCCACTCCCGGGCGCACCTTGCACATGATGCGCAAAGACATGATGGGGTCGTGTTCCTCTGCAACGAAGTTCGGGTGCTCTGTCGGGCCTCCGGGAAAGACCACCAGACGCGCTGGCGCGTTAGCGTCGCCAGCGTTCTTCCGCTGCAGCACGGGCGCGCTCGTCGTTGTGGTCACGGTGCCGGACCTAGAAAAATCGTCTTCGCCGGCAGCGCACCAGGGTGTATCCTCTCGCGAAGCGTCGATCTTCCCAGTAATACTAAGCCCATCTGCTTGTGAGCCGGCTCCGTCCTCGCCAAAAAAATACTGGAGTCGAAGCTTCGGCGGTGGAACCTTTTTTTTACGCCGACCCGCAGCGTTGCCGACAACACCGGTGGCGATCTCTTCTTGTTTCGAAAGCTGATACTCCTCGTCGTCCTCTGAGGCTCCGTGCTTCAAGCTTTTAGGCTTGCCTCCTGCCGCCGCCGAACAAATTTCGAGCTTTCTGAAGCATCATCACCTTGTACATAGACACACGCACATCTCAGCCCTCTTCTATCCGGTTGTAGGCGTGAGTCATAGATGATCTGGACATCTAGGTTTTTTCGAAACATTCATAAACACACCTATATATCATGAAGGGAGTAAGGCGAAGGAAAATTAACGGGTTAGAATTCCGAGGCAGAGCCTCCGGCAAGAGTTCCATGCACTAAAGCCTTAATGAAGAAAAACTGGCGGAATGTGGAATTTCACCTCTGGGATTCGAACAACTGTGGTTGCCGGATTCCGTCGCCCGTGATCCGCCGAAAGCGTAACGTGCTGCACACCCTCAGGCTGCTCCTCCTCCTCCCCGCTCGCGTAGGCATCTACGAAATCACAGGAGACATGAAGCTGATCCCCCGGGCGAATCACGAATCGGCCGGTAAGATCGTCCTTGCTTCCTTCTTCCTTCGGTCCTGCGCAGATCGGGACCTGCCGCGTGATCGCGAGGTCTTCTCGGTGTCCAGAGGCCGGAAGCACTTCCTCCCAGTCCTCCTCGTTCAGGAAGGCGCGATTCCTGTCCTTGTTAGTTCGCGCGCGCGAAGCGGAGCTCCACGTAAAGGCGCCACCGCTGTTGGACGATTCGAGCTCGTAGTCATTTACGGTGATACCTTTGCAAAAGTCATCCAGCGAAAACGCGGCCCAGAATGCGTCCAGCTGCAAGCGCGTGCCTGTCGTTCGTTTCATCATTGCACCTCGCAGTCCCCGTGCCAAGTACTCGGTGCGGCGTTCGCCAGTCTCCGACTCCTTGCTCACGAGCCAAAGATTCTGACGCGACCACGGCCACCGGCGTGGTGGTTCGCCAAATTCATTCGGCCCTAGAGCAGCGGGGGCTCTCGCCATGCTCGCGCAAATTCTTTCCATGGCTTCGCTCTCACGGCAGGAGAACCGCTTCTCCACCGCGCAGACCACGGGTTGCTGCCAAGTCTGAGAGCTCAGATGCACCCTGAGAGTCCCCCACGACGGAAAGCTGACACGCAGTCCCCGCAACCGCTGGAGCCCGTAAAAGACAGACATGCCCGCCATGCACAAGGATTTCGAGCCGCGGGCGCACACCAGTGGCAGGTCGGGCATATCGTTCAGAACCCGTTCCGGCCCCGTCCTTCGGCTGAAAGCAACAGCGCCTCGCATGAAGATGCCGCCGCGGTCTCCACCCACAGCAAATTCTGAGGACGAGTAGGAGGCAAATTTGTTATTGTAGTACAACACGCCAGCGGCAGACGCGCCACGCTCGACCGCAGTGATCCCTTGCGACAGGACACCTGTTTGCCTCCTTGCGACATCGGCAAAGGTGCCACCGACGCCCAACCGAATCCGTATTCTCTGCCCGCTGTTGTCCTCGACCAAAATTCCGCCTTCCTCCCAGAACATGCGCCTGGCACACCACCCAGGGAAGACGATAGTGGGACAGTAAGCCGCAGCGACTGCTCGTCTCTTGTAGGATCCGCGGCTCTGCTCTGCACGCATACCACACACCCCTGCGTCTTGCTGCAGCGGCGGCGTCGCCAACTCCTCCTCTGTTATCGGAAGCCGTAGTACCACGATATGCGCTTGGGCGCCTGAGCAGCCGGCAAGTGCCAGCATGCGCGCGTCGGGTGATACCGATGTCTGCGTATATACTGACAAATATTAGAGTGCGGCCATAAGCACTCTTCGCTGCGTCTCATCTACGGCATTTGTCTCCCTCTTCAAGCGGACGCAAAAATGATCTATGTGTATTTTCATTTCTGAGATCCCGGTGACCAGTCTGAGACCTCGGTTAAATAAAAGAGGGAGCACGGCCCTTGTCTCCCTTTTGCCTTAAGAGTAGGGACGGCCTACGAGCTCGGAGCGCGCGAGCTGCGAGGATACTTCCACTGGGGATGTCGCATCTCCACGTACTCCTCCCTGCCGGTCCTCCGGAAGGACCTCCGCATGGCGGGCCAAGAGATTCGCATAAAACAAGAAGCCGCTCTCCTGGCTTCGCCGAAAGGCTATGTAGTTTTCCGTTTCTCCCGTAAACGTGTTTACTCCCCGCAAACGAAATACCAACAGAAAGGCTGCTCGCGTCCACAGCGGAACGATTTCTGGCGGGGAAGCAAAGGAAATTCTCACCAGGCTTAGCAAAAGTCTGTCTTTCATCATCTTCATGACCACAGCCAGCAGTGCGCAGCTTTAAGTACAAGTTTCAATCCACACTCAGCATTTCCCTAGATGGTGAAAAAGAAGCCTTAACATGCTCTGATAGTGCGCTGGATTCCGCGCCATAGAGTTGCCCTCCGTGTTCCTGTCGATGTCTAGAAAAGCCGCGTCGGAAGTGGATATGGGGTATTCGACATCGCCGGCCGACTGACACGCCAAGAAGAAGCTCGCCTTCTCGCGCAGAATACCTTGAGCAATCTCACCACTCTGAAAAAATGCGCTTGTGTCGTCGTCTCGCACGCGCAGAAAGTATGCTCCCAGAGGCTTGGGCGAGGCCTCGTTTGCAACTGCTCCTGCCCGTCTTTGTTGACCTTCCTCGGCATAGTCAGCCGCTGTTGAATCCCTTGCTTTCGTCTGCGCTGGCGGCAGATAAAAGAGTAGAACGACATCTGCAAACATGATCGCTCGGTTTCCGCGGTTCCACCAGCTGAGCCGGTTCCCATACTGGGGTGGGGAAATGGTGAATGAGGTGCGCAACGAGATCGTGAAAACACCGAACGAGAGGTTTTGATCGTTAGACGAGCTCTCGCTGCCGCCGCCCCCCCCTGTACCAGAGGAAGAGGCTGATCCACTTGTGCCAGAGGCGGTCGAGTCACCTGAGTTGCTTCCTGCTCGCAGCAACATCAACTGTCCCCGTAGCCCTCCGGAGTGAAAGGAGTCGAGCTCCGTCACATCACTCAGAGGGGAGCTCGGCGACCTCATCCTCAGCAAGCTGCAATGAATATCATCGCCGTTCAAGAGAAGTTCTGGAGTGGTCTCACCGTAAACAGCCCACTCCTCCTCAACCAGCTTTTCGAAGTCTCTGCGTGCTGCCCACGCATCGAAGCGCATCCCCGACTTGTGCTGGTCCAGCTCAAGTTCGAACGCGAAATCGTATCCAAAACGAAGGGTTGGCATAAGAGAGGGAGAGAGGGAAAGAGAGACGAGAGAGAGAGAGAGAGAGAGAGAGTAGATAACAAATCTTATACATAGTTGTTTTTACCTCGCGAAGACAAATAAATGGAAAGATCATCCACGCACTACTAACCCCTAGCTAACGAGGTAAAAGTGCAAGGACAGAACCAAATGCTAATTGAAACCTTGCAGATGAGGACGATTTTGATTAGTTTCTCTACAATAGAAGTCTACTCATATTGGAATCTTTGGCATCTGCCTCGGTTCCCATCGGACTTTTTTCTTTTTGCTTCTCAGTTGTAAGCCTCGCAACGTCTCGAGGCCCTACCCATGAACCTACAAGGACCTCGTTCTCTGACAGTTGCGTTATCCTGAAAGTGACGGCCGGAGATTCCGAACCGCCGGCCGTAGCTGAAAGAAGTCCGGCGGTTATCGCAGCTCCTGAAGTCGGTGGCGTCCCAAAGCCAAGACCTTTCTTGGCACACAAATTAAAGTTGTGCAAAGTGGAAGCTAGTTATCCCTTGCCTTACATGAATGACCAGGAAAACCGAAGATAAAAATGGTCCAAGAGCTATTCCTACTCAAATATCATTGCCTACTCAGTTCAAATTTCCAACAGCTTCCAGGCAAGGGGTCACCCACGTGGCCTTTCATAGTGAATATTGTTCACGTTCTACTAACTCCAGTTTGTCTGGTGAACAAACTAGCCTTAAGAAGCACGATTCCCGGCTGGTCCCCCAGTGCCACTGTGTCGCTCGTGTCGTAGTCTTCGGTGTTTAACATCATGAATGATATAAGTACTTAGTTACTCTGTCATGGCTGCTACTGTTGCATGAGCGAACTTTATCTATCATAAGTAATTAATGCGGTTATCATGCAAGTAGAAGTAGAAATAGCATGGAATCAGAGTCGAAAGACTAAACGCCTCGATCCCGCAACCCGAAGCACCATAATTATAAGTAAAATAAAGGAAACAAAAGGCCCATAATAGTTATCACAAAGAACTAAATGTCAAAATGTCATAACAAACAGGCCGTCTCTGGCAAATCCCTGATCGTTTCTCGCGTGTTTGCTGATGTGGGCAAAAGTGAAGTCGCCAAAAGTGGGTCCGCCACTATTCAAGCCATCGGTATAACAGAAAGGAGCCTCCGCTTCCGAGACGAATTTTTTCGACCGCATCAGACAAGCAGATGCGTCACTTAAAGCTTGAAGATGCAGCTACTGCATCGCGTACAAGTTGCTTTCTGATGTTGATAAAAACAACCAAAACGAGCGTCTTCATTATCCTTACTAGCCACTTGCTCGTGTTACTATCGACTTAAAAAAATCATAATTAAATGGAAAGGTGACAAAAGCGAGAAGATCCCCTTTTCGGTAAGTCGGCCTCGAACAAGACACAAATAACCAAAGAGGAAATATGCTTCAGCACAAGAAGCCAGATACAAGGTAAAGTATCTTCACTTACATCTGATGAATCTTCTGCCGCATCGGATTGTGTATAATTAATTTCTATTTATATTCTCGAGTACGCGATGCCCCTACTCGTCCGAAGCATAGGAAGCCGTAAATGAAGGTAGCTAATGAGTCTGGTCAACACCCCAGCTCTCGACGAGGTGAAGACCGAGCGGCCGAATGGGGAAAAGATGTAGAGAGAGATATCAGATGTGGTTTCCGCGCCCAGCTCCCCCTCTGCGTTTCCGGCAGTGCTCGCTTTGCCCTCCTGATGCAAAAAAAGAGAGACATCTATGTCTCCAGCGGGCGCACTTCCAGCCGCATCCTGGACGTCTTTATCAATTGAGTTACGGCCTTCTTGAAGCACGACCGGCGTAGGCGTAAACACAGGTGAGAACCCACCCGAAGCTGTTTGCGCAGCGAACTCAGCGGCCAGTTGTGGATGACGCAACACGGGCACAACTTCCGCGCCTAATGCTTTCAAAATACGCCTTATATTATGAAAGGAGGCCGGTTAGTGGCCGATGGAAATCAACGATACAGCATGTAGCTCGTCACAACTGCTACATTGCCACGCTGCCGCGTAAAAGCTTCAGGAGTAGGGCCTGTTACGGTGGGATTAAGACTCAATCTATAGCCTTAAGAATGCTATACCATACATAGTGTGAAGAATTCAAGATCTCTGACTCTCTAGCAGACAGTCCCAGCATAAGTGTGCCAAATCCCAAGATGAAGTAGCGATGCCAGTTTTTCCAAAATGCGTTCGCGCGAAACGCTTGCTTTCAATCTGTAACAATGTAACCGCTCCTCGCTTAGAGCTGCATTCGCCAGCGCTTTTTCGCTGTGGTCCATACTAGGCTCTCCAACACGAAGTTGTCGAACTTAGAAAAACTGTACAAAGCACTCGCTTTTGAGCTGAAAACAATTTCTTTTGGTCAGAGAGTAGCTTATCGCTTGTGGTAGAGACGCACTGCCTAGTTCCAGTTCCAAAGTTCTGCCGCATATCTTTGTTCATGCTGCACAGTCATGGCTCATTCGCAGGAAAAAAACGTCTCAGAACTTGCGACAGTCTAGAGAAAAAAGTAGCTTTTGGTAGTTAAGGTAGCGCCTCCTAATTGATCTTCCTCCGCGCCCTTCTATCTCTCAATGGATCATAATTTTTCACCGGTAATCTCATCAACTTAACTAGGAGGATTTTGCAGCCATGATGGCCTTAATCAGAAGGGTCCCTCTCGTGTAGGACTCGGTTCTGCTCCTCCTCTTTGCTCATGCGCTCACGGACAAGCCACGACGTGACCCCCGTAATGGCGGCACTGGCTTCCTCGGATACCACTTCGAGCCCGTCTGTTTCCGCAATCCCATTTTAGACATGGTATAAAGCTTTTTTGCATCATCATTTTACAGGTGATGCTGATTCAAATTGATTACGATGTATCAACATTCTTACTTGCTGCTCTGTTTAATCAGGATTATCCTCATATTGCCCGCAAGGGCCTACCTAGAATAAAAGGAAGTGAAAATGGATCTCTCGTCTATTGGATGATCCACAATGGCTGCTCTACAAATGCCGTTCCTGGGTATGTTAAACATGTGTTATGCGACACTAAGCAAAAAAAGCTTCATAATTTATACCATAGACACATCAATGAGGCTTCTACATACATTTGCGACAGGGAGAGGCAGACAGAGTGAATGTAGTGGAATGCTGCCTAGGTCAGTATTCCGAAACTGTCGACGGATATAGACAATATTAAATAGTACCATGACCGGATATAGACAATATTAGTACGCACGGACAAACAGTGTGTTGAACCTGAGAAAAATACAAATGTCAGTAAAAAATAGTACTCTGGCTGTTGAAAGTCAACTGGCCTTAGCAGCGCCCACGTTCTTGGCGTATCGTGCTAGCCTTTTGCGACTCGCCCTCACTCATAGAATCGCTTCCCGAGAAGACGCCGACCTCCCCCTCATTAAAAGGAAAATTTTCGATTTCTCGGGCCAAGGAGTCTCGCAATGCAGCTGCACGGCTCCCTGTAATGCTCGCTATCTTCGGGTCTTGGCGATCTATGTAGCTTTTGCTACCCTTACGGTTTGTGACTGCCGGTCCTGATTGGTTTACTCGCGGACGGGAACGCCCCAGTGTGGCATGCACTCGGACTCGACGAAAGATCTGATCGTCACCAATTGGCGCTGCGTGGTCGTGCGTGAGATATCGGCCCAAAGCTGTTGTCCACGCACGCAGGCCACGTTGGCCGCCAAACTCAGCAACGTCGGCATGCGCATTGCGCCGCACGTAGAATCCTGCCAGCTGTCGTAGACGAGGGCCTGCACCCTCGCATCGTACAACATTGAAGACTCTGTGCGGCATACCAAAAAATGTCGAAAACAAATTTCCATGTGATCGCTCCAACCTTGATGGGCCGCTGCCTTGCTGCAGAATGATCGCAAAACCTAGCACCTGTCGCAAGAGCAGTCGCAAGATGGCCACGGTATGCAGGATGCTTTGTCGGTGCTTCGCGCCGTCACTTGATGTTCCTGTCCCTGCGGCTGTGCCCGCTTCTCGGTAAAGCTGACCGGTTTGCCAACGTCGTCCTTCGGCTTCCGCCTCGCCGAGGAGACTGCTCACTCCCCTCGAGGCGGCCCGATAGAGTTGCACCCACCGTCGAGCCTCACCGAGTAATCGCCGCGCGATATCGTCCGCAGGGACAACGAAGTTCTGGGCATTTCCCATCGCGTCCTCCTGCTGGCTCGCGCTGTCGCGTTCGTTTGCTTCCACAATCTGCTGTCCTATCAACTCCCGCAGATCGTCGCGTTGTTCTGTGACCCGTAAGGCTGCCCACAGCGTCGTCGCGTGCAGATCTATAAGGCCGGTTACTCGCCTCAGACTTTCGGTAAAGAGCCGCCAGCTAAGAGAGAGAGGTAGCCCATTCACGGCAGCCGTCCGAATAGCTGGCGAGCTCGCGAGAAGCTGTCGCAAGCCGTGACAAGCGAAGTTGGCACTCCCCCGCGTCGCACCCAGCGTTTTGGATGCCACGTCCGACCACGCATCTGTTACGGGTACTACGTGACCTACGCTCGCACGTCGGTCAACCAATGTGGAAGCGTGCACTAACGGACCCATCACCGGCGTCAGGTGGGGCGATTGGCGAGTTGCGAAGCCATCGATTGCAGCGCAACAGGCGTGTCCAGGGTCCCGCATACACTCTCGAGCAGCGTACATGCCACTACATATGACGTGGGATCCGCGATCCCCGCGAATTCCACGGTCCATCACCCAGTCAAAACTGACAGAGTCGCTGAAGAGCTCTCCGTTGGATGAGAGCCAAAGGAAGCGGTCTCGCAGACCTCGCACCGCGCGCAAGCCACGCACACGACCCAAAAGGTACCAACGGCGGAAGGCTCGAGGCACATCCGCATCCCCACGAGTACGCTGCCAAGCAGCGGAAAACCAGCCGAACAGATACCCACTGCACGACTCGTAGTAGAGCAAATAGGCGGGCGGAAACTCCAGGAGCTGTTATTGGAGTGGGCGCGAATCCTGTCCATCTCGGCCCTCGCATCACTGTTCCTTTACCCTACTTGTATTCTTGTATGATAGGAAAAGGATACCAGGCAGATGCTGAGAGAGATGGGTAAAAGCGGACCATAATGCTGTGCCACGCCACACACTCGAAAGTGGCACCCTGAGCTCCGCGCTCCCGATAATTGTTCTGAACTCAAAACTCGCGATTGCGACACAGCACCGCTGTACAAGCAGCACTGCCGCACAAGCGAATGCCCACCGCTCTTCCTCTGAGTACTCACCTCCATTGCCACGCAGTCCGTTTCCGCGTCACACACTTTCCCGCAAGACTGCACTTCTTCTGATGTGGCTCCTGGTCGTATATCTGCTGCTTCGGACGTCCCGCTCGCATCCCGCATCGGATTGCTGCGATAAGAAAGAAACGAAAGACTAAATTCATCCAAAGAGAACTTGTAAGCCAATCTGCTTTTACACATCGCGGGACTACTGGACGCGATTCTTATACGAATAAAGACAAACCACAAGTCTAAAGACAAACCACAAGTCTAGATTTGAACTTCACCTGTAGCAAAAAGTTGTACTACATACTTTCGGAGCTTCTGTCCTATGAAGAAGCATGACTCAGTTATCTGGCTTTTCTATTATGACGCAATGTAAGGAGTTTTCGGCCACCCATACGTTGAAGTTACCGGAAAGCACTTAGCCACCAAACCGGTGTCTGGCCAAGCAGTCGAAGATTGGCAACGTCCCCGTGTAGAAATATACGGGCAACTCTTGCGGCGATCTGGAGCAAAAACCATGTCCCGCAAAGCATAGTGGTCTTTGCACTCCGGAGGCGGTGGCAGGTGCATTGCTGTGAATGGCAACATCTCGATTTGACGACGCCCACTCGCCTCCATGCGCATTTGCTTGATCAAACAATGCGAGTCGTGCCTTGGACGACCTGGGAGCTCGATCATACTGACGCACTTCCACACAATATGGTCCATGGTGTTTACCAAAATTAAAGCGCGGCTAGCCCTACTTCACTATGTTTTCAACTGTGTCGGAAATACGGACGAGATCCTAGTTCTTATTCCGCTCACCTTATTTCAGTACAACTAGTAGGATCCTAGTACGAGTGAAATAAATCCTTCACTTGAAGACGAAGAATTCAGCCGTATACAACAGCTGTCTATATTGATGATGAGCTAGATTGATATTGAAATCGACTATGAATGGCCAAGCCTTAGTGAGAGTGCCAGGGGACCCTGTTCGGTGGCGCTTGGCTTCCCACTTTTCTGCGAGCTGCCCCCTGGCCCCGACTTGGCTTCGGCAAGTTCAAATTGTGCGGCGAAGCTGGGCGCACGGCTTGCGGGTGTCCACAAGATGCAGACTAGCAGGATGCTGGTCGACTCCGCCAGCATTTCCTGCCGGATGCCGATCGCCGGAGGTTAGCGCTCTTCCCTAAAATAATTCTTCTTTTTCATTTATTCTGCAGTTGTTGGTTCATTTTCTGAGAATCCTGTGCTCACAAGTCGTACGGAAAAAGACACGGACCCAAGACCTACTGTGAGAATTTGATGAAACGATGAGCGCCTAAGGATAGATGTGCTTGTCTCGGTAATCGCAAGACATCAGGAGCGAGTCGACAGCTACATTCGGAGGATCGATCAAAATACGCGCCGAGAAGTTAATAATCGTTCCTTCTGCAGTCTCGGCTCTCGTGTAGTAGGTTCCCTGCAAACGCGAGTACAGACTCATCGTCACGTCTGGAGCGTTCGGGCTTATCGTACTGCCGAATTCAATAGCAGAAATGCTTGGGCCAGAGTATTCTGGGTCCTCCTCTATTGGACCAGCTTCGTCGAAAGATCTCGTCGTGCCAGCAGAAGTATTCTCGTCAGAAGAACTCTGTGTGGTCTTATCATCCGAGGTAGACTCATGATCCTCTGCAGAAGAAGTCTCAGTATTTTTGGTCTTAAGAACGTCCGCCTCTCCTGTTCTTGTTATCCTCCTCTGCCGCTCCTTGGTTGAGTCATCGACCTTAGACGGCGCTAGCATTTGCGTGATCTTCATCCTACTAAGCGTCCTCGGAAATCCACCCCACCTCGTTGAAGCAATATGTAGGTGCACTAAAAAAGATAAAAGAGGCGTAGTGGCTCTTTTGGAAAATCATTGATACCAGCTAGTATCAAAGAACTCGTAGCTGTACAGAGCAAAGATAATGAGGCACAGGATATTAGTGATGATGACAAAACTGCAAGACATAATTCCTGCATCCACTCCTCCCCACGTCTTCGAGGCGCTAGAAAATGCCTCATCCAGCGCCCGCTTCTCCCAATCAGCCACCTTTTTTCTCTCATCACGCTCTATCCACGATGAATCTGGGTGAGAGTCCGTTGATTAGAGCTACCGCGTCGCATCCCTGGGCGAATTCCTGGGCCCTTTTTCCACTTGAAAAAGAGATCAAGGATGGCGCTGAGGATGCTTCAGCGGTAGCCGTAAGTTGAGCTGTGAAACTGATGAATCTGGGCCAGGCTTGAATCTGGACTCGTTCGCCACTCCCTTACGAGCCCAGAAGCAGTCCTCCTTATTCGGGCGCCTCCATTGTGGCCACCTCTACTTGGTTTGGTGGTGCTTGCATCGCCAGCTTCGTCCGAGGAACGCAACGTAGATGAGGATGCCCCGGCTTCTTGTGTGGAAATTAGCGTGGTCATGACCCCACACACCATCCAGTACAGCCTAGTACTATCGACATCAAGAGCACTCATGTGCCATTCATGAATAATGTCAAAGCTTAGTTGTATCATATCACACCTTAACTCAAGTACTGAGCCAGCACCTGCCTCGTAGTCCGCTCCTTGTTCCCAGTCCCAGATTTGTAAATGCTCCTCCTCGACGCCGCTTTTGCCAGGAGCGTTTTCGCTAGCAACAGCATTTTCTGCATCCTGTTCTTCTGACGATGTTGTATCTTCTGATATTGTATCAGCAGGCTGAAGCCCATTACCTGTACTTTCATCCTCTTCCACATCGACTGTAACTCGACTTATCCCGTCTATCTGCTCCGAGGTTCCGTCCTGCTGAGGCGATTGCAGAGCGGAACCACTGACCACGGCGTCTGGCCCGTTTTGTACCACCGGGTCCTGCTGCTCTCTAGTGTTAAGAGGTGCATCCGCCTCCCCTCTGTCCACCTGCTCCTGCTCGTCGCCTTCAACCTCCTCAATGTCGCTAAGGAAACTCGAAGATGCGGCAGCGCCTGCTGCCACCACGCCAGGCTCGTCGACGGCATGACTGTCCAGTAAGATGCTGCTTTTCACGCCAGACGCATCTCCTCCAGGGTTGTGCACCGCGGCACCGCCCAAAGGCGCAGAGAGTCGCAAAACCAAGCTCAGCCGCGTCGTCATTTTTAGCGTTTCCTCATACACCGCTAGACGACGCCCACGAAGTCATCCACGCCATTATCCTCGACCGCATCGCCCGATGACTCGAACTCCCATCCATTTTCGATTAAGTATACTCTGGCACACATAAAAAAAGGCGAATCGATTGTCTCACTAGAAGAGTTGTATCAACATTCTCAACTCAGCACTCTTTCTACGTGAAAACTACGTGCTGCATATGCGAGCACGTGCCCTCGTAGCGTTACTCTGCCTCTCGTAAACAACTACTCGTTCAAACCGATCAGCGCGAGATTTTCAGCGTTCCTTCTTTATGTGCTACTGCACTTCAAAACCTAACAAACTCTGGTGAGAGAAATTCACCTCGCGCTCTCACTTTTCTCGGCGGACAACTTAAAACGCACAAATTCACTGCGTCTTCTTCTAAGGTCAGAAGACTAAGGCAGTTTTGCATATAAACTCATTGTTCAAGTTCAAGTTCAAGTTCATCGTCTGATTGACATGATTTGAGTTGCATCTTGCGAGTTCTTTTTTTTGGCGGTTGATTTTGCTCATGCTCCTCACAAGAGCGATATATAAAGAAATGACCAGTTCAGCGCACTGTACAGATTACTGTATCAAGACTCAAAATCAAGAATGCAAGATTGGTATCACTTCTTCGAAGATAAGATAGTCAACATTGTTACAGTTCTGATGGACCCGACTTCTTTCACTCAACTTTGTTTAAGATTCACTTCAATATTTTCAAGCATGGTACATAAGTGCGTTCATTATATCATACATCATCGAACGAAATCTTGCCAATGAAATGAGTCGGCTGACATAATTCATCGTTGGAACCTCGTATTTGCCTGGCTAAAAATAACTAAGTTCACTCGTCAAGGTCGTTGAGTTCTGCGATCATTATTATGGTCGTTTTTCTTTTTGGTTCTACTTCTAGTTTTACTGATACCGCAAAATGCATCGTTGTGATTCGCGTCACCTCACAAAGCTAGAAGCGGGAAGGATTTAGTGCCCACAGCTATCAAATGAAATATCATCTTTCAAGAAATCAAAAGTAACATTACAACTCTACCACACATAGAGGACCTCAAAGATACCACTATCCGTAACCACTTTATTCTATTGAAACAAACTCAGTTGAAAGTTCATCAACATCCACCTGATAACTAGTAGTGCAGACGTTTTTGATAGTACTAACTTCATCTAGTTCTTTGTTGTAATACATGATTAGCTTGATACCACTATGTATAGCTTTCACAATTACATATTTTCAAAAAGATATGATCCACATTCTGACTCTGAGTCCAATAGTAAGTTCTGTAATAACAACGTGATCATCGAATTCGAAAGAGATAACGAAACTCAATTCACTTCGCTTATTTTTTACTTTTTTTTGTAGTGCCATGCTTAACCGAAAGGGAAGAGCTTGCACGTTTATCCGCGAAGCTGCCGGCGACGGACGGGGCTAACCTCCCATAGTATACGCCCAAATTTTTGATCCGTCGATATTAAGATGGTCAAATTTAGGAGCTAAGGCAGACTACTGCCATGCGGAAAGCCGTCCGCCTCACTACATACGCGCCACGTCAATCTGGGCTGCGGAAAGCCGTCCGCCTAAGCAACTGAAACAAATAATCCAAATTTTTTTGCCCCACTACGCGCGAAACTCGATGATGGAGAAAATTAGGAGGACGCAGGGCTAAGTAAAAACAAGCCAGCTAAATTCCTATTGGTGAAAGAACGCTAAAATGCTAGATTTCTTAATATTTTCATCTTCTTCGTTTTTTGCTCTCTGCATTAAACTCCATCCCCTTCTTCATTCATCATCCTGTTAGGAGATAGTTAAGAAGGGTTGCGACGAGATATGGTCGACTCCAAGATCACCTGTGCGCCTCGAACCGTAATTCGCTTCGCTGTCGTGGGCGTGGCCCGCTCCACTACTTCCGTCCATTATGGGGGAAACAATCAATAACGAATTCGAGCGCGTCATGAGCCAAGCTGGAGAGTTGAATTCATCGAGACCTGTGGCTGTCGTGGTTGCTGACGTGCGTGCAGTGGGGATCGAGTTAGACCCCGATAAGTTAGCGCGACTCTTGTTGCGCGCAAGCTTCCTCAACACACCTCCTTGGCCGTTCACCGAGTCAGAGTTATTAAAGGTCGTGTTTCTGGAGGGAAAGGGACTACTCGCCTTGTACTCCTCTTCGAGTTCCTCTAAGCGCTGTTTCAGCCTACCAATCGAGTTCTTCCATCTCAATATTTCCACTTCGCCCTCTGACGCAGAGTCGTCATCCACTGCTGTTGGAGCTTTTGAAGGCAGGAAGATGGGAAGACTTTTCTTGGTGAGCTGACATGGTTGATCTTGCTCACGGGAGGAAGTGCTTCTCTTATCGCTACTCGCCACTCCCTCGCTGCTGGAAGTTGTTCCGGTACCGCTCCGACCGAGAGGGTCCTCTCGCGGCGGAAAAACCGAAGAGCTGCTGCTTGCGTACTGAGGTCTCACGACGAGTGAAGACCCTCCAGTATTCAGGGTATCAAGAGAACTTCGCAGATCCATTTCGAAATCGTCCTCCTCCTCGAATGCCGCCACCAATTTCATCGTATCGTTGTCCTCAACACAACTGCTAGCGCTGTTTCCAGCTGCACTTGTTCGTTCGCTGTACTCTTCCTGCGCTGTGTCAGGTAACTCATGGCCAACTGACGTCGAAAAGCTGCACGATCTGGTAGTCCCGTAGTTGTAATTGCTCCCCTTCTTCATCTGAACTAAGCTGATTGAGTTTGACACAGAGGATGAGCCACACGACGCGGGTGATCCGCTGCCGCTGCCGGGGACAGCGACGTTGAAGTTATGAAAGCAGCACTGACCCTGTCCGCCTGGTGTGCTGATTGTGTAGCAGCTCGGGCCTGAGCGCTTCTGCGGTTCTCGCGACGCAGCCCTCGAATGCGAATACAGCGTCGTCGCAGGTGGCCGCGGCGCGTGCAGCAACTCCGTCACCCTCGTCACACCCGCCATCCGACGATTTGACTCTACAGCGTCGTACAACTTCTCCCCCTGAACGAGAGCGCCTTTGCTGCGTGTCCTAACCAGTGACTCCCGCGAACGCGATGCGTACAGCCGTTCGTCCCCTCCGAAATAGGCGTCATCGTAAAAGACTGCAACGACGCAATCGTCGTTCCGCTCCATCTTGTCGCTAGAGCGCGGCCCTTCCGCTTTCCACCATCGTGGTCGTTTCAAACACATACTTTTCGTGCTGGACGCAGGTGTGGACCTTCGCCGCCCGGAGCCCTCGAAGGCATCTACAGGAGTCTGTCTCCGGACTCTACCTCTACCGCTACGGACGGTCCTCACACCGTTACCCCCGACACTACCGCTCAGGGCTGCGGTCTCTCTTCGTTCGCTAGTCAACAGCTTCGCTTCAACGGCAGGTTCTGGTGTGCGCGCTGGCACATCACCTCCCGAGCCGTAATCACACGTGTGACCTGCCTGCAGCTCCGCATTCTTCGGCTCTGCTGCTGATGCTGCTGCTGGAGGTAGTAGAGGTTCTTCTTCGTCTTCCACCTCTCGGTTCAAAAAGAAGTTCGTAATGATATCACTGCAGAAAGAGGAGTTAGCTCTACTCCTTTTCAACTTGGATGTTGCTGACGTTGCTGCTACTTCACTCGTCTTAGTCTCGGATTGATGTTGATCTGCTTTGTACTTCTTTCTCCCGACGCTCCGATGGCTGCCCGTCTGATCGTTCTGGCTCGAGGCTAAGGAGCTGTCGCGCAGCCCCTTGGTCGGTCGTGCTAACACGCGCAGAACCAACTTCGCCCATCTAAAATCGACTGAACAATCTCGCGACCCCTCTTCGTCGTCCGTCGTCAGGATAGAAGACTCGTTACTAGCAGCTAACAGACCGGAGTCCGACGACCCTGTGTCACTACTGTACTCGTCGTCTTCATCGCTACTCCAGTCAGAGTCTTGTTGCTCTTTCATCGCTTCCTGACGCCAGACTATCCGCTCTGGGGAGAAGCTCCGAGAGAGAGATTTGTGTAGGTCGATAGTGCGTGTCGACTGCATGAGCACGTCATAGTCCTCCTCCTTTTGGCTGGCAAGAAACTCCGAAACTTGCCAATCTAGAAGCATACGGCTCACTAGCGCCCAGAACAGCAACGCGACAAGTCCCGCAAAAGCCACATAAAGGACAATGTTCGTCGTTGCAGCCCAGAAAGCGTCTCTGCGCGCATATTGGGGCAGCGCGTCAGCAAGCCACTCGCGTAACTGCATTCTCGGAAAACCAGCGTAGGGCAAAGAAAGATCGAAACGCAATACCAGGACAGATTCTGTACAAGAAAAGTTCTTGTTAAGCTAGAAGGGATTCGCGGTTGTTGATAATCTATCCGGAAATAATGAGAATAGCAATTCACGCGCGTTAGAAAATCAATGCCAACACAGCTTCCGCGTCACGTCGTGTCGTTCTGAAACCTGCGGAGAGGAAATTCGAGAAGGTCCTCCCTAAATTGCGAAATAGATAGAAAGTTAGAACTACTGACTCTGAACGAAAAACCCTAACATTGTTTCTTGGCCTTAGCTCTTGTAGAAAAAATACAGTACTCTAATCATTAACTTACCTTCTGAACTGAGAGCCGCGTGAGTTTCTGCACGAAAGTCTGTTAGCTCAGCAACAAGATGCACGATGGTCCAAATGTGGATGCGCAGCACTGACAGTAAGTAGATCACAATGATAGCTTCCGAAAGAAGGGACGTCTCAGGCCGTCCATCTTCGCACTTAGCAGCCATTCCTTGGCCTTTGCACCGCCTTGTACATTTGTGTATCAGAAAAATCTTTGTAGAACTCTGTTGACAACTGAAAGCAATGATATTTCTTTAGGAATTAAAAGTTCAAATTCCAACAAAATATGAGATTGGCATGACCCATGAAGCACTTGTAACATCAACCAAACTATCGCTTCGTTCTGAACCTCGTAGTTCAACAAAAATGACTCGACGTGCATATTACAACAACAACAAAAACTGAGTTCAAAAAATATCGACTAGCTACTCAAATCTTAGTTCACAAACGATTACCTTTTCAACCAATTAAAATGAACGACTGAAAAGCCAAAATTCTATAACATGCCACGATCAAAAAAAACATCTTCGTGCCCTAACGTGTTTTTCTGACTGTGGGGGGATTATTCAGGACTGTTTTTCATGCTGTAGCCAAGCATATCATTATTATCCAGGGGCGAGGCTGGCCCGGGGTTGGGCGGGCTGTGCACTACAGTAGTCCGCGCACAATCTAGCGCATGAAAGGTCGGACCAGCCTAACAGACTACCTCAAGGTCTCAAGCGCCTCCAAGGCGCGCTAGAGCCAAAGCTCAGCCGTTTGAAAAGAGGGCGGCCACGCTAACCGCAGCTCTCTCGCGCCCTGTGACTGTCCTGGTGCACAGTCAAAGAGTACAAGTCTGGGCTGTTTGCGGCGTGGTGGTCCGAACCCCCTGCCGAGGGGCCTAAATCAATGCTCTGGCACTGAGTTCTAAAATAAAAGTAGAAAGCAGCAACGCAGACGCGGCGACTCCCACCCCCTGGGCGCACCTGCGCGCGACAATCAGACTTGGACAAAGAAAATACGCCCAACCTCGAACCCGTCGAGGAACGAAGCCAGAAGCCACTGCATACGGACACACGCCAAAGCCTGCGGCGCAGACATGGTCCGTGAGCAGCGTAAACAAGCCAAAGAATCGGCCCCGCTGGTGTCTATGGTGAAGCCAGCACCGACCAGCACACGCGACCAAGCACGAAAAGACCCAACGAAAGGGGAACGGGGCGCCGCCTGCGCTCATGGTGCGCGGCGGGAAAGTCCGGCAGGGCGTTGGCTAACTCTAAGAACAGGCGGCGGAAGCTGCGCCGTCATTTCTTTTTCAAGGAATTAGCTCCAAGAGAGAACCCACGAGCCCTACCCTCTGCGGATTCTTCTCGTTGACGGGTTGCATTCGCTATGCCTGCGCGCATTCTGCAGCCACGGGGGGAAGGCACCAGGAACAGCGTCGACCAGAAAGCCCAGAACCACCGCCGAAAACCTTCGCCAGATGATAGCCACGCGCACTCATTTAGTTTAGCCAAACCGCACACTGAAACACCCGCCACCAGGGCGGCGGCACAACTCGACACTCCGCAGGGGCGCGGACTATCCTACGCACACACAACCAGAGCAGGCGGAAACGAAAGAGCAAAGACACACCCCACCAGACACGCACGGCACAGGGAAGAGCTTGCGCAGCAAGCCAGGCGCGCGCTTTCATCAGAGGAATTGCGCCGACCATCTCTCGATGGGTCCGCGCGTTGCGCTTTGCCTTCTCGTTGCTCCTCCGCACTCGGCGAGGGAGTTGCGCTGGTCATCTTTCGATATTTTGCGCGGTGTTTAGCTCGCCCGAGGCTCCCGGTGACCAGCCGGGGTAGCCAAGAATATGCTCTACTTTCATCAAACCTCAGATACAGCATGATCAATGATGCTTTGCTTTTCACATCAATGCATGCTGTAAACCAAGATATTATACGTGGAATTGAGTATAGAAGAGAGAGAGGGGTGTCCATTGCGTGGAGGGAAAAAATAATCAATGGATCTCGTCCGATGGAGCAGAAAACAACAAGTCCGATTTTTCACTAAAACAACGATTGATCAACACCGAATGCGACCAAGCGATAGGAAAAAACTTCGATTTTCAGGAGACGAGTCACCTATGAAAAACAAGAAAATCTCGATCATCCACAAAACGAGCCCGTTAAGAATAAAACCGACTTTTTTGACTCCACCGATTTCTAGGCTGCCAACTCAGACTGATTTGTTTAGAAAACACAAGAAAGAGTTAATGCACCTCCAGTCCACGACAGTGTTACTGTAAACACAAAGAAATGGGGCACGATAGAAATTCAAGTTCTAGTTCCAACGCGTGGCTCATAAAGAACAAATGTTTCAAAAACTCGCTGAAGTAATTAGGAAAAATCATCATCCAATCCTTACAATATGGATGCGTCGAGAACCCAGTGGTCTTCTATCGGGCCCGCCGTTTGGATAAAAAATTCTGCGACTGCGCAAGAGCAAAAAGCATCTACTGCAGCATACTCCAACTGCTTCGCACTGAGCGGGCGCTGGCTCCAATTACTCATCGTAACATTTTTGCCCTTGGGCACGGGCAATTGAAGTACACGACTCGCTAGTCCGCTGAGTCCACCACCCAGCTTCAAGTGCTCTGTCCAGGCCTTTTGGGTGAAATCTACTAGATTGTGCACTTTGATGCCAGGATAATCCTTTGCCAATTTCTGTGCGTCTGCACGGACACCCATGCCAACCTTGTAACTTAGGCCCGCCAGAAGTTCTGCTAAAGCTGGGGGCAGCGGCGACGTATGCTCGCTCGCAATCTTTGCGGAAGTAGATGGTTTCACCGGCTTTTGCACGTAGTTGTATTCCTTACATTTCTTTGCATAATCAGCCATGATATCACTCTCTTCTCTGCCAGTGCCACCGCTGCTCTTTTTCCTCATCGGCAAACAATCATAGATCAAAACCGCATAAGCAGCACCCGGCTCCAGGAAAGGCTTTTGGTCGGCGTCAGCCGGATCTGTATTTGCACATTTTCCTGCTAAATCCTCCAGCGATCCTTTTTTAGCACTCGCAGTCTTGTCCTTTGCCACAGGCGCGCCTAATTGTAAAATGGAGACCGGGTTCGGAGGCATACCCTTTTGAAAAGTCGGTCGGTACTCGATGTCGAGCCCGACAACAGCAGGTGAAGGTCCCCAGTACTCTTCAACGAACGAGGTGGCATCTCCAGCGTGACTTGTGAAGAGCACGTGAAGCGTAGGTGAATTTTCGCCAAGTGGTCGAATCTCCGCAGCATTAAAGGTTGCTACAATAGCTCATACATGAAGGTTGTGAGCACCTCACATCTACTTCTTGAGTCTGGGTATTTGTAAAGAACTTCCTAGGGGGCTAGAGCTCACTTACTTTGCCTCGTCTAACTTCCAGATCATGATCATGTCTGATGACTGCAGCTACGAGATGAAAAATTAAGTATTTCCCTTGTACAGAAGACACTTCCTCTACTTCTGACAATGGGATACAAATACCATAATGTACTTTGAATTGCCCGAGCGCCATTTTCGAGTTGTGCCTGGTCGCAAACTATGCGATGTCGGACTTCGATGCGTCTCGTGCCGAGAGGATGGCATGCTACTGCTACTGGTTTGTCCTGGCTCCGTTGTGTTCTTGCTCTGTTTTTTCAACGGGTGACCCTCCGAAGTTGCGTTGCCTTTTTGCTGTGCGCGCTTCATTTTGTTGTATTCGCCATTGTCTCAACTTCTGGCACTCAAAAGGTAGTACGCAACTACAGAAAAAGGCAAAGAAAAACGGATCCTGTGTTAAGACTTCGATGGCACGACAAATAATAATACGGCTGGAGACAGACACTTGTAACTCTTTACTTGAAAACTAAATGATGACCTTACGAGGAATCACAAAGCTGGCTACGTCTGTCACCCAGAGATCACCGATGAGATCCAGAGTCCTATCGTGAAAGTTTTCAAGCATCGACCTAGGTGCATGCTGTCTGTGATCTGACACCCTTGCTGAGAACCGAGCTTATTGAAAACTCACATGCACAGGTTCAATTCAGCGATTCAACAATCTGTCTAACGTTACGCCTCTTCTAAAGAAGAGACAGTAGAATCAATTTGCGCGATTATTTGTAGGATAGTTGGGAACGTAGAGCATTCACCATGATCGTTGTCAGCTGGTACAGTACAGCGATTTATTTGAGTGCGTTTCCGACCTGTGCTTGAATTCGCTTCGAGTACTTTCCGTAGCATCTGATACTTTGGAGAAGCTGATCCATAGGCGGCACGGGTCAAATCTTTACCCGCTTGTTCCCAGAGAATCCTGACTGCGCGAGCCGTGCGCTCATCCTGGCTATCTCCAGGAAGACGCTTTGGACGATGTGAGGCGTTCCTATCATGATCGTCAGAGTAACGATCCTCAACAACAAGGTCGTCATTCTCACAGTTCGACTCGGTGTCCCGCTTCCAGGCGTCAGCGACAGTTTCAAGTACACCCGATAGCACGCATCCGACGCGTAGAGGGTGAAGTTCGGGGTCCACCGTTTCCAACGCCAGTTGAAAGACTTCGCGAACACAGCGCAGTGCACCTCCCAAATGGTATCTCTGAGTTTTCTCAACACCCGAACTGTTTCTACTCTCAGAACTACTGCCTGCTGCGTCTTCCTTCTGCGCACAGGACATTCCGGATCGAAAAGAAGCACTACCCTCTACAACTTGATCCATGCTGCCGTCCTTAGTCCTCTCGCACCTGGTTCTCGCAATGGCATCCAACTCGCAGCGAGGCGAAATCTCTGGACTGCTCCAGCACATCAGATGGAACCTGTGCAGAATTTCTAGTGCCTTCGCATGAAAGTAAGGGCCATCAGCTTCCCGTTTGGCCGCTGCGCACACTTCAATCACTGCGGAAGAGCGTGAAAGGAAAGCAGCAGGACCGGTCAAAGCTTCTTCGCCTGAAACATCCCCAGATGATGATGCATCAACTTGGCCATTTGTCTCTTTCGCCCGCGCCCGTCGACGACCGCTCTTTTTTCTCCGCTTACGAAACTGCCCATCTTCTGAATTGTCTGAGGAGCTTTCTTCTCGAAAAAGCAAAGCCTCCCAGTCCACTAGCATCTGCTGTAGCCTTTTCGAGGACTCCGGACTTACTATTTCTTGACTTCGTGTCTTGTTCCGCGTATCTGTTGAATCTACAAATAAATTAGAAGTAACGTCGTTGTCCGTGAGAGGCGCTGCGCCCTCACCGCAGCCATTGAACTCATCCTTTTCGCGCTCACAGAGATCGCAGCGACAATCGAATCCAAAGAGTTCCCGGATAATGCGCTGCCTTCGCGGTCGTGCCATGAATAGTCCGAGTAGCTGCTCTGGCATGTACGAAACAGTCACGTCCTCTCCCTCTCGCAGTGTTTGCACGGAGGTTACACGACCAAAACCAGGCACGCTACTGCTGTAAACAGCGCTGGGTCGGCAGGAGTGTGCTGCGAGTGAGATATGTGGAAACAAAGCTGTCTGCCACCCATTACTAAAGGCATGCCCATTCACCTGGAAAACCGCCCACAACCGCTTGATGCCTTCCGCATCCTCCTTCTTGACACCTTTTGAAGCATGATTTCGTCGTTCGCTTTGCTCACGACTAACGCTAGATTGCTCTCCAACCATGCTTCTTGACATTTCTCCAGATTCCGACTCAATTTCGCCATCTTTCTTGTGTCTCTTTCGAGCAAGGGCTAGCTCTTTGTTGGATTCTCCCTTCGAACGAGTTCCACTGAGATCTTCCACCTGTTGCACGACCATCGGCATACGTAACCGCCTCGCTTGATGTGCATCGAGCGAAGCCACGAAGGTCTTTTGCGTATCCCTGAGTTTTCGGTATACATCACTCAGATTTCGAAAGTCGGAGGAAACCTGGACGACCGGAGACTCAGCCAAAATCTCACTTCCCGCAGTTAGATCTTGCGTCGACACAAGTACACGACCAAAGCCTGGCTTTTGAGATATTCTAACCAAACAAGTGGTCTTTGCTTGTTGTCCTGCACGACCTCCAGGTGGTTTGCTTCGGTTCAGAGGAGCACCGGCTTGCCAAATTTTCGTTGCCCCCGAAGTTCGCGAGGCTGCAGCCAAGGAAGCCATGTCGTGGATGCTCAATAAAAAACAAACACCTCAAAAGAGATTTTTATGTTCAGTTCTGTTCTTAGACTTACCTAGCATGGCAACATAAAATCATACAACGTGTTACACCCGACGCAGTCATGAGGTACAGCAATGACTTTGAGAAAAAACTCTCCTTCTCCGAAAAAACATCATTAGCCTTTTAAGCCTTGAAGATTTCGACACTGGGATCCTTTCTTGGGAACTGGTTTCCAACAAGATCTCTCCGAACCTCCAACATCTAGTCTGTAGACTACTGCAGAACTTGCGGAGATCCTTTTCTACACCTCCGACACTTGATCACCGGAGATCCACTAGACCAAGAGCAGTCTGATGTTAGAAACCTTAAGCTACCGACCTCATCAGGAACAGTTGAGTGTCTCTTCAACTCAAGCGCAGGCTTTTCAACCTCGGACGATAATGTGATGACGCGCGATCGGTGGCGCCGCCCTTCTGCGTTTAAAACTCCATGGGCTGGGTGCGTAAACAAGTATCGTTCACACCAGTAACGCAGACACTGAAAACCACTCTGCTCGCACATCAGTCGTGTGGTGGAGCGTATTGCACCAGCCAGCCAGATGCAGCTAGGCTCTATGGAAATAAAAGCCAAGAAAAAATTATGATTTTCCATTCATTACTGTCCTGACATGGCAAGAGAACCTGGCGCTTCTACATTTTTCAGGAAAAGTGTTCATTTCAAGCAGCTTTAAGCCCGAACTTCGAGATGGTATTCGGTGGTGCTCCGTAGCTCAACTTGTCGACGCGGGGATCCTTCTGCGAGAGTGTTGAGAAGTCAGTGCCTCGGGGTCCCAACTCCTGTCGCAGTGCAGCCCATCCCGCGTCCTCTCCTTTGGTTTGCAACCAAACGCATCGCTTCAGAGCGCAAAGACTCGCATCGTAAGCTGGGCCTGTATGTGTGGAGTGAAAAAGAAGTAAGTCTGTTATTCCTTGGTTTACCATTTGGTAAAGAAAACTATGGCTGCATGCGACGTATTCAGATAGTCTCTACGCTTTGAACAAGAAAGGGCTCTTTATTCATATATATTGGAGAAAATTCAACTAAGGACTGCAAAAATCCGGACAAAATTCAATCTTTCCGGGCATGACACGAATCCGCAGAATGCTCGCCGCCTACTGCGCTCCCTTCTGGAAAACCCTCACCCAGTTGCGAGCCAAGAACCTCGGGCACCCTCCAAATCCCCGCGCCCCTCCAGAATCCCCCAGCACACATTTGCAGGCTGGTGCGGTGGACTCTGGAGGGGCGCGGGGAATCACATGAAACGAAACCAAAAGACAGAAAAACCAAGAGGAAGCAAGTGGCAAAAGCCGCTAAGCGGAGCACTTCCAGGACGAGGAGGCGGCAATAAAGACCGTTCTTGTGCAGTTCTTAGTTGACTTAGCGCCATTAGAATATTCAATCTATCAATGTCATCACTCATCAATACCTGAAGCGGAATTCTGCATTTTTGCGATAATAGAGGAAACATCAGCTGCGCTGCATGACACTGCAGGTGGCGGCTTCGGACACGATTTTGTGGTATCATACGCTGTTTCCTCTTTCGGATTTGGGTAGACGGCCGCCCATACACTCGGCAACAGCGGATATCGATCAATCCTTGTCATCTTGTCAACTCTAAGATTTTGGGCACAATCGAAACCTAACGACTGCACATGCAGAGATGAGACATACAGTGAAAATGTGGAGGAGATGTGAGTCGCTATTACTTCAGGGCTCTTGATGTAGTACCTTAGTCTGGACATGCTCTGAGTCCTCGGGCCTCAACAACTTTTTTCTAGATAGAATACATAATCATAAGTAGAAGACGACAAAAACCCACAACAGAAAACCGATTTCCGCAGTCTTCCTTCCTCAGGAAAAAAAACCGTGAAGTTGTTCACTCCAAAAATCGGTTGACAAGCTTCACATTCACTCATCTTAAAAGCGCAACAAAAGACGACGCAGGAAAAGATCACCTTCACTCTAGTCCACCCTCGAGGAAGACTGAACACCACAAAGACGTTATCACACTGGTTGTCTATAGAAAATTGAGAAAACTGGGCTGCAGAGATGACAAGGGGAAGCGTCGCTCTTCAACTTCATCAACGAATGAAGCTCGAGTAATTTCATGAAGTCCACTGCCAACACCAATAAACGCGTATTTCTAATCAGGTTCATCATCCCTCATGAGTCTGGCAAGCTCCTCATCAGAGTAGTGTCTTCTGCGTCTACTGACAGTGCTACCTTGTCCTGCTCTAGAAGAACTCTGTCCAACACCTCCTGTATTTTCTTCATGCTCGCCTGCGTTTTGTCTTATCAATAAATTCGCTGTGCCACTAGAAGCCTGACCACTATTTTCAACGCCGCAAGCAGAAGAACTGTTTTCAAGTCCATCTTCCGAAGTCGATTGTTTGGCCAGAAACCGGCGGAGAGTGACGTTTTGGATTAAAGGACGCAATTCCTCCGCTAAATCTTTTCGTTTCCGTTCATTTAAGTTCCGTTTCGCTTTGCGGTCACCAATGTCTAGGCGAACACGGTTCAGCCACCTCTGTGTTTCACTGTGCAGCTTCAGTGCCCACGAATCCAAAATGGCGCCCAGGGCTCGTAAAAACGCGAAGAGACTACTCCGCAAGCCGTCGTCGGCAAGCAGCAATGGCGACCCTGGCCGCAACGCTTCAGCCAGTAGTTCTGCGGCAAATTCTCTCTCCTCCTCCAGCGTTGGGCCTTGTTTTCCTCCAACAGCACCATTTGTAGCATTCATGGAGGCACGGCAGCCGGCAGCTCCACCCAAACTTCTTCTCCCATTTCCAGTTAGTAAGGCACAATCGAAAGCTCCTTCTGCCCAACGAAGAGCAGACGTGTCGTTTTTGCTTCGTTCCGCAAATTCTGAGGCGAAAGTTGTCTTAACTTCTTGATTCCCAGATCCGGGACTCAACGCTTGTAAGGCGTTGCTGAATTGTCGCAGGAGTTCCCAGCCGGTATTCAACTCCGGTATGATCTCCTCCCTTGCGCATTCAAGGTATGCAGCGATCTCACTCTGTGTCTCTACCAGCGCCTCCTGGATTCGCATCGCGTGACGCACGTCTGTGACATAAGTGGGGCTCGCAACACTTGCAGATTGCAGATCGCGCATTGCGCCATCGACTGCCGACCGCCGTTCCCGCAAACGCGGCAACAACGTGCCTCGCAACCGTGCTTGAAGCTTCTTCCCTGGCAGGAGCTCAAAATCGACTAACTGTGCGATCACCTCGTCGCTAAAATCCGCTGCGTTCACTGCATTGTAGTAAGCCACGCGCAACTCTTCCAAGCGTCGTCGCGAAAAGCGAGGCCCCTTACTTGAGGACGCAGGAGTTCTTGATTTGTCAGCCAAAAGATGATCCGGGACCTTCTTGTCAGCCAGCTCGGTTGAGGATTCCTTTTGCGCCAGGCTCAGTGATGTCAACAAGGTCGTACTGGAGGCTGCAGCCTTTTCGTCGCCCGTTCCGACGCTTTGAACGGGTTTTCTATCTTGTGAGGACCCAAGCTTGGCATCTTCGTCCTCCGAAGAGGATAGAAATCCCTCATGCCGCTCTGCGTCCTGTTCGAAAAAGAACAGAATTTGGTCCACTTCTTCGCGTTTTTCCACAAAGGTCTGTCCATCTCCCTCGCCGCCCTTTTGCGCGCCGAAAACGTCGACCCCCAAAACATGTTTCGCGAAAATAAACATTTACTCAAGTAGAACACCAGTTACGGTTGCATCAAGCGCAAATTATATAGAAGAACAAAAAATTCTTACACCGAGTTGCGATCTCGACATGAATGTCGCGCACTCAACTTTATTGAGCTTCACTCGTATAGAACAGCTTTTTAGTTTGTAACTACACTAGCTCCTTAATAAAGTAATAGGCCACACTCACAGCACCTGAAACTCCTGACGTTGGAAATAGAAAACAGAGGCAAGTTCTAATACCACTTCGTCAGCAATTGGTCAGTGGATCTCGAGTCAAGCTTGAGTGCGAAGCAACAAAAAAATGTTCTCCAGCTTTCTCCAGATCTTCCTGCATGCAGACCGACACATGCTTCCTACATGCGATCTCTGTGAGGAAGTCGTTCTTCCACCACATAAAATCTAGCATTCAGACCCGATGTACACCCGCGGTCTTAGGCGACAGGGGGTATCTCTTATGGAGTACGTTAGCATCGATCGATGGGTGGTTAATGTATCATTTCTAAACAGAATTCAAATCTTGAATATTAGTGTGTGGAGTGTGACCTTCAGCATATTTCTCGTCACGAGCATAGGTCTTTTCGTAATGACGGTAGCGAAGCAGCTGCAACAATTCTGGGATTCAACAAATTTTCATGTGATGAAAGGGCAAAACTCTTCTCGATGACAAAGGCTCATCGCATCCAACCCGATGAACTTAGGCGATGTACTTCACGTAGAGCGCTAGCAGTGTCGCCAAAACCAAAGCGTTGAAGGACAGCAGCAAAAAGTAAGGATTCAGTTGTACCGCCACGGACAGCGTGTGTGCATATTCAAGGAAGAATACGATGGTCTGGTACATCCGCGCCAGAATAGGGTAGCCTTCGATGGCATTTCGCATCAGGACGTCGAGAGAGCGCAGTGCGTGCATGCTCTCTAGCATTTCTGTTGCCTCTTCACTCGTTGAGACAAACGCATTTGCAACGAACTCTTCCGCCAGTCGCCGCAGCCCGTAAATGAAGAAAACGCGATTAGCAAGTGCATCGCGGTAGCGCCATACAAGAAACGCCAGAACAGCGACAAATACTTCCCAGAAGTAGGTGACGAGTAAGTAGCCAAACAATAGCTTCTCCTTCGGAAACACGCTACGTGCTTTCACAGGTTCGTCTACCGGATCCACTTTCTCAGCTACTTTCCCCGTGCTTTTGAACAAAAAGCGTCCGAAGCATTGCATGAAGAAGGGATTGGGTTACGAAAATGACCGAAATCCTCACTTTTGATACCATGATTCATTTTATCTGTGCCTTCTTAAGGAGAATGCAAAGAGTATGAAATTTTTGTCGTTAACGCATCATCATTGTATTTCAGTGTAGATTTGGATTGTGGCCATATCCTGTTTCGCAGAAGAGACGAGTTTCACCAGGTCGTCGTTGTCATTGTGGAAAACGCTCTTGCTCAAAACCAGGTCCAAGTTGTACTCCACTTTTTCAAATTCGATAAGCAAGCCCACAAGGCGCTCTTTCAACTCGTTAAACTGTGCTGGCCTGCGCTTCTTCACCTCTGACATCAAGTTGCTGTTAAAATGCTCCTGCAGAATCAGAGGGGTGTGCGGAAGATCCAAGTCGAAAAGAAACTTCTCCAATGCCCCAGATTTGAACCATAAGGACTGGTGGGAAAAGAAGAGACCGCTCTCCAAGTCAGTTGCACTTGTCACTGTTCCTTTGATCCCACCACTGCTACTACTTGCATTGCCTCCTCCCGCGCCACTCCCACCACCTAGTGCGGACGTTGACGAGCTAGAGCTAGTACTACTTGCGTTTGCGTCGCCGCCAGTTTTTGCCGCATTGTCCACGAACATTGCGTTCCGTTGCATGTTTTTGCCAAAAAAGCGTAAAAATGCAAACGGCGCGACCTGGCGCAGACCAAACTGCAGCGCGGCCTCGCGCAGAGCTGGCGCATCTCGCTCGTCGGCGAAAACCCATAGATCTGCCCAATTGTGGTCGGAGAGGTTGCCTAGCAACGCATCCTCACTGTAAGTGCGCAAGACAGCCGCCTTCACCTTGTCCGCGAACAGGAAGAGATCCATGAACCATTGCACCCTACGACGAGGACTCCACAAAAATTTCGTGCGATAGACCTCAATCTTATCTAACGCAGCGTCCGTGGCCTCAACATCGATACCTGACGACGACGAAGCCGCGCTCTGCTTGTTTTCCTGAAACAAATTATTCAGTGAAATGAAATGAGGTACAACACTACTAACCCTGTTTTCAGTGAAAAGGAAATTAAAGATTAGCGGAATCACTAATAAATATCCTCGTCAACTGCGTAAAAATAGCCAAGTAGCTTCAGTTATGAGATTGCTTTTCTGTAGTCTCAAAAAAAACCAATATAATCTAAATTGTGCGTTTAAATCAGTTCACGCTACCTTCCCGATTTCTGTGTAGATGTGTTCGAGGCTCTGCCAGAGCTCCTCGCTTCCGTAGAGAAAGTGTTCCAGGGAACTGTTTTCGTCTTTGTAGAGCGGCGGCCGCAAGTATGGCATAGCAATGTCTGCGAACTCTCTGGTGTAGAGAAAACTCAGGCCTGCCAGCACGATGTCTACGGGTACGTCGGACAAGTCCAACAGGTAGTAGCGCGCCTCTGGGGTGTCCGCATCATCCTTCTCGGTCAAGATCGCGCGATGCAACGGTGAGCGCACTTTCCCGCCGTCCACACTGCGCTCTATAAGATTGACACCGGTGCACTCCCCAAGTAAAACTGCTGCGTGCGCGGCCAAGAGCGTCGTGTCCTTGCCGGTGTCGGCAAAAACTCTGCCTCCGTACTCCGGTGGGCAGTACTTCAAATCGCCACACTGAACTAAGCAATTAAGGCCTCGCCACCCGCTGGCCTCGTCGCGCAGCTGCTGCAAAATATTAGGCTTCCTGCTGCGCGGACTGCGCATGTTAGCCTCACGCAATTGCAGCGCCTTGTGGTGCTTCACGAAGTCAGCGATCTGAACATATTATTAACAGCTTAGTCGAATGTCGTGGGTGTGATGTCATCGTAGTATCATAGATAACAAATCACGAAGCCACATTCTTGTCTTAAAAATAGACTGCTAGGAATAAACATCGCAGACAATCACACCAAAGAAAATTGCAGACCTTTGCTCGCTCGAAGGTCTGCAGGAAGAGACGACGCAGCGAGGAGCGCAAATCCGATGGCGCAAGTGACAGAGGTGCTATCTTGCTCTCAGCTGGTGCACTTCTGAGATCAAGAAAATTGACAAGACGCTCTAAGCCTAGCAACGTCGCGAGGCCACGCAATTGCTCGACTTCCGAGGAGACAAGCATGCGTCCCTGCGCACGTGTGCCGTCTGGTCCCGACTCCTGTTCCAAGATGTATGCCTCATGGTCGACATCTATCAACTCGAACTCCAAGGCGTCGAGATAGACAAAGTGCAGAAACACAGTCACGACCGCCTCACTGAGCGCCGAGATGGCTGGCACAGCAGGAACGTTATTTTCCGCAATTTTGGGTCGCTTGCCCTTCGACGAGCCTTCTTTCGAGGCTGCTTTTCCCACACTGCGTGATAGACCTTCCGAGCTGCCGGCTTCCGACTCATCTTCCGACGATGTGAAAACGACGTCCTTCTTCGCTCCGCCCACAGGCGAGGACGGCGGAGAGTCGTCGATGCTGAAGTGCTCCGCACCTGCTGCGCCAGCCCGCGATACCGCAGAGACTGCACCCATGACGTAAGGATCATTTTTGCGCCCCGCCTGCAAAAGCATATCACACAGCGTTTCCTCCTCAGCTTCGACTAGTTCCGAGCGAGTGACAATCTGGTCTGAGACCCACTCCCACGCACCTCGACTCGCGTTGGGTCCCGTCAAACGCGCTTGCAGAATCGCACTGCAGATAGGGACGTTGCTCCCGCGACAGTGAAGGAAGCCGTCACAGTAATCCGCTTTTCCATTAGCCAGGTGTCTGAGGAAAGAAGTCTCGCATCTTGCTAAGCCGACAGAGTGCCATCCTCCAGCTGTGGCGCTCTCGCAAAAAAGCAAAGGGCAGTCTGGTGTAGCGTTCACGAGTCGCGGAACCCAGAAGAGCTCAGCTCGTCGCTCTGGATCTGCTGATATGCGTGCCGCTCGAATCCGCGACATACGATCACCTCCAGGCTGAAGAAAAGACGAGTTCTTTCCGCCGGGACTGCTTGCTTCTTCGCTTCCACGAGGCTTCACTGAACTGCTTGCGCCGCTGCGCAGCATCAAATTTGTGGGCTCCATTGTTGCACTGGAACTAGAAGGAGCTGCTTTTCCTACCGCGAAACCCAGTCCGCCGGTGCCATTCGGGCCACCTGGCGGCGTCGGATGTCCGCCGGCGACCGGACCGTAGTAGTGCTTGCGGTACAGGTCTGCTGAGCCGTCACTGGCGTTTCCGGTTCCTGAGCTCCCTGAGGAAGACGAGGAGCTGCGCATGAATTGCGATGACCCACTGGCCGTTGTGGACGAAGCCGCGCCTTTCCCAACCAGCTTGATCCCGTCGTTCGAGAAGACAACTTTATCTGTGTCGCTAATTTCCTGAAATTGCTGCTCCAGCCACTCATAGCCGTAGAGTTTTCCGTCTTTCTGAAGCTTTCTTCGCAACAGCTTCGTGAAAGAGAACTCCTCTTCACGCGCTACCTGCGTCGTGCCCCAATGGTACAAGAGCCCGTCCGAAGTGACTGCAAGGGAGTGCGCAAATCCCGCTTCAATATGCTGCACACTTTTCAACTGCAGAATGCCACGTGGCCGTGTCCACCAGAAAGGCACGGATCGCAACCGAAACTGCACTGATAGCGACACCATTTGACCGAAATTATCAATCCCGTCGAGATTTCCAAACTTCTCGTCCGTGCGTAATTCCGCAACTGCATCGGCAAAGAGGCCGTTCCCGCTCTGCGGGGTTACCTAAAAAGGGACGACATTAGCTTACATCATCGAAGTTGCGTCTTGAGAAACTTATCAACCTTTTAGTCTTAACTAGACCCTTATGTATCGTCAGTAAGCCCTGTCATTCTCGTCTGTATATCATAATGTAGTCAAGATAACTTTGTACTGGTTTCTTGTCTGCATTTTCCTTCTCGATTTTTGCGAGATAGTTCGCGTACTGCTTCATGTCCAGTTTTCGACGGCTGTAGGCTGCCGGCACACCGCCAACAAGAGCGTTCGGATTCGGGTAGCCATGTCCAGTAGCCGCGCCACCCAATCCTCCCCAAGAATAGACGTTGCCAGACACGTCTAGGGCCAAAGCGTGGGCGTCTCCTGCGCAAATTTGCGACAATAGCAAATTTTTCGTCGGCGACGCAAAAGCGAGCGTCGGCTCGTAACAGTCCATCAAATGGCCCACGCCCAACTGTCCCTTCGAATTCTCGCCAAACGCGTAGATTCGAGCGCCCGGACCTGTGCTGTCCTGACTGCTCAGTAGCAAGCCGAAAGCGCCGCCCGCAGCGATATCGACGATGCGCGCGTATTGGCCCTGGCTCACGTCAAGGGCACCGCCACCGCCTTGCTTCAGCAGCAAACTGACACTCTCGAGTCGACGCGGCCGTAGCTGTGCTCTGAAGCGCGTTCGGAATCCGAGTCGGCCTGACGCGGAGAGACCCCACGTAAACACCTGTCCGTCGGCCGAAAGTGCTACACTGAAGCTGCCTCCAGCACAGACTTTCACTAGTCGAGGCGAGAGCATTTGGAGTCCAGCGCGCGCGCCCCCAGAATTCAAAGCCTTAGTCAGCCACCTACGAGTGCAGCAAAAAAAGTTTTTGAATCCAGCAAGAAATACAGCTTTTGCTTACGAGGGTCTGTTGTCTAATGATCAGTAAATACCTCAGTAATCATTTTCGTTTCCTATTGTCGTCACAAGGCGATGTGAAATAAGATGTTAGACTTTAATGAAGGCGTGACTTGTATCCGAAGCAAGGTACTTCCCTTTCCTGCTGAACATGCCCCAACCAGTGACTTCGTCGACGCCGTTGTTTGCCAGAAATTTCAGGGAATTGGATGCGAAGCCGTAAAACTGCTTGACCAGTGTTGGTTTCTGCACCGTTTGCGAGACACCCACACCTGTTGCGGGACCATAGCCCCAAGAGTACAGCCGGCCGTGTCGCGTAATGGCCAAGGTGTGAGCGCCGATCATGTCGCCCCCGCAGCTGACATGCACGATTTGCAGTTTGGCTTTTGGGAACTTGAGGATTCGCGGAACGTAAGTTTCTGAGCCTCGCGCGAAAACCTCGTTTGCCCGATTGCGTCGACGGCGCTCGCGTCTAGCACGCCTGCGTTTGAGATCGGACAGTTCGCTGTACTCCGTCTCCTCTGCTGCCGCAACCTCCGAAATATCGAAATCTGGATCCTCATCTCCCGAATCGCCTTCTTCACTGCTACTATCGGTGAATGCGTCCTCTTGGTCCATGCCCAGGCAGCCTGTGACGTTGCTGCCGAAGACAAGGACATCCCCGGTTGCAGTCGCGCAGGCGGAGTGGTACCAGCCACACGACACGGAACCGAAAGTGCGTCCTGTATCAAAAAAGCGACGAACAACTTTCTAGAAGAAGATATCAACGAACCTGTTTTTCTGAACTCGGTAGCAATATGAAAAGCCGCCGGGAATAACAAAACCATTTTCGCAAGTATCAGTCTTTCGCTTGCCTCAGTGACACAACTTTCAACCGAGCACAAGCCCAAGTCGTAAGTACCATTGCAAATTCCTCCGATCTTCTGCGGATTTGCATAGTCGTCTAGAGAACCGTGGCCCAAGCGGCCATAGGCACCAGAACCCCAAGTGAAGATCTCCTGAGACATTGCAACGTAGCACTGCGACTAGTACTTTGGTAATTTTTCACATCTTCAATGAAGCTTGTAAGATACTTAGACCATTTACTCGGAGTGGCCATACGCATGCGAAACAAATACGTAAAACTATCGTGTACTTGACTGAGTTCTTCCATGCCATCACCCTCGTTTCGTTCCCTTGATAGAGCAAAATCTAGGACATGCTCTCGACCGATGAGTGAAGTTCTTACAGAAACTGTAACTGAGACATTGTCCGTATAAAAGTTGATGTCCTTCTCTTACACTGTTTCCCGAGTTCCTCCACCCGTCATCTCTCACTTCCCTCGGTTTGTGACCGCAGACTCTGATTTGCACCGATCCCTTCTAGCTAATTACACTAGAGCTAGTTCGTTAGCAGTTTACTCGCGTCTGAGATCTGTTGCCTGCCGCTCGCCTAGCCGTTCAAGGCCTGCATCATCCACAAACCACAGTGAAAGCGTTTGTCCTTAAAGTAAAACACACGTGTCAAAAGATGATCATGTCAGGAACGGTTTTTACCTAGTCCTTTGCTCTCTTTATTCAGTTCGGCGATTTATATACCGCAAGTGAGGACGCGGCACTCGAACTCGTGCTCTTGTACAAAAAAACTTGGCATGGGGAGCCACACTAGAGTTTGTTATACCTTGTTGGGGAAGGATTCTCATTTATTTCTTGGAGCTATGACTATGTATTGTACATGAAATATGGAAACAGGGACCATTTAAAGAATTCACTATGTGCCCGATGAGCATAAAATGCGCATGAATTTTATGCCTCAGACGATGAACGTCACCTATCGCTAGCTCGTCAGCATACCCCGTCGCATGGATGCTGACCCCTGCGATTGAAAGCCATCAAAATGCACTGTGCCGTCTTTCGATGTCGCACCTGCGATAAGCTTAGTTGGCGGTTTCACATAGGAGAGCCACTTTTCGGTTTTTGACATCTTTCGTTTGGCTTCCCCATAAGCTCGAGTCCACTCCTGGATCGAGCCAAGCTTCAGCTCAGAGGCTCGGGCAGCGTTTAGGCGTCGCTCCTCGTTCTCCAACCTTTTTATTTCTGAGGAACAACCCTCAATCTGCTTCTGCAACTGCTCTATCTGCTGAGTCTTTCGCTGATAGTTCGAAGCCTGCGTCAAATCGGGCGGTGTCTGGCCTGTTGCGTGCATTCATGAAACGGAATAAGTTTGACTTCCGTAGGATCAAAAATATCATGAATATTCATGCTGAAGCTTTATGAGGAAAATTCGGTACAATATTTGCCTAGAATCTATATCATGCTCATTCTTCTTTGCCTAAAAAGTCATATCAGAAGCTGGTCAAAAGTACCATATTCTATCTGTCCTGGCTGCTGTGAGAGAAAAACGGCGACGCGCATTTTTCGGATATTCGTCGTCTGCGTTTTGTTTGCTGAAGGATGGCGGAATGATACAACAAATTTCACCAGGATAAATATACTAGCTGTATTTGAGGAGTCGTAAGTTCTATGTCGATTTTCATGGATAATAACCTTTCTTGTAATAGCAGAAGTTGTGTAACTCTAATAAAATCATGTCCTTGTCGTAATGACGCTGCAGACACAATTGCTGGTAGCAGAAAGATGGAGCATACTAACCTCAGGTGTATCTCCCAAAGGAAGTACTCGACTTTGATATAATCAATACCTGGCTTAAGCTCCTCATGCCATTGCTGAGCTGCTTCCCTCTGTTGGCGAATGAGATCTCGCTGCTGCCGCTTCACCTCCGCTATCCGCCTCTGATTGGCGCTAGGATTCTTTCGCAACGATTCGATGTCCATCCTCTTTTGTAAAGCCTCGTGCTACGGAACGGAGTGATGATCTATATTATAATTGTGTCAATGGCAGCTTAAAATATTCATAGTAGTTGGAGGCAAACCTCAAATAAAAGATGAAGTGCCATATTCAAGAAGAATGACGCGCTAACTTGTAACAACGCTAGAAGAAGCTAAGTCTAGGAAGAAGTGAATTCTCTATGCTGTATCGGGCAAATGATATTAACCGATAGGTTGAAGTAAGAGGCGAGCTGTGTATCCAGGTTATCTACTCTTTCTGCAAGATCAGCTGGCTTCAACTTCAAGATTAACACCTCTCTACGCCTAAAGCTACGCAAATGAAACCACAGCAAGGTAAGTTCTCACATGAAGTAAAGCGAAGTCTTCAACGAGAAAGCAGGTTAGCAAGCTACAGAGGAAGGGAGGCAAAATGTGATCAGCTGGTCCCTAATATATTATTGAGGAGACAATGTGACAAAGTTATAGCGGTCTCACACCGATTAGTGTCCGATGCCTGCAGCGCTCACAGAAAAGCATGTCCTGAATCAGACTGAGGACCTCGTAAGACCGAATGTAGCATGACAGAAGTATTTTGTGCTTGCGACCTCACGTGTTCATGCCCTCATCCAGGAAATGAGGAGAACAGAATCCAAAATCTCTACAACCTATCATGCTCGCGTGCTCTCTTGTTGTTCGCACCACCCGAAGAACTCTCCAGAGGTACATACGCTCGTGAAAAACACAATAAAAGTCTCTATAGATGAAGCTATTTCCTCACCAGCGCAGGTGCACGCAAATGAGGTACTTACCAAGTCGCACTGTGGTTGTACTTTGTCTGTGCATTAACTCTCAAGATAAGCTTACTCTATCTAGCCTCTGTTTCTGTTCAAACTTGACTTGACTTCACGCAAAACCAAGGACGCAAAACCTTGCTCTCAGAATGTCTCGTGCAACTGAAAGATTAATACTTTTTCTAATCGCCCTGAAAAAACGACAGAAAGCAGAAACTTTTGTCCGATGTCCATTAAGGAAAAACACACAACCAATTTGTCGTTAGCATGACAACTACTTCAAATAGATAGTTAGACTCGTCGAAAAAGAAAAGATGCACAACCTCTTCACTACAATCTATGTAACATGTGTCCAAAACTGAGTTTTACGCGTATGAAATGATATGAGTATAGTGTATGCATAGCTGTTCTCAGGAACTAAATATTTTTGTCTGAATTAATAAATCAGGTGATAGTTTTGTTCATTCTCGCAATTTACAGAAGATGTTTGTACAAGTGAGTATCCCAATTATGGTATGCATGAGCTCAAAATGTATCGCGAAGTCATCAAAGACAACATGCATTTTATGCATCAAAATCATAGTTCTGCTTATCGTGGTACTCTGTCAACGTATAAATGGATGGGATTATTCTTTTGGTTAACGTGTGGAAATTTACATGATGGATGTTTATTTGCGGGAAGATGAAGTATAGTCTCATAGTCGAACGAGGGAGTGAAAATGCTTAATGCGCAACGCATGACGCGCGTCTGCCTTTCTCACAGGCGTGGTCTATCTTGAGAATCTGTGACATGGAACTGAACGTTTTTTCGCGTCGCTCCCGTTCCGCCACCACCGTGCATTGGTGGTGGACACAGAAAAACCTCCTCTGGTCCCGCCGATGCTTCCTCGGACGCAGTGGCCACGCTATTGTCGTTCAGAATCAAAAGCTTGGTTGGCGAATCTTTATTCCAACTGCTTTTCCGCGGATCAACGCCGTCGCCTGTTTGAGGAGGAAGACCTTCTTGATGTCCTGTTTTCATAGGTGAGGACGATCTCCTGCTTGATGAAGATGATCTCGTCTGACGCTCAGCGACAGCACCATCTAGTTCTGCACCATCCAGTTCTGCACCGGAGGAACCCTCGTCTCCGTTGTAAAACGCGAGTGGTCCATGTTGAGAGTTTGTCGAATTTTGGTGGCTTGCACTCCCTGACCGCGCACGTATTGTCGGAACTGCGCCCGCGGTGCTAGGACGTTTCTTTTTCAAGTTTCCCGGGTGCGGAGGCACGTAGCCCCATTCCCGACGATGGCCGCCTTGCGGACCGTCCCGATTGGAGGATCCCTTACTGCCACCTAACTCCGTATCCGACATCGAGGCGTCGCTGTCCTTGATAATCTGGTCCACTCTTTTCATGTCCGGGTAGTACAAGACGCGCCCCGACGTGTCGGGCAATATCTTCCGCAGTTGAATCTCCTCGTGATCTACATCCTTCTTCCATGCGAAGGCCTGCCGTCGTCGCTCCTCTTCAGACGTTTCCGCGTGGTTGCTCGGATGCGTGTTCGCGTCCGAAGCAGCGTCCTGATCTACTGATGACCCAACTGCTCTGACTTAGAGATCGTCATAACAACTTTTCGTGCACACACAATGCAGACAAAACAGTTTCAAAGAATCAAGTCAGAAACAATTACTTCTACAAGCGCAGGAAGAAAACTAAAACCGTGGCTGTTAATCTGCATTCATGCCATAATGGGGATAGTATTGTTGCCCGCTCTGCTGTGCTGCACCTCGATTTCTTAAGCGGTCACGCGCCAGGCAGCTGTCGTTTCTACGGGCTTTCATTCGTTCCCGCTCTAAAGAGGTCATGGGCGCAAGCCGCAACAAAGGCACACCTTGCCATGCTGAGACCCGACTAGGTGGCTTCTTTTCTTCTGCTGGCTTTTCCTCAGCGTCTGGTACGTAATGCCGCGTCGGTATTGCGAAAGCCTTCCCAAACAGCACAGGTCTGGCGATACCCGGTGTCGAGCGTGAGCGGATCAAGCCGCCGACTCCTGCCCCTGGATGTGCCGACGCAGGCCGTCTGCCAAGACCTCCTCCTGAAGAGTTCACTGCGTTTGAAGACCGATCACCATCACCTCCACCATCCGCTTGATCTCCATCCTTATCCCCGAAGAAAGGCTGCTGCCTGCCACCAAACGTCTGCGGCTGTTGCGCGCCCTTCTCGTTGAAGGTTTTCATCTCTGACTGTGCTCGAAAACTCGCGCTCTTTGGACCCGCATTGCCCATAGTGACACTCGCGCGCTCCCGCGGCTGGGCTCCAACCGTTGCCGTTTTCGCCTTCGAGTAAACGCGCTTATCTGGCCTTTTGCCGTCCTTCGGCAGCACTTCCGCGTTTCGACAGACCTTTTTATTGAGCGAAAACTTGATCTCGCGCTGCATACCGATCCAATTACTGTCGGACCGGTGAAATTGAGGCGGAACACTTGCCGGAAGCTGGTTCACTCGCAGGTTATTCATCGGAACTTCCGTGCCCAACTGAGAGTAGTTCTTGCTTGGAAAAGGGTCGCCCTCTTTCCACATCTCCATCTCCACTGACCGAACGTAAACCGGTATGCGCGCCTCGCGGTATCTACAAGGGACAAGATTTTGAAAGAGTGAAAAAATCCGTTTTGGCGATCACAGCCTTTTTGATGGTCATTCCGTAGAGCATATGTCTCGTCGCGCAAACTATTTTTGACAATGGTTGAAAATCAAACGAGAGTAGGTTCAACGGATATTCGTAGCCAACAGGCTGACTGGGATTAAGTACTCTCCGGCATGCGACTTCTGCCAGACGACGATGCTGCCAACGTTTTCCGACACGTAGTCTGGCCTTACCCGCACTACTCCTTCGATGAACTGTCCTTGGGCTATTCCCTCACGCGGACATCGATAGGTGATGGAAACGTACGTCGGCATGAGTCTGTAATCAGGCTCCATCTTGAAGCCAGCCTGGTGGTTCGTCAAGTTCTTCACCTTGATTTTGAAGTGCTTCGTCTCTCCGATGGCCACTATTCCGCAATCGATGAACGCCTGCCGCGTCTGTCCCGCGTAGTCGAATCGTCGGCGTCCCTCGGAAAATTTCACCCATTCACGCTGCACGTTGAGCCACAAAAACTTGTGCAGGCCAAACCGCTTCACGTCCAGGCCGTTTTGGTTAGCAAAGAAGTCCCAGTTCTCGAACCTGGATAGGAAATTCGAAATCACAATCATGACAAAGCTTACTTTCAGACGTACATAGATACTACCACGTAGTACGTGCTTCAATCATTCATCACAACAAAGAACATGATGAAATTTATTCGCTTACCTGGGAAGCCGTTTCGGCGCCTTCGTTAGTAACCATAATCGGCGCGCGACAACTGCGAAGTCACTAAGTTCGTCGTACTTCTGCAGGTGGTGATCGCGAAAACAGTCTCGCAAGTGGCTCTTCACACTATCCCACAAATGGAGCTTCATAAATGACAGCAAGGTCTGCACCCGTTTGTGCGCTACTGGAATCTTGTAGCGATATATCTGTTGATGATACTATTACGTAATAACAGAGGTTGATGGTTCATCCTCAGTTGCTTTTATCAGACATGGAACCACTACCACCTGAACTAGATGTTCTGATAATCTAAGAAGACATTATCGAGTACTTGTACTACAACTTGAGAAAAACAAATCAACGTAATTACTCCCTACCTCTTGCGCGCAGAGCACGATGAATTTGATGAATTCCTCGAGATTGAGCCCGATGCGATTTTGGGAGTCGACGTCCGGTCGTTTGTTCACGCATTGGTAGATTTGCGTCGCCTTGTACCAGTTCATGTAGTCGCAAAGCCGAAAATCCAGCCAAAAGTCCTTTATCTCGCGCAGCGTCAAGGAGTGCTTCCGCATGTCGTAGGGAAGAAAAAAGTGCGTCGCCTGTTCGCCGCTGTCGTACTCGTCGGCGCCTAGTTTGATCTGGAATGCCTCGACGTTCTGTAGAACTTGGTAGAGCCTTGCGTAAAAAACGAAGATCATCTGTAGGGTGCCCGGCTTGTCGCGCTTGAAACGCCCATCGTAGTCCGCTAAGTCTCCGTTGGGCCCTTCCTCTTGGTAGTCGCGCTTGTTGAAGTAGCACTCGATCTCCATCAAGTCTTCGCGTCGTGGAAATTTTGGACCTAGCTTCTCTCGCTTCGCGATCATCTGCTTGAACGCGTCATACTTTTGCGTGCTCTGCTGCTTTTCTAGGAGTGTCTTCACATCCTGCAATCTCCCGTTATGATCTAACGCGCGATGGTAATCATCCTTCTGAAGCTCGCGTGTGCGGTGCTTCGACAAGTTACCCTCCCGATACTGTACGTGATTCTCTCGCCGTCGCCCCCCATTGCCGTCTATCAATCGTCTCACGGCTACGGGCAACGCAGGCGCAGAGTCAGGTCGGATCAACTGAAAAAACAGCAAGAGATCACGGCTTCATGTTGACATATCGAAAGTGTGTCCGAAAGACGAACTACGCTTATATTTTCTGGTATAGAATGAGCACCAGAGAAAAACAGTTCCGAGGAAACTTCTAACAAGCTGACATTACTACAAGTACTACCTACCAAAGACATGACGAAGTAGTACAAAAAGGTCTAATGAGTCTACTTTTCGTCCTTCGGGCGGACCCGCAGGTGGTCGAATAGGGCTTCGCGGAGGAGACCTCACAGAATAATCCCCACTGTAGCTATCGATCTTCGGTCGATCGGAGTTATTCAGAAAGCCCAAGGACGACAACGTGTCGTCACCGAAAAAATCATCAGGATCGGGTGGTTCCTGATTATCTCCGCTCTCAGAGCGCATACTACTATTTACACCACCGTCCACGTCGAGCTCCGATCGCAAGTGGCCGTCCTGCTGTACAGCTTTCCCTCGCGAGCCTGGGCGTTGCTTCTGCTTCGTTGCATTTTCAAACATCTGCTGTTCTTGTGCTGCCGTAAAGCTTCCCCCTGATGAAAAGGAAGCACCGGTGCCCTGCTGCTGCTGCTCGTTGTAGTAGTGGTATATTCTTCGCACGTCATCATCTGACGAGTATTCTTGCTGGCTCTTTTTCCCAGGATATTGATCCCTCGGCTTCGGCGTTGTCCCTGGCGGAAGCGGTACGATGTGGTCCTCTTCCTCCTCTTCGTCGTTGGTGGTCGCAAAGGTGTCACTGTAGTTGTGCCGCCGCTGGTTCGCCGCGTAAGGAGTGCGCAAGCCCGCTTCGTCTTCGAGCCTTTTCTCGGCTGCATGATCTCGACTCCGACTCTCTCCTTCGCTGAAAGTGTTCAGATTCACGTCATCAGCGCTTGCACTCACATCCGCCTCGTGGCCCGCCCCCAAGGGTTGCTCCTCGTATTCCTGAAACGAGGGCAGCGCAGGCTCCGCGAAAGCTGCTGCTGCGATTTTACCTGCATCTAGCACAGACGTGCTCATTAGCGTAACCGAGTAGAGGTCATGCACGACTTCAGCCTCGAAATCTTGCTCCGCCGAGCCATCGTGGTCGTTGTAGAAGTGGAACGCGGCGTTCCGCCCGCCACCCGCAGGAGCGCCTCCCCCATGTAACGGGCGCGCGAAGGATCGTTGATCTCGCGCTGCACCGTGAGACGGTCCGTCCGCTGAGTCCAGCAACGTCCGCAAGTTGCTCGGCACTGCAGGCGCCCGCCCGCTAGGTTCTGTGCTCGATGATGCCGGCATGATGATTTCACCTCTTCCTCCTTGCAGTCTATTACGCGTTGTAAGCGAATACTCTTGACGCACAAAATTGCAGTGAGCCGGCTTCCTGCTCTTTCGTGGCTCTCATTGTCCGCGAACTCTCCTACTGAAGTCACAATGGGGTGTATTGTTGATTCGATATGGATACGCGACAATACCCTATCTTTTCGTCAGGGACCTGCTGGTGCTGCTACTATTTATTGCCTGGGTCAACAATGATTCCACGCCATGGCCATCAAATAGAAAAAACACTGGAAATTACGAAAGGCTCGCCACGTTCACTTATTTCAAATAAATATGACTGTAGAGGTTAAAAAGAAGAGCTAGTGGCCGCATCGCTTAGGCAGTGACCGCATCAGGTAAGCACCACTTAGGCGAGGCTTCGCTTAAGCAGTGACTGCAGCACCTGAACACCACTTGGGCGAGGCTTCGCTTGAGTAGTGACCGCACCAGTTAAGCACCACATACGAGAGGCTTCGCTTAAGTAGTGACCGCATCAGCTAAGCACCTCTTAGGCGAGGTTTCGCTTAAGCAGTGACCGCATCACCTAAGCGCCGCTTAAGCGAGGCTTCGCTCAAGTAGTGACCGCATCAGCTAAGCACCCCTTAGGCGAGGCTTTGCTTGAGCAGTGACCGCATCACTTAGGCACCACCTCGTCCTTAAGTAGTGACCGCATAACTTAAGCACCAGTTGAGCGAGGCTTCGCTTAAGTGGTAACCGCATCCACTTAGGCGAGGCTTCTCTTAAGTAGTGACAGCATCACTCAAGCCGCACTGTTTGCGCAGCAATCAGGCAGGGCGCCGCCACGGGGCGAAACCGTTGAGGGCCGAAACCGTTGAGGGCCGAAACCGTTGACGGGCGAAACCGTTTAGGGGCGAAACCGTTGAGGGGCCAAACCGCTGAGGGGCGAAACCGCAAAGGGGCGAAACCGTCAGGGGGCGAAACCGTCAGGGGGCGAAACCGTTAGGGGACGAAACCGCTGAGGGGCGAAACTGCTAAGGGACGAAACTGCCACGGGGCGACACCCTCAAAGGGCGAAGCCCTTAAGAGGCGAAACCCGTAAAGGGCTGAAACCGCTGAGGGGCGAAACCGCTAAGGGGCGAAACCGTTAAGGGGCGAAACCGTTAAGGGACGAAACCGCTAAGGGGCGAAACCTTTAAGGCGCGAAAACGCCAAGGCGCGAAAACGCCAAGGCGCGAAAACGCCAAGGCGCCGAATCGTTAAGGGGGGAAACCGTTAAGGGACGAAACCGTTAAGGCGCGAAACCGTTAAGGCGCGAAACCGTTAAGGCGCAAAACCGTTAAGGCGCGAAACCGTCAAGGGGCGCAACCGCTGGGACGCGCAACCGCTAAGGCGCGCAACCGTCAACAACCGCTACGCCACATCATGAAGAAATTACGAGGCGGGAATGCACGAATAAAGCAATTTACCAAAGACACATGATGCACGTACGATTTATTACATCAATCTGCTAGCTCATATGACTGCATGGACGAGACACTGTTTAGGAAGGAATAATTATTGTGTGGGGATGGGATATGAAATCTCCATGTCTCTCATCCACATGTTCTCATCGTCAATGACCCAAGCACCATCAAGAGATTTTATTTTTTCCACAGATGCTTGCGTCCGATAGTCGTTCAACTAGAGCAGAGAAGTAGGACAGATCCAAGAACAGATGTACTAGCCAACCGATTTCACACTCTTCATCGTGTGACTGATGTCACTAACAGCGTCAGCTTAAGAAGTGAGTAAATCTGAGAATTCAGTGTTGTTATCAAAAGATTTTCATCAAGAGATCAAACTCATGACACCCTTGTGAATGATCGGGATCACTTCTGACTGAACTTAGAGAACCGATGGAATGACATTTTCACGTTCCCAACTCACGACAGCACATGTTTCCAAAACTGCTGCGCTAACACCATACTGCTTTGAAAAGCCTAACTCACCTAACGAAGTGAGTATGCTCTACGACGAAGACAGCATCCTACTAAAAACATCATCAGTCGTGAATCGAGCGCATGAACTTTCATGTTCAGTGGCGGGAAAAGTCAGGGTTTCCGGGATGCGGAGTTTCACGCTTCCATGATGGTTTGGCGCGTGAACTACTCGTACTATTTCGCTGTCGGGGTATCATAGGGGAGAGTGTTCGGCAGAATCATCGGTCCTCTGACATTTTTCGTCTCTTCCGTTCCTTCTTCTTGCGCTCATCCCGGTCTGGCTTATTTCTATGTTCTCTACTGGTTGCGCGGTCTACGCGGTCTACACTGCTTCCTCGCTCTGCGCCTGCGCTTGAACTCGCACCCACTGCACCCAATATCATGAAAAAAGTGTAGGAATATACATGTGGAGATGAAGCGCTAGAGGGTATTGAACTATACACTTTCATCTGGAGAACAGGTTTACATGATTTTCAAGCACAAGAAGTAAGCCTAAGTAGTTGTACTTCTAGCAAATTTATTGGTCAATTTGATTCCTTTTCAAGCCTTGAGCATAAATGTTGCTGCTGCTGTCAACTGCGTCACTTGGAGCGATAGTTTTTCGTTTTCTTCATCCAGATGTTGGCACTGGGCTTGCGCATCCTGAAGCTTTTCGTTCAGTTGTCTTACCGTGCGCCTCTCATTTCCAAGCGCGATAAGAAGGTCCTGGATAGGTCCTTCGCTGATCTGTCTTCCTAAACTCTGGTTCTCCTCGAGCAGTGCTCTACACTTCTTCATCAGCTTTTGCCCAGATATACTGAAATGGAAAAAAATGGAAATGCTTATATTAGAGGTAGGTTTTTGTATTCGCTTCCCCCGCTTGCTATGCCTTTCTCCGTTAAGAGCGGCAAAACAAGCGGCAACGTGAACGCCTTTAACCTACCCTTCTCTATACATCTTGGTTTGAAAGAAAGCATTCTTAGTCCTTGTTGTAAAGGCACGCGGACGCGCTACCTTCGGAAGACAGATTCATTATCATCTAGAATAAACAAACGAGGCTAATATCAAATGTACCTTCATGAATGAAGAGTGCTATCAAAAAGTCAAAGCGCTCAGTGTTATTCAACTGCAGTAGAAAAAAGAAAAACCTTGTTGGCTTGAACTGCGTAGCCTTCAGCTCTTGCTTCAAACTGTCGATCTCGTCATCTTGTGCCTTGAGTTTCTGCCTTAACCGCAGTACCTCCATGTTAACGGCGGGATCGACCATCGCAAATCGAAGGGACGTTTTCTCAAAAGCGTCCTCAAATCGTGTCTGCACGTCATTTGCCACCTGCTTATACTTGCCGATTTCTCGATCTTTTTCCGCAAGCTTGGCCAAGTACACGTGCTCCCGCGTTGCCATCGCGTCCAACGTCGAAGCAAGAGAACCACCCTCCATCTTTTGGAAATTTTTCTTGTTCCAATAAAACTCAACAAAACATTGATCAAATCCAAAACGCTTGCTATGCTAATGATCAACGAATGTTAAATAATGTATGACACCTTTCTGTCCTCGATATTACTTTTTAAGTACATAGCCGCCTGTTGGCCCTTCATCTGTGATTTAGTTTAGCATGATCAAAAATAGACGTGCGTTGGGTCGGCTCTGTGCAAGAATCAGAATTAGGTGGCACCATACAACATAGCGCGATGATCCGTCAGCATTGGACAGCTAACCCATTTGAATTTTACCACTGTCTTCCAGATTCAGATCCTGGTGGTTCCAGACGGAGTCCGAGCAATACCGGATAATGCATTAAAAAGAGATGCCTTCCGACGTTTGGATAATGATAGTCTTTGAACACTTACGAGCTATGAGTTTTTGCTGCGAAACGAGACGCGACAGAAATGCTCGCTGTGCTACTGCTGGATGATAATGGGGACGACAGCTTCATAAACTCTCAGACATTCTTTGGACTTGTGGAGCATTTCAGGAAGTCATGTTAACATGCGTCGTGTCGCAGCATTTGATTCTTTTCATTTACTATTCTGCAGAGAGGGGATCACTCACAACTAAATACCATGGCGATAGCGCAGCTGCCTGCTGATGTCAAAAATCTTCATGTTCGCAATCTTGTCTAACTTGTTCTCTGCAACGGTGCTGTAGATGAGTGTGTATATGACAAGAAGAAAGTACTACTGGCTGGCAATCAACATGACGTTCATTTTTAGCACTTAAGCAGCATGCTGCTCCCAAGTTTTGCGATTTGAGCCATAGTGTTGCCGTCCTTTTCACCTCCTCTAAGGGTAGTTGTGCTCGTACAACTCTGACAATCTTACATATGAGATTGAACCCTTCAGGAAGCGGAAGGTGGTATTCGAACATGTTGTAACTAATACTATATTATCCCTCCAAATAATAGCATGTGTAATGAAAACCAATACAGATTAACTCTATGAGTCTATGATCATCACAACAGTTTCTATATATCTTCCAAATTCTACTAGAAGTGTTAAGTACAAACATTGATAGTACATGAAGAATACAACAAGAGCGCAAGAGTGAGTACTTACTATGCACAACGGGAACCTATGCAGTTTCAACATCGTCGTATCCTACCTCTGTTCAAGAACCCGTAATTTCTTGTAGATCAATATGGGCGATATCGATAACGAAGGATGAAAACTCAAATGGCGAAAATTAAGATGGCATTAACATTCCTCTTTTTTCTCTTATACACTCTATATTCTCTAACCTTGTAATCTTCGTAGGTGTACAACCATTAATTGGTGGGTCCCCGCACGCAAGTACCAGGCAAACAATACTGTCAAAACGAAAATTGCGTGTTCGGGGGATTCAGGTTCTCACATTGTGGTGGCGAGAATGTCACACGTGCAGCCCTGTTAACTAGGGAGTGCCGTCACGAGGCCACTGTTCAACATTAGCCATGCAGACACATGCGCTCATGCACAATCCTGAAAAAGTGAGCTGTTTTTGGAATGGTTGCGCCTAGGGGACTCGTTCACCAGAATTTATGAATGCGGTATGACATTACTTATCCCGGAAAGATGACATTGAGCGTGCCGTGACCATAACGAAGATGATCACGAATATATCCACTGTCAAAATGAGAGATAATCTTGCTTCAGCTTTTAACGATCAAAAATAATACATTTCAGCACAAAACAAGAGATACATTCATAGGAAAGAAGCCACTGTCTCCATGCTTAGTGCGTGGCTGCGGCAGCTCACGATATGATTCCCGCGAAAAATACCGTCCTTGGTGCGCCTTCCTCTGCTACCAGTACCCCACGTCTTTTTGATTGTAGTATCGAGTGCATCGAATCAAAGACTCCCCTAAATACTAAGCGACGGCATGAGTATTGCGGTAGGAGTGGAGAGTGGATTCATTCCTGGTTGTAACTGTAAGCACATCCTTATTTAAAAAAAGATATGCCTGGTGGAGTACATGAGATGGAAGAAGCTGTCACAATATTTCACAAATGTCACCCCATGTGGTCTAGTCTTTCCACATGATGATCCTACAGCGACTTTTTTCGTTAACTTCGTTTCTACAAAATAATTTCTTCAGCTGGTCTGTGTGGTGCCACGACTTGCCTACAACTTCACCATAAATGTGTGAACGACTTGCCTACAATTTCAACATGAATATGTTGATTTTCGCATTACTATGCCTGATGTAGTTGTTGACCATTCTGCTAACTCGACAGCCGGGATGTACAGCGAAGGATGGGTACTGCTTCACTCCGCAAAAAGCTGCGAAGCTCTTCCCGGGTGCGAGCATCCCCGGCAAGCTAGCTTCGGACGTACACCGGCGATTAATTTTTGAATAATCATGTTGATATGTCAATGTCAATGCTCTTTGTTGTTGACTTGAACTCACTACAAAATAAACTCGATAATAAACGTGCTATGTGAGATCGTCATAAATAAGCGCTTGCGGAAAACAATAACAATTTAAAAGAACAACGGTTACAGCAATGGTTTCAGATTCAATTCATTTTGTCACTTTTGCGTTGATGTAGGTGCAAAATTAAGACTTCGAAGACTAGTCTATTATTTCCGCTATCGATGATGAACAAAAGTACAATTGTTAGACAACAAGTTGCCTCCACAATGCTTCTATAATGATGATATCACTTAATAATTCTATTAACCCTAAATATATCTCGGGCCGATGATAATGCAAATAAAAATGGAGTGGTTGACGTGGTACTTAGTGTATACTTAGAGAGCAGAACAATAAGATGTAGTTGCACATCATAAAACGGAGTTCCTTAGACCACTATGAGAGATCGCTTAGCCTTTGGAGCATAGCGCGAAAATCTTCTTCATGCGGCTCTTTGGCTGTGGTGCCACTGGTGCCTTTTTCTCAGCATCTGAAAATAGGTTGGAATTGATAATTTTTTTTCATTCGCAGTATCTTGCCTACTTAGATCACCAACACTATGACAATCATCACTACGGACGACACTCCTATAATCGCATAGGACTTAGATAGCGGTGGAATTTCAGCGTATCATCAAGTCTATTAACGAAGAAGCATCTAAAACTGAGTAATGATGGATACCTGGTTTGTTCGGCGCACGCGCTGCGTTTGTCGGTGCGTTTGACTCGCCCGCATGAACATCGTTCGACTGCTTTTGGCGCAATATTGGTGTCCAATCGAACTCCTTCGGTTCCCGATCAAAACCTTCGGCGGCATATCGCTCTTGGAAAAGCCCTCGCAGATAGGCGTAGTCGGGTCGGTCCTGAATTAGGAATGGAGAAAATAATAGTACTTGCCAAGTAGGTATGTTCTCGCGGTACGACTACAGATAGATAAGTCAACTGTACGTGTTCATCATGTACAAGTGTCTTCTGACAAATAATCATGTAATAGGCTGGAATTATGTACCTGAAAGCGAAGCGAGCGCACGTACTGTAGGTACGTGCCGAACTCCTCTGGGATACCACCGCATAACACGTCTATCGGCGTTTCTATCTTCTTCTCCTTGATCTTGCGATACCTAATGAAAGATGCCGACATTGAATTGTGGTAATATCAAGTTGCTTAACCATCGTGCTGAAGCATTGCATTGGATAATCTAATTCAAGTTGGTAACTATCTCTGTTTCAGTTTCTCTGCTTTGCGCTACAGTTCTCCTGTCAAAAAGCCTCACCATCGTCATCATGCTCTTCATGACCTCCAAAAAACGGGAAACTGAATTCTCGTCGATGAACGCGATGAAATAGGTATCTATACATAGCTATCGGTAGTTGTACTTTTCATCCTTCGTTTTCGCCGGCAGGCCCTGCCACGGGAGGTTGCCACGCAGGAAATAAAACATCATATGCCCAATGGCCTCTAGATCATCTCGTCTGCTCTGCTCGACTCCGCGATGTGCATTGATTGACGCATATCTGAAAGGCAAGTGAAGCAAAGACTACGTCTACGCAAAAACATTTCTATATCAGAAGTAACCTATACAATCCATGGCTTTATTCTCATTATAGTAGAAAGCCTCATCATAGTGAGGACACACATCAAACTCAAAGTTTCATCATAAGAAGTAGAAGTATACCGTGCCGTTCCTGTGAGAGACTTGTTGTCCTTGTATGGTATGTGGTCGTGGGTGCGACCGTCGCAGTATTTTTTTGAGAGGCCGAAGTCGATAATGTGAACGGTGTTCTGCTTATCGGCACGGCCAATGAGGAAGTTTTCGGGCTTAATGTCGCGATGAATGAAACCGGCGGCATGCATGTCCTCTATCCTTGACAGCAACTGGTCCGCGACCAAGAGTCCGGTCTTCAAACTAAACTTTCCGCGGCACATCACAATCAAATCCTCCAAAGAGTACGACAGCAGCTCCATCACAAGCACGTTGTGTCTGAACAATTATGAGTAACGAACATACAACATCATAGTGTCTGCTGACTATTTTCATTGAAAAAGTACAATATGTCTGACGGTAATTGGTCTGCAACGGCGAAACGCTTTTTTTTGTTTTTCCTTGTTTTATTGACCCAACTAAGCATTTCTAGAAAAGGCATTCCAAATAAAGCGGTATTACCCGCCTTGCAATCCGCTGTAAAAGACCTTCGAGACTCCTTCATTCCCTCGCAGTATTGATAGCAACCGAGCCTCGTAGCTGGTGGATGGGATGAAGAAAGCATTTGATTTCAATTGTTGTTGTTCTACTTCACCAACATGGGATCTTTAATATAGCAAAGCAAACAACTACAACAAGCACTAGGCACCGAAGGAGTAGCTTCTTGGAAACTAAAAGTCCTCCTGAACGTCACCATAGCAAACAAGTAGTACGCTAGCTGCGGGTGTGCGGCCTTTATTCCTTCGACCTTGACAGCGACCTCTCGCGGCTCTTCAGGCCGCATATCTTGTGTCGCAAGGTAGACATCTCCGAAGGACCCAGCTGTGATGGGAGATAAAAAGAAAAAGCATCATGGAGCAGATGAAGTGGCAGACTTTGTGACGCCAATGAATAACTTCGTTATACACGACGTCGACTTAGAGAGTACCAAATGTTGAACATTAATCATAAAACTATTGGGAAAGGTAATGGGCGATACAGACTGTGACTCTACGTACGAATCTTCGTAGTCTAAACAATCGATATGAACTGCAAATCCACAAGAAAGGAGGAGAATACATCCTAATTTTTTTGAGATCTTCCAGACGATTCCGTTCGGGCCCTCCACGTCCGTGATTTGTTTTCCTTTACTCGATGACATTTTTTCCAATGGCGTGCCGGGAAGCACTTGTTTTTTCACAGCAGCGTTTATACCTGTGTCATGATTTTCGTAACGGAGATGCTCTACCTACTAGCGTTTATACACATGTCACAACTTTCGAAGATGGTCTGGTGATAACAAATAGTTGTACTCCTGCGTGAGAATATTGTTCACGTTCATGAAATAGAAAGTATAGGATAACCTCTAATTTTTACTTCGCATACCTAGTATGTGTGTGCTAATACAAAAAAAACAAGGACAAATACTAGTAGAGAAAGTTTTACCTCCCTGTCGCGCATCGGACATTGACTCGTCATAATTGCGTGGATTATAAGTCAATTACTTCAAGAAAAAACAAACGCCAGTCCGCGGGTCCTACCTTCAAAGATATTTGTATACCAAGATGTCAACTTATAATTGCCTTCTTCTGACCAAATTCGCCGAAAACCAATCTACGATATCTATCCTTAGATCAGATATCCTTAGATCAGATAGACGTCGAAGGGCTATTTATTACTGCGCTGTTTCGAAGATTTCTACACGAGTATGCGGGTGGTGAGTATAATTTGTGAGGGATGTGATTTACACTATGAACTCTTTAGTCAATATACTTATATGGGAGATGTGGTCCGTCGGGGATCATGAATGCTACGCGCCTTTCAGAAAACTAGAACAAGGTGATGTATTCGTAATCGTAGGAGAATGAGGGACCAAGGGCAAGGTGTGGGTACACGAGAAGAACTAAAGATCAAAAAAATTCCAAAAGACTAAGACAAGAATAAATCCTAATATGTTTGATCTGCGTCGAAAAATAACCAGAACTGCGTTATTGGAGTAGTTACGAACAGGTGGAAAAAAGGTTTTTCTGAATGAATGTTGGTGCAGGGGGCGCAACACTTTTTTCTTTCCACGAAATAAAAGAAGGACAGAATGAGAAGCAACTGCCTGTACCGAGAATGGTTCATAAAATGAGTATGCTTAAGAAAATTGGTCTGTGGTGAAGATACTCTATATAATAATCACCACCACGGTCGCTCAACATCTACGCTCACTCCTCATCGCGACCAGCACAAGCAACTCTCCTTTAACGACGGCCTACTTCTAAAGCGCTTTTGTTTGCACAATTTTTCTTCACGGGAAGATTTCTCTATTTGCGACGTTTGTCAAAACTCTCGAATACACCAGAGCACAGAGCAACACATTGCCAGAGAACCGACCAAGGCTGGACAAAACCGCTAGAGCTTTATTACGAAATCATTCGCACTCTCGGAAATAAACCTAGATAGTATGCTGTATAAATCGGTCCAGATCGTTGCAGAGTCACTCTCACACAGAATGCATCTTCTTACCTCCCGTTCTGATTTTCATACAGAGAGTCTCGTCAGAGAAATGCACTCTCAGCTAGTGTTTTGAACACGGAATCAGCGGAATCAGCTCGGGCGCAAGAACGCCTGTAACACGAGCTGCAGACGTGCTGTGGTACACACTGAGTGTTCCAGCAGTACGGTGATACTCATAAGCAGATCTAAGACAGGGGGTCATAACTCAACGGAAAAAACATTCGCCAGGATCAAAGTTGCTTCAATCGATGTCAATCTTTTTCAGAAATATCAAAGACATGAACGAGCTCATTCGCAATTGGTGGAAAGATGTAGTCGTAATTTGTAGGGTTGTAGATGATAAAAACTCCTTCACCATACGAGAGAAACATTCCTGCGTCGTGACCCTCATCTGCCGATTCGCTGTTTTGGTACCCTCATTTCGAAACTAGAAGGAGTCGCTCTCACCTCTTTCGCGGTTTTTTTGAGGCCTCATGCTTAATAGTAGTTCACCTGCACAGCAATGTGCAAGAATGTTTCTCAGACAACTAGTTCTTCAGTTCCACCATTGTGAACTGCGCCTTTGCGTCTCTCCTGCCAAGATACACCGCTCAGTCGTCTCGAATGGCAACGGGCTGTGCCTGCTCCGCCACCAGAAAGTCCTCCTCTTGCATTTTGCGCCACGCGTTATGCATTTGCTGATCGATCACGTCAGGGTCATCGGTAGCCATCATCTTCCAGTAGTCGTTTTCGAGTTGACGCTGCTGGCGGTGATCCACGTCCAAGAGGTGGTCGAACCCCCGTCTGTCAGAACGCACTACTCCTTGCGCCGTGCCGGCTTCCCTCAGTACGCTGCGCTCGGTACGCTGCTCCTGACCATCTTGCGAAGAGGTAGTTTCCACTTCGGGGCGCACTTCGACAGGTGTGCTCGCCCGTTCCGAATGAGACAGCGGATGGCGTGGTCCGCGGTATTTTCTAAACCCGCGTCGCGTTGGAGCATGCGCCGCGCGCCCCGACAGAAGGCCGCCACGCCGCGATCCTGTATCCCCTCCGATGAGGATCGGACCTTCGTCCAGCGTTGCGGGGCCACATCCTTGCTGGCTCCAGGCTACAAAAATCGAGAAAGCTATCAACAAGGGGACTCGAGGACAGCGCCGATCTGCTTCAACGAGGCTTCCACCCGGATCGCCCATTCTAAAGTCCTGGAGAAAACATGAAAAAAACGGCAGGCCGACATAGGACTGTACACAAGCAGGATAGTCGAAGGCATTCGGTTTTTGTATCACCGACTAATTCTCATGTGCAAACGCTCCACGCGCCCGCACCTCAGTGGGCTCTTCCCGCACCCCTCCGACCCGCAGGCAGGGCGCCCCCAGGCTTGTCTATAGCAGTCCCTAAGCATGAAAGCGTTTGCTTGTCGCTTTCTAGACTGGTCCCACCTTCGTGGCGCGCCTCCTCGGCGGCTGCGGCGCGCGGAAGTCCCCATGCCGGGAAGAGAGACGGCACAGCCGCAAAAGGTCCTTGGAGTAAGAGCGCCAACACCACCGGAAACGGGCACGGGCAGCTAGCGGTATGGATTTGCCGCGGCACGCGCGCAGGCCCCCAAGTGGGGGCGCCAGAAGGAGCGGGGCGAGGTAGGGCGTACCTAAAAATAAAGTCCCGCTTCTTCCGCCAGCGAGAGGGCTGCCAGGCCGTTGAACCAAGACCAGCTTAGGCGTGCCGCGGGCGGAGGGAGGGAAGGAGCGGAGAAGGCGCGCGAAAAGACCAAGAGGAGAAGCAAGAGAGAGGGGGGCGGGGAAAAGTAGACGCAAGCAGCTTCATCACTTTGGGGGCGCAATACCAATCGCGATAATGCGCCAAAGAGGAAAACGAGGGGGAAACAAAGGAGAAGACAAAGGCAACAAAGGCGGGACAGTGTCGACCGGGTCAGCACTGAAGAACCACGCGCAGCCAAAGCCGCAGCGCCGTCATACCATGCCCCGCCCAAGTCCCTCCCTTCGCCTCTCTTGTTTTTCTCCCCGCTTCTCGCTGCTCGAGATTCGAGGGCGCGCCACGGTGGCTGCTGGCAGCGGACTTCCTGCGGTTCAGAAAACCCAAGAAAAAGAAGAGGGAAAAGAAGACGCACACGCACCGCGTCGCAGCCTGCCCCGTTTGGGTTTCACGCTCAGCGTGGGCCTCCGGCCTGGCCCGAGTGTCGAGCATGCTCCGGCTTTCGGCCTTGCCTCGGGCTCCGGGCGTGCTTTGGGCTCGTCTGTTTGGTTGGAGGTCGGGCGGGCTCCCGTCGGGCTTGGTCGGCTTGCGTTTGGGTTTGGTTTGCGCAGGCGCCTGGGCCGAGGCCTGAGCTGGGCCCGGTGTGGGTTTGGTCTGCGTTTTGTTTGGGTTTGGTTTGAATGGGTTCGGCTTGCGTCTAAGTTTGGCGTGGGTTTGGGTTTGGTTTGAGTTTGGTTGGCGCTTGGTTGGCGTTTGGTTTGCGTTTGGTTTGCGTTGTTTGGTTTGCGTTTGGTTTGCGTTTGGTTTGCGCTTGGTTTGCGTTTGGTCTGCGTTTGGTCTGCGTTTGGTCTGCGTCTGGTTTGTGTGGGGTGGTGGGCTCAACTGCGAGCAGCTAGTTTGGTGGATGAGGGGAGGTGATGGAAGCTGCGCAATAAATAACCTACCGACGGAGCCGCGAGGGGATCCAGTAAATTCTTGCTTTGCGCTTGAAGCCTTTCGGATTCTTCTTGTTGTAGGAGGAGTAGTCTTTTCTGGTGTTGGGGCTTCTTATTTCGATGCCCGAACTGTTCATCGAGAAAGTGCCTCCGGGGGATGCTGTTGGTGTTTCAAACATCGCGTCGCTGCTGTTAGGTTTGACATACTGACTTAGAAAAAAGAGCGAAAACGACGACCACGGGGGTAGCTTCGCCCTTTTTTGTCTAGCTGGTCTTTTCGTCTCCTTATAATTTTAAAACCGCCAAGGAGGTGGGTGCGCTATTTACCCCGCTTACGTGCTACTTCAGAAACGGGCAAGGAGCTAGCAGAGACTGCCAACGGGTGACACAGTAGGCGTTCTGACCACGACAAAACTAGGGAGGGAGGGAGAGAGAGAGAGGGACCTCCCGGACCTGGGGAGGGCGGTCGCCTGGCCGCGACCTGCTGGCGCTTCGGGCGCAGAGGGTTCCCCTCTGGACACCACGCAGCCAGCCCCTGACCTTGAGGCCTTGCGGAGGTGGCGCCCCTTGTGTTTATGCATCACACTGCCCGGCTACTCATGAGATTGGCCGACGCCGTCCAGTTGTGGCCAGGGTTGTGAGCCACACGGTGGACCGCGTGGGCGCGGTGCCGTCAGCTGCTCAGAGGGCTCCCCCTAGGTCTCATCTCCCCGCACTGTCTGGCCCAGCGCGGTCCCCGCTTGTCTCTCCCCTGGGTGCCGCCTCCCTGCCAGTCGAGTCCCCTCCAGGATTCGAACCAGAAACCCTCCGGAGCGGAGTGCAAGCACCTGCCCCGTGAGCCAATCTGGAAGGCTGCAAAACTAAGGAGGGAACTAGACAAGGAAAGGGGTCGAAGATAACGCTTCCCCGCCCGGCGTTTAAAAATTGGAAGCGGGTGCGCCTTGCGGCCTACCAATACCAGACCAGAAGCAGGCCGAGCCCAAAACGAAGCAAGCCAGGAAGCTTTTTGACGTTGAGAGGGCTCCGCGGCTATCTGCTCTAATATCAGAACCGCGACGCCGCACAGCGCCCGCCCTGTGTCTAGATTCCTTCACAGTGTAGGCGTAGCCATCTGTCTGCGAATGATTCTAGACAAAAGACAAAAGGCCAAGGACGGGCCGTCGCTATTCTAATAGCTATGCTCTAGCTACATGGTGAAGAATGTAGTCCCGCGCAAGGCTTCGGCGGCGGCCTCTTGCGAGCCTGGCGGAGGCTTCGCGAGGCGGCACCAGCGGGCTCTGCTCCGGCCTCCCAGGCTTTCCAAGAAGCTTGGAGAGGGCTCACCCATGAGCCGCGACCGGGCTGTCGCCAAGGTCTTGGGGCGAGTCAAGGGGGCCCGCGGTCCCGAAGCAGTCCGGCGCCCGTTTTGGTTTTCTCCATGTTCTTCCGGCAGTTTGGCGCCGCCCAAGCAGCGCGGCCTGCCCATTCGTTCGGCCCGTTCAGCCGGTCCACTTGTCCAGTGGTGCTGCTTGTTCCGGCATTCCGCCTGTTCCGTCTTTCCGGTCATACGTTCGGCCGGGCCTGTCGTTTCAGCTGTTCAGCCGCCCCGCCGATGTGCAAGCGGAGCAAAGAAGCGACGCACCTGCGCGCCGCAACAGGGCGACGCGGTGGCGGGGTGCGTAATATCCCGGGAGGCTTGCGCGCTTGTGGCCTGTGCTCTCACTGTGGTGGGCGGCGAAACACGCCCAAAAACTCGAAGGCGGCGAAGATTTTCCGGGCGCCGTTATCGGTTTCGCCTGGGTCGCTT